ATAAAGTGTTGATAAAAACCAAAGCTTTGTACTTAAAAAATTCTTTTTTAATTAAAAAAAATTTAAAAAAACCGTAATTTGTTTATCTTTAAAATGTAAACATCTAACAATACAAGCAAAACGAGAATTGAAATTTTTCTTTTCTGCAACTGTTGTCATGTCTTTTATAAGGAGAGAATTTCTATAAAGCGGGAGAAAATTAAAAAAAATGTTTTTACAAGTCGAGCCTCTTTCTCATAGAGAAACTTAACATTACCCGAATTAACTACCCATAGAATACGTTTTCCTAAGGTTGGTAGCTGCTGGGTTAAGTTGGCACAACCTGGGAAATCTTTCAAATATGCGGATATGGAACCGATATGACCCAAAAATTTTAGGAAAACAGGCTTCTGACCCTAACAAGGTGAGGGGAGGTGAAAAAGAGCTATCGCAAACAGGGCTGGGCGGCATTGAAAAAAAATTTTTTGCAAACGCAATCCGCAATTTTAATTTTAAAACCCGCAATCCGAAATTGCGCCCACTACTATATCGCCCTCACTACTATAAGCTGGCCCTCACTACTATAAGCTGGCCCTCACTAGTATAAGCTGGCCTTCATTACTATAAGCTGGCCCACTATGAGCACTATGGCCCACTATGAGCAGTGAGCTGGCCCTCACTACTATGGCCCTCACTACCATAAAATTAAAATTTTTCCGCCCCCAAAGGATAACTATTAAAATGAGGTTCAACTTTAAAATTAAAATAAAAAGCTAAAAAAACCCTGATATTTCAGATTGTCCAAATCCATCATCTTTTCCCATAAAAGAAATTACTGCCAAGAGTGTTAAAATCGACACAATTAATTGATCACATATCGGCAGATTGTGTGGTTTTTCAGGTTTAATTACATCGCTAGGGATATTGTGTGATCTTTCAGATTTTAAGTCAATAGCCACATAAAGCGCTTCAATCATTTTACTGCAAAGACGAGAATTTGGGCGAAGAAGGAAATGAATACCAACCTTTAGAAAATTTTTTGCAATTTTTTAAATAAAATTTTGGCTCTAGGGCAGTTTATGAGTCCAATCAAAAAAAATTTGAATTTTTGTTTTAAAGTTGTGTCATGATTCCGTAAGTCCTACGCACCCCTGGGCTGGGACCGTTCCTTACGCTATTCCTCGAAATTCTGAAAATTATAATCGTTTTCTAAAATTTTTTACAACGTACCATAATTCAACTTTGAAACAAAAAAAAACAAATTTTTTCTAATTGGACTCATAAAGTGCGATTGGACTCATAAACTGCACTAGAGCCAAAAATTAAATTTCCTTACATCACAATTAAGACAAGCTCTAGATATTTCCAATATTTTATTCAAACAAAAAACATAATCATCTGCAGCAGTAGTACCCAAATCTGTTTCACTTTTTAAACGTTCAATTTTGACCAACAATTTGGACATCATTGAAACTAAAAGTTGAAAACCTCCTTCTCTTCCAAACTAAAAAAATTATAAAAAAGATTATCAAGAAAATTTTTTTTAAAAACCTCTTCAACCCAAGGATAATTTTGAGTACTCAAAATAACTCCCAAGCTTTGCAACAATTCTTTAAAATCATCTTTTGATTCAAGCGCTTTTTTCATTCGTTCACAGTAGAAAGAGGGACCCTTAAAAATGATGAAAGTTAAATTATTCTACATCCAAATTTTCTAATATCTTAAGGAAAGGGAAATAAAAATTTTTTTTAATCCAAATATTTTTGCTTACAATTAGACGTGTCTAGAAATACCCCTAGAATATCCCCTGACCTGATTCAGGATGGATTTCTACATGGACGACCAAAGACGAGTTTAATGCCTAAAAGCCCTGAATATTTCTTTAATAAATAAAGAAAATATCCCCCTAAACAAGAATAAAGAAAATAAAAATGTGCGCCAATAATGCGATACCATTTTTCTGGACAGTATTTTTTTAATTTTAAAAATCTTAAAATTTTCTTTGAATTTTAAGGGCAAATATTTTTCAAATAAATTTCCAGAACCCAATTACTATTTCCAAAAATAAATCAAAAACCAAACCTCCTGTTTTCCAAAATCATCTCGTTGAAGACGATATTGTTGTTGACACAAATGAATTTTCATTCGTCGATCAAGAGCCTGCATAGTTTCCTCAACATTTTTTTGTTTAATGTTATCCATCTAAAAAATCTTAAGAACAATTTAAAAAAATTAAAAAACCAATATTTTCTTTATTATTTCATCCAATTCTGAATCTTCCAAGTCATTAAAATTCGGTACATAATTGTGAGCCTAAAAAATAAAAAAAATTTTCAAAAAAAATTTTTCCCCTTACGTTTGATGTTGTTGCTCTATTAGCCTCATCGCTTTCCTTGTCTTTCTTGCGACTGTGCAACATTTTTCAAAACACTCAAAATTAAAGAAAAAGCTAAAAATTATAAAAAAATTTAAAAAATATATTAATAGGCATAGATTTCAGCCCTTTAAAAATTAAATTTAAAAAAATTAAAAATCTTCTATTTATAAACTCTTTTTTTATAGAAAATGAGAGATCAGAATTTTGTAAGTATAATTAAAAGTATCAAAAATATGGCAAATCCTGCAAGTAAAACAATTAAGTGCATCTTTTTATTGCCTCTTTGATATTTTTCTGCCTTTTGTACACTGAAAAGAAAATTTTTTAACGAGAAAAATCAAAAAAGACAAATTTTTGTTTTTGCGGATTGTCCGCAAAAATCTATTCTATCAGAAAAATGAACGCAAATATAATCCGTAATTTTTAAAAAAATATGTCTCATTTACACATGTCTCCAGAATACCAGACGTATAATAACAACCGACAAAATACCAACTACTTGAACTTTTGGCATTTCGGCAGATTTTGAAAGGTTTGGTATTTCGGCGATTGGTAGTATGACGTCCTACGTAATCTCCAATCTTGTGTAAATTTTTTTTGTTTTCATTTTAGAAAATAATAAAAATTATTTCTTTCCCAACCTTTCCATAGCCGATTTAATTTTAGTAGAAGAATGTTCTACATTATAATCAATTCTATCCAAAATTGTTCCTTGGTCAACAATCATTGAAGCAATATCTTAAAAAATTTTTTTTTAATTTCAAAAATATTTTTCAGAAAAAAAAACCTTTAAATATTCCATTCATTTCTAATATTGATCTACTTATTTTTAATATTTCCATTTCTCTAACTTTTGTAACATGTTCATTTTCAAGAATTTGCTGAATTTGTAAAATTGATTGTTCCTCTTCAATTACAGGGATTTCTGATGGAGCAGAAAAAATTGTAGGATCCGATTTGACAAGGAATGAGTCCAATTTACTGTTGGAATCCAAATGACGCAAATAATCAGATTGGCTGAAAATTTTTTATTAATTTTGCGGACTGTGCGCAAAAAAATTTGCGTAAAGTCCGCAAAAATCTAAAAATTTACCTAACACGAAAATCATTAATAAAATTTGTCAAAGTAAGCATCATATTGGAAATAACATTCTTTCTAATTTCATCAAGAGCACCTACACTAATATTATCTGAATCTTCCAGCAGGCTAAAAGTTTAAAAAAAAATAATTTGAGGATAGTATCATTTCTTTAAAACAATGTGAAAGGGAGAGGGGGGTCGAGGTACCAAACACATGGATTTTATTCGACTCAAAATCCAAAAGTTGATTTGAATAGAATTTTGAAAATCCGAGTGAAACCCGACATTTTTACTAACCCACCCCTCAAAAAATATAAAGGAATTAATATCCGAAATAGCGTTATGACAAAATAACATTTTCTAAATTCACAAACCGTATAAGTCTTCTAGCATGATTAAACATATTAGTTATTTCTTCTGTCAATTCTTGTACTTTAACTTGTTCTGAAGTCATTTCATCATCAGCAATTGAAGGATTTCTTAATTTCTTCTGAAAAATTTTTTTTTGAAATTTAAGATAAAAAAAATTCCATGAAGCAAACATTTTGTAATTCTCTCAAAGAAAATATTCTCGATTTAATTCTTGTAAATTCATAATTAATTTCATCAATTACATTAATCCATGCTGGAGGGGTTTTATTATAAGAAATTTTGTCCTCATTAAGATTTATTAGACGAACTGTATCTTCTAGAAAATTAAAAAATTCAAAAAATTTTTTCGAAAAATCGGAGAAATTTTTTACCAAAATTTCTGTATAAAAATTATAGAAAATTCCCAGAAAATTTTTTAAAAAATTCGAAAAATGCCAAAAAAAAATAAAAATACACAATCCAAAAACTTCCAAAAAAGTTGCAAAAATTCCATCAAAATTTTCAAAAAAAAAATCACGAGAAAAATTTTTAAGAATTCAAAAAAATTTCCAAAAAGATCAAAAATCTCCAATCCAAAAAAACAAAAACCCCACAAATTTTACTTACCAGAATTTTGTTTTTGTTCAAAATCAACAGCAAAATATTGTTCTTGTTTTGTAGCATTTCGAAGATAAACAAATACCTAGAAAAATAAAATTTAAGGAATTTGATGAATACGTTTATAGGATTAAAAAAAGACCAAAATAAAAAAAGCAATAGAAAGAAAATAAATAGAATTTGCATTAATCATGACAAAATACCCAAAATTTTTATTTAGGACATTAGAGTCACAAAAAAACTATCATAAAAATCTCTCGTTAGTAAATTGACGGAATCCCAAACTATGGGACAGGGGAAATCCAAAAAGTGCCAAACCCCAAAAAAATATTTTATAAAAATAAACCTACTTCCGTAAGATTTCTCATCGCTCCGCTAGGCGGTTGAATAGACAACGAGCCCATTTTTGTTCTGTTTTCTGTTCTTTGTCAAATTAAAATGTCATTCATATAAAATTAATGGAAAAAAAATTTAGAAGAAAGAAAAATTAAAATATAAAGAAATCAACTTTAAAAATGACGAAAAAGATTAAAATATTTTTAAATAATTTATTTAAATATTTAAAAAAAACAACCCAAAAAATATTTTAAAAAATTTATAATTCATCTCCAGCAGGAATTGATTCATGCAAAATTCTATGGAATTTAATTCTTAATTCAGTTGGATCAGGAAGATCAGCAACAAGAGTAACCTTTATTTAATAAAAAAAATAATAATTTTTGATGCCCCTAAAACACAAAGAAAATAAGCCCAGCAAAAAACTCCTGTCCCATCAAAAATGTCATCTTTGGTGTAGTGGGATAATTTTGGGAAAATCGACGAAGGTTCGAATCCGCCCGTGGAAAATTATTTTTAACGACAATATAAAATGTTTTTCGACCTAATTAACTTTTAAAACCCCCTCTAAATAAAAAAAAATAATTTTAAAAACCTGCACTTCCATATGCATAGCTTCTAATGCTCCTCTTATACATCCACAAATAGCCTAAAAAATCAAAAATAAATTTTAAGAATTTTTTAGAAAAATCTTTACTTGAGAATAACACAAATCTTTAAATTCCACCGGTTTCTCAACAAATTCAGTCAACGGATTCTGGTCAATAATTAAAGAAAATTCATCCCCAGCATTTCCAATTTGATTGCTTTGGGCTATAACGCCTTCAAAAAAATCAGAAAATTAAAATTTTAAAAATTAAAAACAAAAACCCAAATATGTTTTTAACCCATTTTTTGATATAAGCTCCATAACTTGACGAAAATCTGAACATCTACCAATACGAGGATTTTTAGAAAGAAAATCGTCTGCAAGTCGAAGACCCCTAAAATTTTAATATTCGGGTACTTTATTAATATCCCGCCCCCCACCCCTATTTGAGTCTCAGATTATTTTTCCCTTTTCTGCTGTCAATCATTTATTCCCCTCCTTTTTTAATACCAATCATTTTCTTCCCTCGAATATTATAAGTAAAAGGCAAGTTAGAAACTTAAGATATTTGAGGAGTACAGCCCAAAAAGGCGCGCAGCCATAACGATGCAAAGCCATAACCTTTTGTAATATTTTTGGCCCTTGTCATTTTTGTAATCAATCTCTTTAGCTCGATGAAAGGAATAGTTTAATATTAAGTTTTGTAAGGCTCGAAAACCTTGAAGCAAGTTATGGCTTTGCGCCTTTGTGGCCGCGCGCCCTTTTGGGTGTCTTATATGAGGGAAGAAAATGATTGACATTAAAAAAGGAGGAAAAATAAATGAATGGCAGGTAAAAAGGAAAATTAATCTGAGACTCAAATAGGGGTGGGGGGCGGGATATTGATAAAGAACCAATATTCGTATAGGTTGGAATTTTTTAAGTAAATTTTAGAAATTTTTCTTCCTTTTTAGGGGGGGGGGGGATTATGTTATAAATTAGCAAACACGCATAGCATAAATTGACTTTAAAAATGATGTTCCCCAGACGGGTTCGAACCTTTTTCCTTTTACAAGATTATCCCACTACACCAAAGTAGGCGTTTTTGCCATTTTCGTTTTTACCTTTGTCCTGCAATAAAATATCAGGAATTAAAGGGAAAATCCGCAAAAACCATTACCCTTTTTCTCATAAAACCAAAAAACTTTAAAAACAAACATATTATAACCAATTTTGTCCAACTGACGATTAACTTCCTCAGGGGATTCCAAATCACTTATCAAATCGTTGACTAATGCTCCATATGTCAAAATAAATAGTTCAGAACTAACCTTAAAAAATATTTTTTAGAAATTAAAAAATTAAAAAAAAACCATTTTAGAATCAGACGGTTGTTGTTGTTTTGTTGATTTAGCCATACCTTTTTTGATACTAAAAATAATAAAAAACCAAAAAATATTAAGTTAAAATTTAAAAAATATTTAGGAAAGAGTTGAATAAAACTCTCATAAAAAATTTAAAAAATAATTTCCAAAATTGTCAAATATTATTTAAAAAAAATAAAACAAATCAAACTTTTAAAAAAACCACACAACTTCAAGTTAAACATTTCTTTAAATTTTCATTCTTCATCTGAACTTGATTCTTTCTTTTTCTTTTTAGATTTTTTTGGTTTACGTTCACGGTCATCTTCGTGATCCTAAAAATAATTTTTTTATTAAATGTAAAAAATAATAGTTTTTGCGGACGAATTTTGCGGACAGACAAAACTAAAAATTAATAAAGTCATGAACAAGTCTTTCATGGTTTGATGAAATAATATTCTATTAAAATTTAGATAATGAGTGGGGGAAAAAATTCTCAAATTTTTCGCCTGCGGAAAAATTTTTTTTGCGCCAAAAAATTTTACCCCTTGGCCTCCCAGAAAAAATCCTGGCTACGGGCCTGACAATAGGTGTTGATTATGCAGCTCAAAGGTGACCCAGGGGATCGATTTCGGGAGGGGAAGGGGCTACGCCCTTGATGCAGCTCCTCCTCACAATCAGTGTCAAACTCTTAATAATATTAACGAAACATGGCTCCATCAAAAGTTAAAAAAGCCCTGTTTTATTGACCTCGCAAAATTCTGTCACTGATGTGAGGAACGGATCCATTAAAAATTATACAAAATCCGCAAAAATTTGTCCGCAAAAAAATATTTTTTTGGGAAATTAAATTTTTTTTGCGGATAAATTTTGCGGATTGAAAAAAATTTTTTGCGGACAAATTGAATCGCAAAATTTGTCCGCAAAAAAAATTTTTTTTTAATTTCCCCAAAAAAATTCCAAACCTCTTCACTCTTTCTTTTCTTCTTCTTTTTTTCCTTCTTCTTTTTAGATGAAGATGTAGTAATACTATTTGCTTTTGTTGGTCCATGAAAATGTCCACAAGCTTCTTGTATTGACCTTATATAAAAATTAAATATTTGTTCTTTTAATTGGTCATCTTCTATAGCTTTATATTGTTCTTCATCTTTTATTAATTCTAAAATTTGTTCCCATTCAGTTTCTGGTTCTATTGGTGGAGTAATTGATTGGAGCAGACTAATAAAGGATTCTTCCAATTTCTTTTTCTAAAAAAATTTTGGGGAAATAAAATTTATTTTTTAAGAAAATAAGCAAGAATGTGCTGTCAGACCTCACTATAAGCACACCCTTGAAACTGAAAAAACGTACACTAAAATGAAGTGTATCAGAAAATTAGGAGGTTATCGCTTATGAAGCCAATGACTAACCAATGACAAGGGATATTGCATTATTAAATACAAGAATATTGTTACAAGGATAGTATTACAAGGACCCCAACTTCTAGAAAATAACGACCCCACCCCCAATCCCAACTCTTAAATGTCTTTGGGCCAACCGACCTCTGGCCGTTCAAAGTATCGGTCCTTGAGTTTTTTTTAGTATGGGGCTTAAAGTATAGCTAGTGTTGAGTGCAACTTATATTGGGATCTACAACAACCAGAAGTAGGCTTCAATTCCGAAAGCTACGAGTTTCGTCACCATCATCCCTTCCGACCCTTGTAATAAACACCCAAAAAACCCAATAAAAATTAATTTCTTTAAATTTTCACAAACCTTTTTATCCATTTCCCGTTCACTTTCCTTCACCTTTTCAATAGCTTTATCACACAAAGAATAATAACAAAATTTTAAACTGTTTGTAGAAATTTTCTTTCCTTTAGGATGTTCTCTAATCCATTGTTGAAAATGATCAAAAGCCACAGAATCTTTCAAAACAATTTCTTTTTGAACCAAAATTTCTTTAACAATTTTTTTGTCAGTGTAAAATTGATTTTTTAAATCTTCTACATAAAATTTAAATAAATCTAATGATGTTGAACCAGTTGTTAATAACATATTTTCGAAACGGCGATCTGCAGAAATTGTTGGGTATAAGGATGCCCATGTACTTGTTGGTGTTATCTTTATTAAAAAAATTTTTCTTGAGTATAAAATATTTTCTAAACTATTTTTAAAAAATAATGTTTATCAGAGGAGCCCATCAACAAGAATTATACACGAAAAAAAGAATAAGTCTCAAGACCAGGACTATACGCAATTGCGGATTGCGTAAAATTGCATGTTTCTTTGAGTTACGAATTGCGTTGCGACTAATCGGTCGCGACTAGTTGGCCCGCGACTAATCGGGCGTGTCCCCCCAAAAATCCGTAAAGCCAAAAATAATCTCGAAAAATTTCATTGTAAAAAGTTGAAGGTCTAGTTCACTTTTTTTTACTTTTCCAGTAGCCTAACCTATTTAAAATACTAGATAATTTTAAAACAAAAAACAAACCAATCCTCTTTCAAATAATTCCGATAAAAATTGAATAAATTGTTCACGTGTTTTGCGTTCACTTCTTTTTATTCTAAGCGCTTCATTTTGCTTTTCTTTTAAATAATGACCTTCAGCAGATTTTATATGATTTTGAAAAACAATTAAAGCATCTTCTTTATCCATACCTACAAAGAAAATTTAGACAATAATCAAAAAAACATGCAAAAAATCTCTCAGGAAAGCAATTTCAAGTAAGTCAAAAAAGTAATAAAAGGAAAGGGGGCAGGCCCGTAACCAGGGGGGGTGAGGGGGGAATTCCCCCCCCCCCCCTCCCCCCGAAATGGGAAAAAGGAAAAAATTTGGGGAAGGGCTGGGGCAAAATAAGTGAATTTTTTGGCCTACGGCCTCTGAAATTTAAAAAATTTTCGCCTGCGGCGCTAAAAAAGGACGAAATCTGGCTTCTTGAGGTCCAAAATTCAAAAAATTTTCGCCTGCGGCGCTGAAAATCAAATTTTTGGCGCCTGCGGCGCCGAAAAAGTGAATTTTTTTGGCCTACGGCCTTCTAAAATTCTCAAAATTTTCGCCTGCGGCGCTGAAAATAAAAATTTTTGGCGCCTTCGGCGCCAAAAATTTGGCGCAATAAAATTTCCCCCCCCCCCCCCCCGAAAAAAAATCCTAGTTACGGGCCTGAAAGGGGGTTCTGGTAGGAATGTGAGAGCCTGATTGCTAATGACCATAATACATTCACAGATCCAATAGAATTTTTTTTCAATCTTTTTCTAATAACAGAGGGTAGCTCCCTTCTATGATCAGTCTTTAATTTTTAAATACACGTCACCACATCAGTCAGTGATATTTTTAAATAAAGGCCAGCCCAATTAAGCTACCCTCCCATCACCGACTTATCGAAAACCAAAATCCTCTCCCAAAACCAAAAAAAAGAAACCTTGTAAAATTGTATCTCTAGCAAAATCCGGATTTTCAATCAAAATTCTCTGTGCTTGTGCCCAAGTTGTTGTATGATCTATAGCATCCATTCCTTCCAAAATATCACCCAAAGTTTTTATATTTCTTTCTTTTGTCACTTTTTTCTGTTCAGCATCCAATTTTATTATTGCTTTTTTAACATCATCAAAAATTTCTCTTCTTTCGACATCTGATACAGCTCTCCATAAATGTTCATCAGCAAAATATTTTTCAGCTTTATGATATCTTAGGGTTGGCTTCATTCTTACATTTGACATTAACCTTTAAAGAAAGAAAATTTTTTTGTTTTAAAAATTATTTAATAAACCATTCTTCCAAATTTTCTTTAGCTTTTTTAATTGCTGTTCTTCGTTCATGCTATAAAAAAAATAATTCTTAATTTAAGAAGCTTAATAAAAAAATTATTTCAAAAGAGAAAAGGAAAGGTTTACAAAAAATGACCCAAGAATTCGAGTTATTTAGTTTAGGCAAAAATGACTAAAAATTCAAAACATGAGACATTTACTAATAAGGATGTAAAGATGGAAGGGGCGTATCCAGAGGCTCAACATAGATTTGTGCTTCGACATTAAGGCAAACCAGAAGGTCAAAATAAAAAACATCTAATTCAAAAAAAAAATAAAAACCCACTCTTTCATCTTTTGATCTCTGAATCTTCCATGCACTGAAAATTTGTTTTTTCTCGGAAACTTTGGGTAATATTTTAAAACGAACATCATGTTGAATATATTTACTAGCTTGTTCCCAACTCATGTTTGTATTTATACGACGGTCATTAGCCTACAAAAATTCTTTCGAAAATGTCAAAAATTTCTCGAAACCTTTTCTTGAAGCATTTCTCTAAAAATTTCAATTTGCCGTTTCTTCAAATTAATTTCCTGCTCATCCTCAGGCTCTTCTTTCTTCGGTTCCTCAACCTTAATTTTCTTTTTGTCTTGAGATTTTCCGTCAAATGCCATAAGTGTAGCTTCCATTGCTTTTTCTATTTCAGAATTTGGTGTATTTTGAGCTGGTTCAGGTTTCTCATCTTTAACTAAAAAAACCATGGTTAGGGTCGGCGGATCGAAAAATTTCCGAATAACCGGATCCGTTATCCGAACAAGGGATGCCTCGGATTAACCAAAACCCGAATTTTTTACTTCACAAAAAAAACCCACGAATATTCCAACGACTGCCAACTTTCCTATTAATTCACCTAAAAGATCGGACCCGAAATCTGGGCTTTATTCCACCCAAACTTTTCCTAATCCCGTGACATTCCTAATCCGAACTGAATTTTTATCAGATCCAGAACCCAACCCTAACCATCGAAAAATAAAATTATTACCTTCATTTAATATTTCAGGTTTTGTCCATGTCGTAATCTTTGTCACAGTATTGTAATAATATGTCTTTCCTTCTGGCGTTTTATATTCCCTCCAAACTGATTTTTCCTTCTTAAAGTAAAATAGATTTTAAAACAGAAAACTTTAACAAAACCTCTTCACTTGTCTTTAATTCATCTGGTTTAGTCCAAGAAGAAACTTTTGTCACTTTATTGCTTTAAAAAAAGCTTTTAAAAAACAAGAAAAATTTTTTACTAAAAATATATTCGTCCATTATCTGCAACGTGTTGAGACCAAATCGAACTTGCTTCATTTGAAGATGAAGGCTTTACATCAGAATCGTTATTTTCAGCTTTTGCCATTTAACAGAGTAAGAAAATGTCTAAAACAAAAGAAAATATTAAAAAATTGAAAAAAAAATCAGCTGGAAAAAAGCGAAAAAGAAGACAAAAACAGTCCAAAAAGAAGCCTAAAAACAAGCCAACTCCACGAAATTTTAACTCTGCTTCAACTTTTTGTCTAACGTCCCTAATTTTCCTTTTAACTCACTCTCTAGTTAAAGGTAAATGTCAAAATGTAAAAACAGAAAATATCTATAAAGGTATAATCTTCAAAATATTCCTCTACTTTTTATCTCGCACTATTTCATCTATTATTTTTTCTAGCCAAAGGTAAAATGTCAAAATGTAAAAATATAAAATACCTAAACAGGCGTCATTTTTAAAAACATCCATAAACTTTTTCTCTCTAACCATACTCTCTCATCATCATTTAGAGTCTAAGTCATCTTTTAGAGTCTCAAAGTTTGTGTTGTACACAAAGTTATGAGAGAGCACAACAAACATTGTTGCAGCACAAACGTTGTGTTGCACATACTTTCTAGCTTTTCTCACAAATTTTATGATATAAAACCCTTCAATTTGTTCTAATTTTTTATTTAAAGTGATCTACCCATTCTAATTAAACAAACAAAAAATCAATGGAAATTTCCAATTCTACAGAAAAATCATCTTCTACAACTTTAAATGCTTTAATCGACCAATTAAACAAATTAAAACATTTTCGTATTCACACAGGAAATATTAATACTTTTGTTGATTTGAAGCTTAAAAGGTTTACAAATTCTGCTGAAGAACTCAAAGAAACGTTTAAATTGGTTTTGAATAATTTACCTTCAAATATTTCTGTTGGGTTTGTTTTATTATTTAAAATTAAAAAAATCACCTTTTTCTTTTTTAGAGATGATGGAATGCTTCTTTTAGTTGATAAAAAACATTGTGACAATGTTTATGAAAGAGAAGATTTGAAGATTACTTTAAAACTTTTTCTTGAGAAATTTGATTATGATTATATTAAAGATGCTGTTGGTAAGCGATTTTCAAGGGTTTTTTTGGTTTTTTAAATCCTCAGGGGATTTTTAAGCCCTTTCGGGAAACAACCCTAGAAACTTAAAATCTCCCAATTTTTAATATTTTTTAGAGGCTGTAATAAAACAACTCAAAACAGATTCAATCGAACAATTAATTTTATCCTTTCCAGAATCAGGTTAATTTTTGAAAAATTAAAAAAATTTTGTCCGCAAGACTCCGCAAGACTTGCAGAAAATGTTTTTTTATTTTTTTAAATTTTTAGATTTGCGGACAAAAAAATTTTTGCGGACAAAAATTTGCAGAATTTTCCCAAAATTTTTTTTATTTTCCCTCTCATTTTAGAATCAAATTCTCCCGATTCAATTGACGAAAAATGGTTTAATGAAGTTTTGCGTGTTTGGAAAGAAACAGAAAATGGATTGATAGCACAACGGAAGGTTTTGTATATGGGAGTTGCCGATTTTCAATTACCTGAGCTTGATCTTTTATTTAAAAAAGCTGTCCATAAACCAGGAATTGTTCATGTTTTTATTGATGGATGTTGTGTGGTTAGTTTTTTTTAATAAAAATTTTTTAATTGAAGTGTTGGAAGAATTGGGGGGGGGGGGCAATCCAGTAATTCTGAGAATTTTCACAAATGTTCCAAATTCTAATTTCGATGCTCAAAAATCCCGGACTTAAAAAAACCCCTTAGGGAAAATATTCTTGACCCTGAAAATTCAAAAAAATTTTAGGTCTAGAAATTGTCAAAAAAAAATTTTCGACCTAAAAAATTTTTTTAAATTCAATAAAAAAATTTTTTCCAAAAGGTTAATCCAGAGCTTCAAGCCTATGCTAAACAAAATTCAATTCAACTTTTAACGCACAATGATCCAAAGCCTTTTCCATTAAAAGAGGTTTTGTTAAAATTTTTAAAAATCAAAAATTTTCCAAAAATTCTTTTCAGGTCTTTCATTGTTTTTGTGAGGACAAATCCGATCCCGATTCATCTCGAATTTGTCAAACTTTATTTGAGCCTGTCTGGGCAGCTAGATATACTGTTTGGGTACGGAGGCGTTCATTAATGGCTGCAAAGGTTTGACAAGAAAAATTTTTTTGAGACAAGTGTAAGGGAAAGGGTTAAATTAATGAGGTCCCCACCTTTATTCCCTTCCTTAAATTAATTCTGAAGTTTGCATTATATAATTTTTACAAAGTCAAATATCCCCCACCCCCTCCCATAAATTCATTTTAAAAAATTTAAAAAAAAATTTTGAGGTTCAATTAAGTAGGGGGTGTGTAAGTTTTTATTGTCCCTGTCTGTATGTGTTCCCATAAATTAATTTTAATAAAAAATTAAAATAAATTTAATTTATTTTCAAGGGATTTATTGTTCAGTTTACCGCTTCAGATGCTAACAAATAATACAAAATATTACTTAAAATTATAAATATTAGTGGATGGTATAATACTTTTTAATTATTTTTCTTAAATTATATTTTCGATTAAAAAAATTTTTTTTTAAATTTTGGCTGAATAAAAATAAATTTTTAATTTTAAAAATGATTCCTAGGAAATATCATTTGCTTCTTAATTTTTTTCCCTAAATAAAAATTAAATTTCCTCCTCCCCTCCCCTCTCCTTCTATTCCAAAAATTTTTAAATTTAAATTGTATCTTTTGTTTACAAAATTTTATGTGTGAAAAAATTATTATTATTAAATAAAAAAGCACAATTTCGACTATTATTCCCTTCCTGTTTTCCTTCTCCCTCTTCCTTCAACCTCATAAAATTGCTCATTTTTATATAAATGTGCAAGGTCTTCCTCCAAAATAAATTTTTTTTTAAATTTCAATTAAATGAGGTAGCGACCGTTTGAATGTTTTTCTCAATTAAATTCTCTCTCTTTTTCCCCTAATTCCTCCCACTTGTAAAAACAACAAAAATTTTTGTGTTTCCTTCCTTCTTCCACCCGATTTGCGCACTAAACGCCCTCAAAAAATTTTTTTCCTTCCTCCCTTCCCTTCTCCCGCTACTTTTTTTAAATATATTTTTTAAACAACCAAAAACATTCAATCATCTTTCTTTTTAATAAAGCTCTTCAAGTCGATTATAAATGATCAAAATATATTTAATAATAATATTATTTTTAGCCTTCTTTAATCTATTTTCCTTGTCATTTATTGATTTAGACAAATCTCTTTTCCCCCAATTTTCCGTCAATCCCCAAAATCTCTCCTTCAACCAACCAACCTACTCCCCTCTTCCGTCTCTCCTTCAAAATCCAAAATCACCCCCACCCCCCCCCCCCCTCTCCAACCAATTCCCCCTCTCCCCTCTAAATTATCATTAATTTAAAATACACATTCAGTCCCCTTCTAAATTATTTTTCCCTCAATCCAAATCTCACCCTTCCAACCATAGCTTTTCAAAATAAAATCTTGAAAAAACTGAAATTAAAATCTGAAATTGAAAATATTTCAAAAATATCACCAAAAGGTCTTTTGAAACTTCTTTTGAAACAAATCTGCCCCCAACCAGCCTCTCATCTTTTCTAACCTTCAAATCCCCAAATCTCCCCCATTTCCTTCCCTCTAAATTATCATTCATTTAAAACACACTTTCAAATCTTGGGTTTTCTCTACAAACAAATATTTAATTTAAAATCTCGACTGATTGGTTCAATTTGGAAAAAATTGGAAGGATTTTTAATCGATCACTTTCTCGATCTCCCCTCCCTTAATTTCCTTCTATCTCCTCTAGCTTTTTAAAATAAAAGTTAATCTTCTAATCTTATTCCTATCTCCAAAATAAATAAATTTATAATATATTTTGGAAGTCCTCTTAAAAATATCACACACAAATAAACACAGTTGTCATATCCTTCTTTTTTAAAATTTTTCAAAAAAAATTAAATATAGAAAGTCCCTTTTCTCCAAAAAATTTTTTTTATTTTATTATTTGATTTCCCCCATTTCCCCTCTTATTTCCCTCATTCCCTCCCTTCTTCCATCAATTTTTGGGGCGTCATTTGGCCATAAACTTGGAGGAAATTTTACAAATCTTTTTATTTTCATATATTTTTATTTAATCAACTTGAATAGGTTATCCCTTGGATTTTGAAATTTTTTTTTAAATTTTTAACAGAATTTTTCGTTGATAAGAGGTCCTTAGAGGATGTCATTTTTAGATACGCCCTTTAGAGGTCTCTTTTTGATAAGAGGTCCCCTTAATTTTTAAAAGAGAAGGTCCTTTAAAGGTGGTGTTTTTTAAAAAGAAAGTCTCTTTAGAGGAGGTCTCTTTTTTTATATTTAAAATTTTTAATACTTAAATTAAAAAAATTTTTTTTAATAATCTATTATATTAATCATCTTTTTTTTCATAAACACACATTCATCCTCACTCTCTCAATCCCCCTTTTTCTCGTTTATTACAAATTTATTACCAAGTTGAAAATTTTTTTGAATCAAAAATTGTCTAAAAAACTTAATTTTCAAATTTTTTTTTTAATTTTCCCCTGATCTTTTCAATAATTTTAGCTCCTTTTTTCCATTTTCTTCTCCTACCAGTCACTGCTTTACAACATTTTTCGATTTTTTGATTGTTTTAATATTAAAAAACAGCCAAAATATTCAATAAATAAAAATTATTTGAAGGGAAAAAACATAAAATAATTATTATTTACCCAAGAAATCTTCCCTCAAAATTCCCTAAAATCCCAAAAAAATTTAAGAAGAAATAAAATTGTGTCCCATACATTTCCTTCTTTTCCAAAGCAAAAAAGCTTTTATCTCCCCACGTCCTCTTTATTTTTTTCCTATTTATCCCCTCCATTTTTATTCCTATTTTATTATTATTATTCACTTCCGGGCTTTTTTTACCTTTTTTTACTATTTTTTCCTTATTTTCCCCTCAAAAACCTTATGCCATTTCCAACATTTATTTTTATGTTTGTACTCATTCCCATGCATTTTTCTCTCGTTTTCCTAATTTTATTTTCTAGTTTTTTAATTAAAAATGCAAAATACTTTTTTTAAACTAAAAATGAATCGAATAAAATAGAACATATATCCACTATATTTTTGGCTGAATTCTCTTAAAAATTAGGTTGATAGATTTTAATCCTAAAAAATTTTTTTAAAACTGTTATCTAATCATAATTTCTCATTGTTATCCTCACAGGGGACACGCCCAAGTAGGCGCGCGGCCATGTAGGCGCAAAGCCATAACTAGCTGGAAAATTTCCAGACCTTAATAATTTTGGTACCAATCTCTTTAGCTCGATGAGAGGAATCGTTTAATACTAAATTTCGAAAGATTCGGAAATCTTGAAGCAAGTTATGGCTTTGCGCCTACTTGGCCGCGCGCCTACTTGGGCTGTACCCATCCTCACAGTTATCTCACTGGCCATGAGCTCTCTATCTTATCCCTTTTAGTGTACCATCAAAAAAGCTTTTAGTAGTTATCCCACCTCTCCACCTTATCTCACCTCGTATACTAGCAAAAAGAAGTTCTCAGTTATCCCGCCTTTCAATCTTATCCCACTTATCCCAGCTTACCACATCCTCTCCATCTTATCTGCGCTTGTCTTAACGCTAACAAAAAGCTTTAAATTATCCCAGATGACATGATTTCCCCATCTTCGTGTACCGTCAGAAGCTTTCAGTTATCCCAACTGACTATGATCTCTCCATATTATCTTACTTATCCCATTTTTCGTATACCTAATCCAATTCATTTTTAATTTTTCTTCAAAGGGTCAATAATTATTTATTTAACCAATAATGTCTTCCCTACTAAAAACACAACCCTTTGGATGTACCCAATTAGAAGCACTTTTTCGACATCAATTGCTTCACCGCTCTGCTGGTGATCTACTCAAACTCTTAACTATTCTTGTGCCTATACAATTAGCTCTTGCTCTCTTTCGTGTTCCAGAACCTGGCCCAAGCCTTTTTTGGTTGAGTGGATCTGCTTCTGTTGGACTTGGTAAACGAGTTTATTAACGTAAATGTTCTAATAGAACCACATTTGCTTCTATTTTGCAATCCTCACGTAGGGTGTAGGATCCAAAAAAGGGCTAGATATCCGGAATTTTAGGCTCGTATATAGGATCCAGATATGCAAAGATTTCCAACTCCAACCTTAGGGTATGTTTATATTGGGGGTGTGCTTCTATTAGAGATGAGGTTCTGTTAGAGGATTGGCAGAAATTTAAATAATAGCGAGTTCCGTACTCCTCTCCCTCTATTTTTCTTAATATGTACATAATGGTCAGACTTCCTTCTTTAACTTCCCTCGATTTACTTGTGGCATACTCAAAGTATAATCAAGTAGAATTTAAGGCGAAGTCTGACCATTCTGTACATAATAAAAAAATGGATGGAGGGAGGGGAGGGGCGGAATTTAAAGAGAAAATCGAAGATCATGTCCCTGATCACTCAAAAATCAATCCTAAAATTAATTTTTAAGCACTCGCCCTCGGCCTAGCTTGCGCCTCATCATCAACTCAACACTCCCTAGTCACTTTCTGTGCAATTTGGTTATGTTCAAATTCCTTAATTTTAATGTTCTGGCCAGCCATAGCTTTACTCCCTTCATTATCCATCCTTTTATTGCTATATTCCTTCTTTCCCTTTCAACTTTTAATTACTTTTACAATTTGTTTGGCCATTTCTTTTTTACAATTGAGTAGTGTTGTCCTATTCGCAATTCGTGAAGATGAAAGGAATGAAGGGATTGGATTGACAAAATCTATTGCTTTATTGTTAGCTCATTTATGGGCACATATTGTTGGACTTTATTCATTCTCTACTAGTTTGTTGCCTTTTGGTATAAAATTTTTTTAAAAATTAGGCAGGAAAATTGGCCGAGCAGTTTTTTTAAATGCTAGGCATGCTTTAGACAATGAATCTGAATTACAAAATGAAGTTGGAAGGATGGTGAGATAAAAAATAATTTCTCAAAAACCCTAGATTATCGTAGTTACTCAAATAAATGCCCTGTGTAAGAATTGTTTCAACCCCTGACTGAAGGGGGATTATTAATAGGGAGGGGGTAATAATTTGAGATTCTTTTAGAAGGGCTATCAGGGCTAGAAGGAAGAAAGGCTAGAAAGGCTTTTTAAAGGAGGAGGGGGTAATTGTTGTGTCAACCCTTGACTGAAGGGGGTTAGTAAAAGGGAGAGGGTAATTATTTGAGATTATTTTAAAAGGGCTATAAAGGCTAGAAGGAAGACAGGCTATAAATGCTTTTTAAAGGGGAGGGAGTTAAAGGAGGGTGGAAAAATCCTCTCGTTAGGTATGGGGTAATTATTTGAGAGGGTAAGTATCTCAGTAATTTTTTACTGTAATTTTTCAAAAAAACTTTTTAAGGCCCAAATTTTGTCTGGTTCGCTACCTCCACATATTGTTCGCTCAGTCCAAAGCCAGCTAGGAGTATCCGAAGTTCCACGCGTTTTTGTTGAACATTTTGATCAATGCAGTGTTGTTTTTGCTCATCTTTATGGACTACCTAATTTATTACTTCAATTACAACCCCCAGATTCTGCCAAACTTTTAAATGAATTTGATTGGAGAGTCTCAAAATTGGCAGAAGAGAGTGGACTTTTACTTGTTCCAGCTACAAGTTCAGAAATTGTAGTAGCGCTGGTTGGGCTTCCTTTGGCCATAACCGACTCAGAAAATGCCATAAACGGTCAACAACAAAAATCCTCCATTTCCTCTTATCAAAATGCGGCAGCTATTGCCTGTCAATTTTCTGTTGATCTCTTAAATTTGTGCCAATCATTTTGTGAGGCAACAAACAACAACAGCAACAACAATGAAGGTCAATTACAAATTCGAGTTGGCATTGGAAGTGGGAGTTTGTCTGCCGGAATTGTTGGTTCTAGACGTTGGCATTACGATGTTATGGGAATGGCTATAGATGCTGCACTTCATTTAGAAGCAAATTGTCCGGCTGGTGCAATTTTGCTTTCTGAAGATACTTGGAGACATTTGGCTGGGGGGAAATTTGCTGCTGAACGAGTTAGTGTGTAAAATAATGTCTCTGACCCTTTTGTCCCGTTTACCCCAAAAATTAAAATAGGGCTCGACCCCGACCTTTAGGGGTCGAAAAGTTTGGGGATGGGATGGGGGAGGGGTGAGAATGTCGGGGTCGGGGCGACAAAATCGTTCAGGGTCGAGATTTAGGCTGGGTCGAGGGTTAGACAGGGCCGAGCCCCAAATTATAATACTATAATTTTGTAACCCCGTATCCCAGAACCGGACCAAATCCAATTTAGTTCTAGACTCAAATCCCAGACTCTAATTCCCATTCCTATCTTCCCATTTATAAATTAATAACTTTCTCTCTTTGGACTTTGCCTCTGCACTTCCGTTTAATCCTGCTCAGTCATTACTTACAATCACATATTCTTTCTCACCTTTTCCTTATTCATTCACGTGAGCCCCTTTCATTTCCGCTTAGTCCCAATCACTTCCCATTATCCATTCATGTGAACTCCTTTCATTTCCACTTATTACCAATCGCTTCCTATTATCCTTTCATATTAATTCCTATTATTTCCATTTAGTTTCAACCACTTTCCCAAACTTATCATGTTTACAATCTCCATTATTCCAGCTAGTCTACTATTGCCTATCCCACTTCTCACTCCCCTTTTCCCAACTTATAAGGTTTTCATTCCCTCCAATAATCAGTTCAGTTTATCTCATTCTCAGTCCAATATCAGCTTATCCTCAGTTCAGTCCAATCCAGTGTATCTCAGTTCTGTCCAATCCTCAATTCAGTCCAAATGTTCAATATCCTATTATTTAATTCAAATCCTATTTCAAGCGTCAGTTCCATTTTCCACACTCTATTAGTTTTACGAAAACCTTTCAATTCTATTTCTCACTCAATCCATCCTACTCCAATATCGATATTCACTCTATCATATCAATCATCAATAAAACATATAAACAGTATTTGGTGAATAGGGTTAGTAACGGGTAGGACCTCTGGAAGCCCACACTCGCACATCCACTAATTAATATCCACACACATATCCACTCAAATCCCGACTCCATATCCATATGTACAACCCCCAAGTAACTAACATACTAACTATTTATTTTATCAATAAAGATGGGTCAAGGAGCCTGGAAATTATTGACAACAACAGAAGCTTCTCAAATTGTTCAACCATTACTATTTCCAACACCTTCAAGGAGATTATCCCTACTTACATTACAACAATTACTACTTAGACTTTTACAACAGCAACAACCAAAAGTATAAACTAGGGTTATTCACGGTCGGTTAATCGAACCGTAACCGAAATCTAAACCGTTGACCGAGGGTCGAAACCGACCATAACTGAAAGCCGGGAGCATCAGTTAACCGGTAGTGAACAACCCAAAGTATAAACCCCTTTCATTTTTCCCCCTCCCCTTCAGAAATCAGAAATATTTTTAAAAAGTAGGTATCAGCATTTTCTAATGCTCTTAATACACATGTTTCTGCTACATTTCCTGCTCCTACAACACCTTTTACAAAAAGAAGTGTTACTAATCCGTTTGCATCAAAAGGGCGCCTAGTTTCTGTTTCCGGCCCTTCTAGACGTTCATCTAAACTTCCTAGGATTGGATCATGTCGCCAATTAGACAGCGCTACTGGGCCTCCCCTTCTTCCTGGAATTAATCCTTTAACACTTAAATTTATTGATACCCGTTTGGAACGGACTTATCATGCTCAACCAGACAGATGGTTAATTCCTGGATTGGCTCTTTGTGTTTTATTTCTTGCTCTTTTTGGACTTTTTCAAGGTACTTAGAAGAGAATGGACTTGAAAAAAAATTTTTTAATAGCCTTAGCGATGCCTCGGATGCTGCCAAATTTGGCTACTTTAGCTTTGGCTCTTATACTGATGTTTCTTCTTTTGTTAGCTCTATATACAAATTTTCTTGAAGTAAATTTATTATTAGATTTTAATAGCTGATTTTTCAGAGTTTTTGCCACTTCGTCACGCGAACGTCTCTTGGTTATTGTGTCACCGTACTTTTAGTTCTTACTGCCCTATGTACTTGTGGGCTTGCTAATACTGTAGGGAACAATTTTTTTAATTTTCTAAAAATTCTTTTAATAGTTCTCCTGTCCTACTGACCCTTCGCCATCAGATATAACTTCAACCCCCTGTCAGCCCCATCAATTATCAGCTGTCTCTTTGGCCCTTTGGATGTTACTGTAAGCTAACGAGCTCATTACTTTCTCAATATCCCCCCTATTTTTCAAGCTGTTCAGCATTTTTACGTCTTTCATCTTCACTTCTTTTACTTATACTTCTTTCTGCTATTTCCCTTTTTTGCCCACACATTTTCTTAACTCATTTTGACTTATATCCAAATTTGTTGGCTCGCTTGGATATTTTAGCTTTGCTTATTGGCCTTTCTCTTTTAATATTTTTGTTGGCACGCCGAAATGAATTGTTGTTAAGGATGGACTTTTTAGCTCTTCTTAAAGGAGTAGAGGATGGTAAAAAGTTGGAGAGAACTGAATTTCTTAATGATCAAATACTTAGGAATGGTAAAATTTTAGAACCGAGACTTGTGCAGTTTACGCCCCATAATCCCGCCCCTTTTTCTCCTCTCTTCCATAAGGAGACCCAAAACGAAAATACTGACCCAAATGTCACGTTATAAGAAAAAAAGAGAAGAGGGAAGGAGTTTATGGGACGGAAACTGCACAAGTACCTAAAAACCTTCTACCTACAATTTAAAAAATCTCCCCCTTTATAGCACTCCCTTCACATATCGCCTTCAATTTTGGATCGAGAAATGAACCCTTTTCTCATCTGTGCCCTTCAGTTGGCATTCTTTGTGCCAAAATTGGCCGTCCTGGTGATTGGGTTGGTGAATTTGGTTTTGATAGGCTTAACAGACTTGTCTGTGAAATTGATCAAAGATTGGGGCAATTAAGTGAAAGTTCAAGATTAGAGAAAGTCCGAACATCTCATTGTTTTTATACAGCTGCGTGTGGAATTTTGCCTGAACTTGCCAAGAATGTAAAGGGGGATTCTTCTAGGAAACCCCAAAAAATTAATTTTTACAGGTCCATGATGCCCCATGCACCATTGGTGAGCAACTTTCAAGTCTGGCAGAGCTCGCCCAATTTATTCAAGATTTGGCAGAATCTGAAGCTTTAAATATTGCAATTGGAATGGATTGCGGTTCAGCTCTTTCTGTTGTTGTAGGAGGTGATAAGCCTCGATATGAATTACTCGGTCAACCTAATACACGTGCTAAGGTTCTCTCCTCTTTAAGCTAAGGCTCTCAACAAATCCCTCATCCTTCCCTTTCAGAAACTCGCAGAGGCAGCAAGCGCTTTGGGCGGTAGTTGTGTTCTTTTATCCGAAGATGTTTTTCTTGCATTACGTCCACGTTCCCAATTTCATTTCGATGAGAATAGCGCTTTAAGGTAGTTCAAAAATTCACATAATACCCAATTTTTTAATTAAGTGTTGGCCCTGGACTTGTTGCCTATTCATTGTTGAACTCTCCTTCGAACCAAACAGCTTCTCAATTTTTAACTTCCCCATTACCCCCTCCTTTGCCTCCTCATCGAACCAATAGTCAACAACAAAATAATACAAACAAGGATGAGAACGAAGCAAAAAACGTTCAAAATATTCAAGAAAGTAGTCAACAAACAGCAACAAATCAACTACACATTCGAGCAAATCCCTTATCTGAAGACGCCTTGATTGAGAATTCGGGTGTTAACAACAATAACAATATTCATTCATCAGCTCAATCTTTATGCTCTTCAGAACTACTTTCAATTGATTTAAATTTAGAAACTGATTCGCTTGAATTAGAATGGGTAACTCCTGAAATGGTTGCTAATGGACAATATCGGTAAAACGAAAACTAGGAAACAATCCGATCCTATGATTTTTTTTGGCAAAAACTCCGACCCAAACCACGAAGGCTCTATCACAACTAAACCCCAAACCCCGACGCAAACCCCGAGTTGGGCAAAAACCCTCACCTCCGAAACCCCTACGATTTCTTTGGCAAAAATTCTGGATTACTAGAAAAGCTCTCCGAAGTCTCTACCTCACAAACCCAGACACTCCCGATCCCAAAGAACGAGATGCTACCCCTAATACATCTAAAAAATAAAAACACTTTCACTTTTTTCAGTCTTTTCCCTGAAAGTCCACCCCTTACTAACAACAATAAAAACCCAAAATATAAAGCAGACAGAGCTGATGTTTACTCAGAACTTTCTGATCCTGAAGGCTATCATCCACACACTCAAGAACGTTCAAAAATGGGTACATTCGAAAATAAATTATGGAGACATCCCTCTTCAATTTCCACCAACAACGAAGCTTATCGTTCTTCACATCCTTCAACCAACACAAGTTTAGATAGAAAACTAATAGGAAAACAACAAAAACAAACAACCACAAAGCCCTATAAACGCAGCAGACATTTTTCCAAAAATTCTAGTAAAAATGGTGGATTTAGTGGATCAGAATTTTCCCTTTCCTTACTTGCTGGGGATGATTATGGAGGATATAATAATACTACATCATTACAAAGATTAAATAAAGCAGCAAATAGAATGGAGAGAATGTTAAAAGTGAAAATTTTAGACTAAAAAATTTTCCTTTAAAAATGAGTACTTTTCCGTTGTCCCTACAGGGATTACATTAACCCCCGTTATCCCTACAAGAAGCTTCACTCAGAAACGACTCAGGAATATTGACAAAATATAAATAAACCATTTGAAGTAGCTCGACGAGCTTAATTGAATGACACCAGAATCCTGAGAGGCTTGCAACTTTAGGCTGAGATATAGAGCTCAAAATGGTCAGAAACTCAAAAATATTGACAAAATACGTCATTCGAAGATATCCCATTAATAACCATTAATAACATAGGGTGGGAAATGAAGGAGACAAATGTACCCGCAAAAAAAGATAGAAAATACACAAAAAGACTTTAGGAATAACGGAAAAGTACCAAAAAATTTCCCTCAATTAAAAAAAATTTTCTTACCCAAGGAAATGGCAGGTGTTCCCACTACTCAAAAAATAACTAATCATGGTCAACCTGAATGCCCTTTTCCACGAGAGGATTGGACAAATAACAATAAACTTAATAATGATATAGATGGTCGTTACTATTGTCATCACCACCATCATTCAATGTCAGAATATGAAAATGCTACAAATAGTCAACGTTCTTTAGCAGCTTCGTGCTGTTCAGATTTTGAATCTGCTATTGACAAAGATGAAGAAGACACTGATAAAAGATTGTCATTATCTTCATTTTTCCAATTTAATAATCAGAAAAGAAAAAGCATTTCAAAACTTGAAAGATTAAGACAAGCACTTATTTTGAATAATGATAGAAATTGGAGAAGTAATAGTAGCAGACCTGCTGCTAATAATAATAAAAGAATTAATATTAAATGTGATGGAAATGAAGCTGATAGAAGTTGTTCACCATCTATTGGGTCAATGGTTAGTTGTTATAGATTGAAGGAAAATCACATTTGAGGGTGTCATAGTTAAGAAAAATTAATATTTAACGCCCATTTTTAATGCCCCATAAAAGGCGAGAAAGAACTGGCCAAATAAGTTCATTCGCCAATCTCAACACCGACCAAAAGTTGGCCGGTTCTTTCTCCCTGATATTTAATTAAATATATTTGTTGAATAAAGTTTAAAAAGAAAGCTTTCCTTTTAATCGGTGGATCGGCGCGCCCCAAGGGTGGGTTACCACTCTTGGGGCCCAACGCCGACTAACCCCCTGAAAAAGGGGTTAGGATAATAATATGGTGCCCCCAAAATTTTTCTATCTCCACCCAAAAAAAAAATATTCATATTTCCCCACTCTAATTAAAAAAAAATTTATTTTCTAAAAATACTCCAAAAATATTTTATTTAAAAAAAATTATTCCTTCTTGTCATCAATCAAATTAATTTGGCAAAGAAAAATTTTGTTTATTAAACTAAAAATTCTTTTTGTTTATTAAACTAAATTTTTTCCTCTTCAATTTCTTGTGATTTTGTGGCCGGAAATGGGCAAAGATGAAGGAAAAAAGGAGAAACGCCTAATTTTTGGCCAATTTTTTACACCATCAAGTTCGCCAAATTGTGGTTTTTTTGGCGAGTCAATCTTTTATTTGGGTGTGATCATGCGCTCAAGTGAAAGAAAAATTCCCATAAATAGGAACACATTGGTCAACAATTTGGATCATTCCAAAGAAGAGCATCAAACAAGAAGCAGTCTACACTAGAAGAGCCTGAAGAGCCAGAATAACCTGAAGAGCCAGAATAACTTTGGAAGAAAAATAAACTGAGGGAAAGTCAAATCGAGTAAGCTTTGAGAAGCAATAGTCAATCAAAGTTTTAATAACTGGCGTTTAAAACTTTGATTCGGCTGATCTATTTTGGCTAATCTCTATTTGGTTTGCTGAGCTTTGAGTTGGCTTATTTGGTTTGACTGAGGTTGACCTGATTTGACTGGCTTTGAGTTAGCTGCTCTGGTTTGACTGAGCTTGGACTGGCTGATCTGATTTGGGTTGATTAATTTGATTTGGCCGATCCCTATTTGCTTCTGTAGCTGATTTGTTTGCGGATCTTTGGCTTGGATATTCAAAAGGGGAACCAGCCGATTTTGATTTGATTTGGCTGAACTTTGGCAGTTTTTTGGTTTATCTCGATTTGATTTTCTGAAAGGGAACCAGTTGATTTTGATTTGGCTGATCTTTATTTTCATCTGACGATTTTTGGATTAAAACATTCTGAAGTTTGCGGTTGTCGCTGAAGCTGAGGTTGGAAAAAGTTCGAAGACCATTGAATAGAAGGAAAGATTTTGGATTTGGTGGAAGGAAGCCGCGTAATCGTGGACCTATTATTCGAAGTTTTGAACTCAAATTCTTTTAGACGAGCCTCTAAATTTGAAACGCAGCCTTGGAATTGAAGAAACGTGCACGTTAAAAAAAAATAAAAGAGAAATTTTGGTTGATTTAAAAAAAAGAATCCCGAATCCCTGCCTAACAGTTTAGTGGACTAATCCGGCCGGTTATCTACTAAATCCCATCAAAAAGGGCAAAAAGCGCTATATAAATAAAAAGAAAAAAGAATAAAGAAGAGAGAAATAAAAGATATAAGTGTTAGGTAAATTTGGGAAATAAAAAAAAAATTAAAAGAATCTGAGGGCTGGTTTGAGGTTAGATAACTCGCAATGAAGGATGAGAAGAACCCAGAACTTGGGATGAAAATGAAAAATGTGGATGATACCAGCGGAGGAAGTGTTTTGGGACTCCCTTATCCTAAATCCTATGATGGGTCAGAAGATTTTGTTTCTTATCTGAAGACGTTTAATCGTGTAGCCACGGCTCACGGATGGACTCCACCCAGATGTGCGCAAATTTTACCGCTGTATTTAACTGGCTCAGCTTTGGCGATGTATGAAGGAATGCCAGATAGGGAGAAAAATTCTTGGAAGGTTTTAATTGAAGGCTTAGCCAGCAGATTGAAAAAGATGTCAAGTAAAGAGACGGCTCTCGTGAAGCTGGCTGAAAGGAGGCAGGAATTTGGAGAATCACTGGAAGAATTTTCCAATGATTTGAAAAATCTGGTGGAACGAGCTTATCCAGATGCGTCCTTTGAATTGAATATTTCAGCACTCAAATTAGATGATGATCAAAAGAAAAATTTGAAAACCGAGATTGAAAAAATGGCCAAAAAATTCAGAGAGGAAATCTGCCTGGAAAGATTTAAATACGGACTGTTGCCGGAAATTAGGGAGAAAATCATCTTTATGAAGGTACCCTCGTCGTTGGCAGAAGCTGTGTCGCAAGCGAGAAGAGTGGAAGAGTTGAATGCAACAATTAAAGCGGATACTTGGAAAAGAATGGAGGAAATAGAGGTCAATGCGGCGCTAGCGGAAGTTAATGAAGTAGGTGAGATAAGTGCAGATCCGGATAATGACTGGGGCGGGGAAATGACTGACCCGAATTTTGGCCTATATTATAAGAATGAAGATGAATATTATAATGACCATGCCCAATATTATGACCATGAACAAAATTATGACGGCGAGGAGTGCCATTGGTTGCCAAATGAAAATAATGAGTATTGGGGAGAGGAAGAGTATCAAGATCAATTTGGCAATGATTGTTGTTTCGATGATCAAGGTGATCAATACTGGCCCACAGATCAAACGAGATTTGATGACTATTGAGGAATTAAAAAAATACTTGGTGATGGTTTTAAAACTCAATCTTTGCGCTATGCTTATTTCGATGTTACCCCCACCCCCCAGGAGAGGAAGAAAAAGCGGATTTTGGCCCTTATTTTAGCCCAGCCCTGTGACATTTTCTTGGATGAACGCCTTGTTGTTATATATTTTTTCGATTTTCACTAAAATTTTCTTATCTCCATTCTCTACTATTACTGATCCAATTTTAAAATTTGCCGCTGTCATATGCATCCAAGTCAGGGGAATTTGTTGAACTGAAGCAGCATTTTGGCGCGATTAAATTTGATGGCAAAAAATGGAAGCGAAGAGATTGAGAGAGAGGAATATTGAAAAAGAAAGATAAATGAATAATTTAAAAAAAAATCAAGATAATATTTTCACACATTTTTTGCCATATCCGCTTCTCCTGTTGTATCCCCCACCCCCCGCGTATAGAATGTCATAGTTAAGAAAAATTAATATTTAACGCCCATTTTTAATGCCCCATAAAAGGCGAGAAAGAACTGGCCAAATAAGTTCATTCGCCAATCTCAACACCGACCAAAAGTTGGCCGGTTCTTTCTCCCTGATATTTAATTAAATATATTTGTTGAATAAAGTTTAAAAAGAAAGCTTTCCTTTTAATCGGTGGATCGGCGCGCCCCAAGGGTGGGTTACCACTCTTGGGGCCCAACGCCGACTAACCCCCTGAAAAAGGGGTTAGGATAATAATAGAGGGACTTCGTAACGGGATAATTTTTGACGAGATCAAACGGGATGGAATCGTGGGATTAATCCCGCTAATCCCGTTCTTCTCTTAAACTGAAATTCCGCAAAATCCCGTACGGGATGCCGCCCCATGCCACATACTAGTTAGTTTTACACCCCCATTTAACATACGTTTTTAAAATTTTGGTTGGCCAGTAGGTGGAGGAGGTGCTTAAGCAATACCTTCTATTTAAGATACACCTCACCTTCAAGCTAAGGTTCACCTCACTTCCCATTTAAGATACACGCACCTCACCTTTACTCACCTTTATTTGACACCTAGCCTCTTAGATAAAATACGTCTCATTTCCTTTAACACACACCTCCTCGTAAGACAAAAATTTTCAGCCGCAAAACCTCATCTTATAAAGAAGCTAAACTATATTTTTCTCCATTTTTAGCAACAATTCTCCCCTACCACTACCAACAACAATCACGAAAGATTAAAAACAAAAACAGCAAAATTATTAAAAACCCTAAAATGGCGTCAATCAGTATCCCATTCTATTGGTTACGAGGATGAATATGAAATTGCTTCTGCTCCCCTTTCTTCTTCTTATGCTTCTTCAGTTTCTGCTACAAGTTGGGGAGCAGAAAACAACAAAAATATAAAATTATTGCCTAGTGTGGGGGAAAATACACATTTTATTCCTATTGATGATGATGAGGAAGACAAAAATAATAATAATGAAGACAAAATTAATATTAAAGAGCAACAATTAATAGAAGATAATAATTCGCTGCAGAAACAAATGCTTGAATTAAGCAGGTAATTAAAAAAGCCCGTTAATTAGACCCCCCACTTTTCATCCTCCCAAGAAATCCAAAAAATCCCCCCACCCCCTCCCATTCAATTGCTTTTAAATTCAAAATTGGGCAAGTAGGCCCTCCTGATATTCCATTCGAATATTCTTAAGACCCTTCTTCAAACATTCCCCTCCCCATTCTTCAATTCAAGTCCTATTCTGTTTTTAAATTTTTTCAAACTTCTCGACCCTCAGTTAAAAAAACAAAATTAAGCAGGGTGGGTACATTTAGTAAGTTATTCACAAAAATATCCACATAGAAATTATTCAAAATTAAAGGTTGAGCCCCCCACTCCCCTTATCTCAAAAAACCGTCTTCCACAAAAATCCTTCCTCCCTTCAAAGAATTTCCATATTAAAATAAATCTTTTTAAAAATCTTGCTTTTGTTCCACCAAAATTTTTTATTAAAAATAAAACCCACCACAAATCACAAATAATTATTGCCCATTTCAGAGAAATCCGACGAGATTTTGGCGAGTTCCAATTGGCCAGATTTTCAAATGATTTGGAAGATTGTCCACACAGAACATTTAAAGAATAAAAAAGAAATCTAAAAAAAAATTTTTTAATTTAAGATCTCGCGGGTAAATATATTTTTTAGAAAATGCTCACCTAAAATATGTGCCCTAAATTCTGCCCTTTTCAAAATATACACTGCGGTGCATATGTTTATGCACACTAGTTTTTTGTTCATAATTTTATGCAATCTTAGCAACAAAATACGTTCTATATAGCAATCGAAAGCTCTATTTGTATCTCAGTTGACATGTTTCTGCATTTTCCATGAAAATGAAAATTGGCCGAGATAATCCGGATCTACCGGATATACCAAATCCCATATCCTCAGAAAAATTTTTCGGAAAAAATTTAACAAACCCATTTGATAAAGCATATTTTTGTGAGTATTTACCACAAAACCGCTTAGAAATATCTTTTTCCGGAACGGAGATATGATTTTTTGAAAATCGAAAAAAACGCGATTTTTTACGAAAAATGGCAAAAATATGGTATTTTTTCGATTTTCAAAAATTCATAACTCGCTCGAATCTCGACCGATTTGGATGATTTTTTTGTATTATATGTAGAATCTAGAGGAGAATCACATATATATTTTACAGACCTCAAAAAAATTTCTTCGAAAAGTTGAAAATGTAGTACCTGTTAGACCGGTCGAAAAGTTTTCGAAAATATCAGAATTTCGAAAAATGCAGAAACATGTCAACTGAGATACAGATAAAGCTTTCGATTGCCATATAGAACATATTTTTTGAATAAGTGTGCATAAACTTATGAACAAAAAACTAGTGTGCATAAACATATGCACCGCAGTGTATTACTAAAAATTAATTTCATATTTGTTATTTATTCTTTTTTTTAAACTGTTTCTTTCAATGGTGCAAACTTTTTTCATTTCCTTTTTTATTAAAAATAAAATAAAAATTTTTAAAATATTTTTTTTCTTCTAAAATTTTTTTTTTAATTTACAAAGCCGAAAAATGAAAAATAGAAAAAAATATATATGTAAATATATAGAATTTTGGAAAAAAGAGTTTTTCATAGACTAAAAACATTTTTTAGAATTTAGTAAAAAGAAAAGAGATCAAGAAAATTTTCTTACGTAAACTCAGTACGCAATTATAAAAAAATCACGCATATTTTTTAAAGAAAGGTTCTATCAGAAAATTGAATATATTAGAGAGATCGGAAGTTTTTGAAAAATCTTAAAACTTTCTTAAATTTTGGTTGAGAGAAGTGACTATATTACTAACCCCAAGACAAGGAAAGATCGAGGAATACTAAAAAAAAATCGGCATTGAGCTTGACTTTGGATCCAGTAAAAAATCACACAATGTCTGGATCAAGATCCTGGCCGATCTCTATTAAAATATATATTATGTACAAAATATTTTAAAAATAAAAAATAAAAAAAAAGGAAGATTTTTGTCACAAAAATTTGTTAGCAAAAATAAAAAAATAAATTTTTAAGTGTATTCTTTAAGAGAGAATTGTTTTACTTATATAAAACATAAAAAATATTTAAAGAAAAAATAGGAAGTGAATTTTTTGTGTGTGTTAGAAAAATAATAAAAAAATTTTTTGGGCATCTACTATAACTAAAAAAATAAACTAGGCAAATTTTTAATTAATTAAAAAAAAACTTTGTTCAAACACTAAATCTATTTTCTTTCCCATTTGGTAACATTAATGTCAAAGATTTTGAATTAATCCAAACAAGCCTTGCACGAAATAATTGATAACTTCCACCAGGACTTATTACTGGAAATTCACCTGGAGCAGGTTGCATTCGAGCACATCTAACTTGACTTTGTCCCATTCCCTTTTTAATTAAAAAAAATTTTTTTTTTGAAAATTGAAAAAAAATTTTTTTTGTTAAAAAAATTTTTTTTGAAAGTGAAAAATTTGCAAAAAATTTTTCCAAAAATTTTTTGACCTTGACCAATTCTCTTTTCCATTAGAAAAATTTTTTTTTAATTCATGAATTTTTTCCAAAAATTTTTTTCAAAAGATTAGCAAAAAACCGTTTTTTTAATTTTTAGTCATTTTCTAATACTACAGCCAAAAAAAATTTTTTGGGCACCCGTTCCTTCCCTTTTAATTAATTTTTTATTTTTTTACTTTTCTTAAAAAAATTTTTTTTGAAAAAAATCTTTCTAAAATTTTTCAAAAAATTTTAAGTTGAAAAAAAATATAAAAAATTAAAATACCAAAAATGTTTGTTGAGTTTGCCAAAAACTAATTTTTGCTTCCTGTGCAGCATATGCTGCCAAATATTTTCCATCTTCAGAAAATGCTGATGCAGTGATTGGAACATTGTGGGCTTTAACTGACTGAAAGAAATTAATTTTTTAAAAATCCAAAAAATTCTAACAAAACCTGTGATTTAGATAATCTAAGTTCATGTATAACTATAGTTCCATTCTTTCCACCAAATGCTAATCGACGTGTTGTTGGACAATAAGTAACCATATAAAATCTTAGAAAATTAATAAAATAAATTTAACTAAAAAATTATTACTTTGCAATAGGAGGGAATAAATCTGTTATAGAACGTTGTTTAAGTAATGACAAATCAAGGCAATGGACTAGAATATCTCCAACCTTTAAATTAAAAAAATAAAGATTATTAAAAAATAATTGATCAAAAAGAAATATCTAGAAAAATTTTTTAAGGGGAGGCTAAAAATTAAAAAAAATTCTACTATTCAAGAGACTAATAGGGGGAAAATGCCGTTAAGATAAAAGTCCATGGGACTTCTTATAACTCTTTCGCAACCTGGATATAAACATCAAAAGCCATTTTTCCTAACAAATTTTTTTTATAATTCAGGAGTAATTTTTGTGACTTCCTGCCACCCGAATATACCTAAATGCCTAATTCGTTTGTAATTTTTTTCTATACCAGAAAATCAGAACCAGCAAAAAACCAGGAAATTTTTTATCTATTTTCTAGACAGCTCATCAAAAAATATTTATTACAAAACAACAACCTGTACAATTAAATCAACAACAAAATTGTATTGCCTTTCTGATAATTGTTCTAAAAGCCTAAGTACTTCATTTCTTGATTTTGTTAAAGGGCTAGGTATTGGATGTTGAATTGTTTGGTGTTGAGCTACTGCATTATAACGAATCACCTAAATTTAATTTTCAAATCAAAAATTTATAAAAAAATTTAAAAACCTCCATATTAAGTGCAGTAATTAATGCTTGAGGTCGAGAAGAAGCAATAAGTGATAAAGCATGTCTGGCTGTACGACAAGCATCAGCTTCAGGTGAGAGTTGTACTCCAGATGGCAGAGGTCTAAAAAGGAAACTTTTTCTTTCCAGATAGAAATTCGCTTACCCAGCGGGCAAATGCCTTTCGCACTCTGCAGCTAAATTGAGTAATCCAATAAGCATTTTTGGCAAATCAAGATGAGGCTAAAAAATTAATCATTCATTTTACAAACAAAAAATTTTTCTAAAGAACCTGCCAAAGTACAAATCCTCTTCCCAATAAATCTATCGCTGCTCTTCTCAAAAGTGAATTTTGAGGAATTAAAAGTGGAGGATAAACAGTTGTAGGTGATAACAATAATTCTAATAATGAATGAGCTGTAGCACGGCAAATATCCAAATGGCGTTGTAAATCATTGGGAAATTCAGCACCTGAAATTTTTAAAAAGATTTTTTATTTTTAAAATACTAGGCGTGCTTTACTAAATTTTAAATAGCACAAAACTCTAATACAAGCCATGGGGTTATATTTTTAATAGGTCACCTGAGTGGCTTCTATTAGAGAGTGGGTTTCTATTAGAAAGAAAACATATATTTCTCGCTGTCTTATAAAGTGGGTCTCAATTAGAGAGGGTGTTTTTATTTTTCGGTGGGTCTTCTTCGGGTGAACGTCTATTATTAAAAATAGGCTTCTCATAAAGTCGGGCTTTAATTAGAGCATTCACGGTAATTTATAAAAATCAAAAAATGATAAAAAAAAATACCCATAACACCAAGAAAAATAATTGCTGTTGCCTGATTTCTGCGTATTTGATTAATTCCACCCAAATATAATTGATCATTCTATTAAATTATAAAATATTTTTTATTTTAAATAATTTTCCTTACAAGTATTGTAGAACTTTCATGTTGTTGTTGATTTTCTGTTGAAGTATTATAAGACGAGGCGAAAGCAATAGTTGTTGTTTGTTCAGTAACATCACTATTGGTATTATTTTCTCCTCCTTCTCCTCCACTAATTGTTGAAGTACTTTTACTACTTTGATTAACACATATTTTATGTGAATAATTATTTGTTGTTGTTGAAAAATCACAAGAAGAAGAATTATTGTCTTCAATAGATGTTAAAGGCAAAACTTGTGGTAAAGGTGTAGAATTTGATGATCTTGGAGGTATTGGTGGAACACTTGGACGTGGCGGTGGTGGACTTTTTGAAGAAGATACTGATGATGCTGAAGATATTCTTGTACTTGAAATTGCTGATAATGAGTCTGGTTGTTGCGAGTCTGTTGGATTATATTCTATATTGGCGGAATTATTCAAATTTTTAGAAGAAGGTGGATTTGTAGTTGAAGCATTTTGTGTTGAAAAAATAGAAATTGATTGATCGAGTAATACAGGTAGAAAATTGGCCCATTTTTTAATTAATTGTTGACGGCCTATATTTGGAAAAATAAAATTAAAATGATGATTCAAAAAAAAACCTTCTGGACCTAGACGATTCAATTCTCTAATTAGAAGAGCTTGTGCAGCATCACGAATTTCAATACAACTGTCTTGCCATCTGTGAGATAAAAGAAAAAATATAATACCCTTTAAAATTAAAGATGAACCCAATTAAATGATGTCCCCAATCTTTCGGATTTGAATTCTAGTTAAGTCCCGGTTTTATTTTTGAGGGATTTTTTAACATCAGTTTTTTCAAAAATTTTCGGGTTTTGTTAACTTTTGGCAAAAAATATCACAATTTCAAATTTTAAAACATATATGTAGGTCCAATCCTACTTTAAAAAAATAATTTTTTCCCTTACTTTCTTGCAAGCATATCAAGTTTAGGAGAAGCATAAGAATTTTTAGGTTTTATTCTTTCCGGTAAAAGAATACAATGTAATGCAGCAATATTTGACCAACTTTGTTTAACTTTGTGACTTTCACATTCACTTAGTTGATCTTCTGTTGATTTTGAGGAAGGAGAACGTCTAGAAATTTTTATTTAAAATTAAAAAAAAATTTTTAAATAAGAGTAGCCACCCAAACCTTCAGGATCGGGTTTGTCGGGGATCGGATCGGAGGTCGTAAGTATCGGGGATTCCCCCTCGTTGGTTACGGGCCTAAGTCGGGGTTCTCAACATAAATAATCGACAGGGTCAGAGATTGAGTTTCGGGTGGCAGACCGGGGTTTCAGGGGGACAAGCTTCTCTATATTTAACAAACCTTAAAGACATCCTTTTAGAATTATAGTAATAACGATTTTTCAAAGCCATTAAAGTATTTGAAAGTGATACAACTGCAAGTAAATGAATTGTTGTTAATGTTTTACTCATTTGCCAATGTATATTTTTTGAAAAACTTTTAAAAGAAAAATCGTCTAATGCTGGAATTTTTCCAGAAGAATATGGTGTGTAGAGAGAAACATAACCTATAATAAAATTTTTTTATTTAAGTAAGGCAGTTGAACTTGGGCTTTAAAAAATCGAATGTAAAAATGATGGGTAGCATAAATTGCGTAAACAGGGGTGGCGCTCGTCTCGTACCTCGTGAAATCTCGTTCTTTTTGAGAGATTTCATACCTCATTTTATCTCGTTCTCGTATTTTTTGAGAATCTCGTATCTCGTAAATCTCATATTTTGTGGCACTTGCGCCACCCCTGGTGTACAACGTATGTAACGAAAATCTGCCATATTTTTAAAAGAAAACGACGGAACTGGAAAAGCATCATAAATCAAAATCGGTTGAAGACGGAACCGGGAGAGGTTCCGTCCGCTAGGTAGCTTTACCCATCCCTTCCCTAGTGGTTAAGTTAGGGCTCAACGAAGGAGGAATTTTTTGGAAATAACCAAATTCAAAGTCCGATATTTTATTTTAAAATTGTTCAAGAGTAAATTGAAAAAAAAAGCTTTAAAAAATATTTTCTGCAAACCTTTAGAAATTGTACCAAAACATAGAGGTATTTTTGGTTTAGATAATTTTAAACTATTTATTGCAATATCATCAACAGATTCATCATTATCCCATGCATGTAAAAGTGAAATTAAAAGTTTTGCAGTATCCAAATAAAGTGAAGGTTGTTGTTGTAATAAAATATTATTATTTTTACTGGAAGAAATTCCACCATTTTGTTGTTTCAAATTTAAATTATTATTAGTTGACAATTCTTTTAATGATAAATAATTTGAATTTGACAACCCATTTTGATGTTTTGAATCACAATTATAATTTGTTATTGTATCTATTATGCTAATTCTTTCTTTATCAAAATTTTCTCTTTCATCATCACATGAATCGAGTATAAGAAGGCCATCTACAAAATATAAAAACTTTTAATTTAAAATTACTGGTACCCCCCCTATCAGTCTCAGATTAATTTTCGTTTTATCCCTACGCCTCGAACATAATAATGGACATAAAAACATAGTCCCGACATACTGACAAGTCCAAGGCAGTAAAAGTCGGCAAAAGAAAGGCCGAAGTCGGCCTCGGACAGTGAAAAATTAATCTGATTTTTAGAATCAAACAGGGATAGGAGGGGGGAACAACACAAATGGGAAATAAATAGAAGGGAACAAAGTGACAAATTATTAAAAAAATTAAACAAACTTATTAGTGCATTAACGTCAAATAAAATTATATGTGTTGTATCTGAACATGTAGACATTTGTACAATTTCCAAGGGAGGAGATATAAGGTGTAAATTTGTATTATTATTATTGATAGTAGATGAATCATCTTCATTTTCTTTGTCTGTTCCATGTTGTCCAGCAATTATTTTTTTCATCTTTAAAAAAAGAGGAAATTAATCATAGAATACTAATGATTGAAATTTGTGGTGAAAAAAAGAAGGAAAAATCATGATGTAAAAAGGAAAATTCAAAAGTGATATTGACAAGTCTGTGAGGATTTAATAATTAGAAAACTCGATAATCAAGATTATTAAATGCGATCTTGCCTGGACAGAATCTCTAATGTGCAACATTTTTTCCTAATGGTGCAACTCTAATTTTACATAATAGAATAGAGAAAAACCACCACCATCAGTACATAAAATAACCTCTTCCTCGTCATCAGGTTCTCGAAAAGGTGGAGAACAACACAAATTATTAGAAGAACTAGATGAAGAATCCCGTCGAAAAGAAGAGGAAGAAGTAATACAAACCGATGATGGTGGAGGAGGAAGAAAATTTCTTTTGATTTTTACCGCTGCCATATCCTTTTGTTTTAATGCCCTCAGCATTTGAACAGCTGTTTGTGAAGCAGTACCAAAAGAATTTTCATCTTCTGATCCAAAACCAAGTTGTTCATCAGTAGAAGAGTTCATCAAAATCTTTAGAAAATATGCAAAAATGATACAATAAGAAAACACAAAAATAACCTCATCAGAAGCTAATCCAGTTATTACTTGATCAAGTACACCTTTAAAAAAATTTAAAAAATAACTCCTCACTAGGGTTGCCGTTTTCGAGTCGGGCCGAGGGTCGAGGCAGTTTTTCGGGCCTAACTTTATCGAGCCGAGCCGTACGAGTCCTTTTCGGGCCAAATATCTTAGGCCCGACACGATCTTTCGGTCCATTTTGGAAACCCTATTCCCAGAAAACTCAAAAAAACCTGTTTCAATATTCCAAACATAAACAGAATCATCTTCACATTTTAACAAAATTTGATCACTTAAAGGACGCCAACGAATATCAACAATAGGAAATTGTTGTCTGCTAGCAAGAAGAACACAACGAAGCTTTTTTAAGCTAACAAAACAGGCAGAATTGTCTGCAGCAATGCAACATATACAATCCAGTAATTTTGTCTAAAAATAACAAAAATATTCAAAATTGCATAATCCGCAAATATTTGCAGAAAAATTTTTGCGGACATTTTAAAAAATTAAAAAATCTTACATTGCAATTAACTGGAGGAACAAGCAATTGAGTAATAGTTCCTCCTTGTGAAGAAAAACGATGAAGCCTCTCATCATTTGTTACATTCCAAACAATAACAGAAAAATCAGCACTACCAGAAAGTAATAAATTTGGATCATATCTATTGCTTTCAGCAAAAGGATAAAGAAAACACGTCACAGAACTAGAATGACCATTTGGGAGTATTTTTAATTGGGTGGATTCTGAAAAATTTTAGAAATAAAAAATTTTAAAGCAAAAAAAAACCGTTATTGTAACCATCCAATAATGCAACCATTATTACTTGACAAGCACTCATTGTCTAAAAATTGATAAAAAAAGTTAATAAAATATTCAGAAAAAAGTGTAAAACCATTATTGAACCGTCACTTCTTCCAAGAAACAATTTATCTTGTGTAGACACATAAATAGTGGCTTGGATGGTGGATCCAGACTGAAAATATTAACTTAATAAAAAACCCAAAATTAGCTTTAGAAGAAACCTCAATATTAGCAATTGCAGGAGGGGTTGGGGAAAGTCGACTCCAAGCGTCAGAAAGACACTGTCTAATTGTTGGTTCATAAACTTTAAGAATTATAAATTTTTTTTAAATAAAAATGAAAACCTATTGGACGTCGCGTTCTCACAAACTCGCTAACCAACAATTCCAAATTTTTTGGAACATGCCAAAAACTGATAGAAGAGCTTTGTTCATCCAACCGATAAGTAATTTGGCGATGAGTTTTATCAGAAGAAAGTTTTGAATCGAAGAAAAATTTGACCGGGTTTAAAAGAGGCTGGAAATTTTTTTTCAAATTTTCTAAAAATTTTTTCAAACCTGTAAATTTGGAGAAGCAACGCTTTTTAATAGAGCAAAAACAAAGGGTTGTTCAATTCCGGCAATGTTTGAAGGTTTCTCCCCAAAACGCTCCCGAATTTGTCGACCAACCAATTTACTCAAAAAAAATTTTTAAAGAAAAAATTAACAAAATAAACCTTCTAGGTAACTGAAACAAAACAATAGTTGAATCAGCAAATCCAATAGCAACCTTGTCAATATCCACAATCATTCCTTCCAGGGCTTCTATAGCACATTCGGAGACCACTAATTGGCCGAGGGTGCTGGGATCAATAACCTGAAAATATTTTAAAGATTAAGGTTAAACGGTGATCTTTGCCAAATCATAACGGATCCAAAAAAATCCCTGTCGATTTCGATATTTCTGACGGTTCCGCAGCTCCGAGTTCAGAAGCAGCGGCTTCACGGTTGAGGAACCATGGTATCAAGAATACGAATGGGAATCAAAAAAATCCCTGGCGCGCCAAAAGTTTCTTGAAAGAAGGTTAAACTTTTAAGCAATATTTTCCGGAGTTTCCCTTGCCCGCTTATATGGCTAAAAATTCTTAAAATCAAATGTTCAATAACCTGCCAAGAATTAGCACAAACAACCAACATCATTCTAACATTCTTTTCCGAACAAGTTATACTATGTACATTCCTAGGTGCTATAAATTTCGATTCTTCTTCAAATAAAATATTTGTTGTGTTATCCTTCATATTTAATTCATTTAAGGACCAAAGTTTGGCAACACCAGATAAAGATACACCAATTAGAACGTCTAAAAATTTAAAATTTGAAAAAGTCAAGACTAAAAGAATTACCTATTTTGTCGTTTGGTTTAACCAAAGTAATAGAATTCATCCAATCTGGTTCAGCACGTGAATTGAGGGTATAAAGGACATTTAAATCATGTGGATGAATTGCAACAACATCGGTATAATCACCAACACAAAAAAGAATTTCATGGAGATTTTTACAGGCCTTAAAAAAAGGAAATATTTCAAAAATTTTAGGGCAAATTTTTAGAAAATATGGAAAACCTGTCAGACAAATAAACAAAAAAACTTACGTAGGGCTTCATTTTCCTATGAACATAATTCGTTCTCATACTATCTATTATCCGTCCATCAGCAGAATCCCAAAGACAAATATGGCCATCTTCTGAACATGAGATGAACTTCCTGGAAAGAGGATTAAATAAAATAAGCAAACAAAATAAAATTTACGATGCCGAAACAGATGTCGAATTAGGAGATATACAACTTATACAAGTTTTGTGGGCCAACATAACCATTTGTGGTTGGATCCATCCAAGTGATTCGTCTACCATCCATTGCATTACAATTCCATCTTCACTTCCCGTCAGAATTATTTTGCCATTTCGTATTGATGAGATTTGTTTGATTCGACTTCGAGGGGGCTTAGGCCCCCATAGGACAACAGGGACTACAAGTCCTGATTTTTCAGAAATCATGAATAAGGAATCTAAAAATCAAGAAACAATAAAAAGAAAAAAATTGACAAATCATCATATAAAAAGAATCACTACGACAAATTGTCATTTTTAGTTAATTTGGACGTTTTGAATTTTTGGTGTTTTAAAAATACATAATGACAACAGACTTTTAGTCAAGGGACTTTTCGTCAATGGTCTTTCCGTCAATACTTTTCGTCAATGGACCTTTCCTCTTGCTTGCGCGTATTGTCTTGCAACATTTTTCGCATTTACCTTAATTTTTGTTTATCTTATTTTCAGTTGATTATAGAGATTATTTTCTTTTGATTATTATGAGAGCAAACTATCAAAGTCATAAGCCGGAGGCAGCTTTGCAACGAGCTCATGAATTTATTTCTGTTGGGAAACAACGAGATGCGCTTCAATCGCTTCATGATTTAATCAAGGTTTTAAATTTTTTAATTTCTTTAAGTTTTTTTCCCTTTCTAGGGTCGTCGACAGAAGCAATGGTCACAGATATACGAACAAATTATGCTTAAATATGTTGAACTTTGCGTTAATTTGCGGAACTCAACTTTGGCAAAGGATGGACTTTATCAATATAAGATATTAACTCAACAGGTTTTACAATTTTTATCCTTTTACCAAGTCTAGTCAGGTTTTTAAAATTTTCCCCGAATCGGGCAAGTAGATAGCCGGGTTTCGGTTCGAGTCATTTAATGTGATTAGAGGGGAATGGTCGGATTTGTTTTTGGAAAATTTTTAGATCGGGTTTTGTGTCTGACAAAGTTCAGTAATCGACTTCGGGTAAACATCCCTTCTCTTTACCACTTTACTTAAACAGGTTGCTGTAAAGTCGCTGGAGACTGTTCTCGAAACCTTTCTTACTCTTGCTGAGCAAAAAACTTTGGAAGCTCAAAAATCTTCTATTGAAAAAATTGAAGAAATTGATGATCTTGATGTTGCTGATGCTCCAGAGAAGTATTTTCATTTATCAGTTCATTCATTTATCTCCTTTTCAGTTTGTTGTTGTCGTTTGTCTCTGGTGCTGTTCCACAAGATCGAATGGACCGCACAGTTCTAAGTCCTTGGCTTCGTTTTCAATGGGATACTTTTCGCAATTGTCTCGATTTGTTGCGTAATAACGTTTATGTTGAACAAATTTATCATCATATTGCTCGTCAATCTTTTGCTTTTTGTCTTCAATACCAGCGACGAAATGAATTCCGTAAACTTTCGGATATGTTACGGTTTGTCCAAAATTTTGAATTTTTTCTATTTTAATTTTAAGCCTTCATCTTACACAAGTTCAAAAAGCTCAACAGGCGCAAACAATTCCGGCTCACGCGTCTCCTTATTTTCTCTAAATTTCTATGTAATTTTGATTTTAAGGATTAAATTGACAAATATCGAGTCTTTGACGCTTATGTTGGAAACTCGTCTTTGTCAATTAGATACAGCGATAAACATGGAATTGTGGCAAGAAGCCTATAAAAGTGCTGAAGGTTTGTTTTTATTATTTAACGACCTAAATATGAATTTTAGATCTTCATAACCTGATGCAAATTGGAAAGGATAAGGACAAGAAAATCGCTAAACCTTCTAGCTATGTTAATTATTACGACAAGGTTTATTGGAAATCATTTTGCATAGGTTTTAACATTTTAGATTGCGCTTGTCTTCTGGAAAGGAGGAAATACACTCTTCCATGCTGCTTCACTCTTACAAAAATTTAATATTTACAAGGATATGAAAAAACAATTTACGGGTGAGGAGGCGACAGATCAGGCTACAAGAGTCCTTCTAGCAACACTTAGTATTCCTGATGGGGCTGAAAATCCGTCAATTTTGACAAAACATTTGGATATTGAAGAACAGCATGTGGCTAATACAAGGTTGATTTTTGAGATTTTTCGGAAGTTTTAGTTAACATACCTTAAATGTGTAATAGAAGCGATGGGCTTTTCTTTTTTACTGGACCCCAATAGTGGGCATAGGGATGGGCGTTTATTAGAGTATTTACTCAATTGTTTTATTCTTTTCAGGATTCTCTCCGCACTTTTACGTATGCCTATTATTCCAACGCGTAATGGAATTTTGAAAGAGATTGCTCGTTTAAACATTCCGGAGATTGCAGCACCTGAAGTTTTTAAATTATACAAATGTATCGAAAATGATTTTGATCCGTTACACATTGCCGTCAATGTTCAAGAAATGCTTTTAGAGATTGAAAAATTGGGTGAAAAGTTGGGATATTCTGAATATGGTCAATATTCTAATTCGATTAAACAAACTGTTGCTGCAAAAATTGTGAAACAGGTTTTTAAAAATTTTATTAAAGTTTCGAGACCATTAGCCCTCTAACTGTAATTCTGGCTCGGTTTTTGGTCAGAAAATTTGTGATTAATTGACGTGAAGTCTTTAATGGAATGGTCGCCTTAAAATGGTGTCTCCCTCTAATAGAAGACTTGTTGAGTAAAACTATCCATTAATAAAATTCCATTTTGAGGATGGGTGGCAAATAGAATGGACGGCCATTCTATTAGAGATATTTTTGTATAGTCCTCCATTAAAGAATGGCCGTTTTAAGGATGGTCTGTATAGTCGTAATCAACCTGACCTTTTAATTTTTCATTTAAAATTTACAGATTTCATCACTTTATGAGTCAATAACACTTGAGCGTCTTTCTGAAATTATTCCATTTTATAATCGAATGCAATTGGAACAATTTTTAGTTGATATATGTAAACAACATTCAGTTTCTGCACATATTGATCATCGTCAAAATTGTATTTATTTTGGTCCAGAAGATGCAATCTTGGCAAGTGAACTTGAAAGTGAAAATGGAAATATTTCTGAGGTAACTTTTTTGTTAATTTTAGTGATTTAAAATTTTTCCTTCACGTTTTAGATTTCAAAAATTAAAATGCAAGTATCTTCGGTTTATTCACGTTTGCAGGATGTTTATCTTGATATTGATCAAAGTTCAGTTAAGGAGTTGCAGGAAAAGGTTTTTTTGATGTTTTTTAAGTTCGCTAATCCAACCTATTTTAGTTAGCTCGCCAAATTAAAATTTATTTAACTCATAAAGATGGCGATTTTGAACGTATACTTGCACGTCGTAAGAAAATTGAACATTATAAAGAAAGTACTGAGCAAATGAAACAAGAAAAGTTGTTGCAAGTTCAGATGTTGGCTAATAAACAAGAAGAAAAACGTCGAACTGAAGAATATAAAAAATTAATGGAAGAAAATAAAGAAAACGAACAGCGTCGAAAATTGGCGGAACAAGTATATTTTTATTTTTAAGACCTACTTGGGACTAAATTTTTCGGGTAATTATTAGTTAAAAAATTTAGAGGGACGTATAGAAATGCCAAATACTGGAAAGTCTTTCCCCCAGTATTTTGGCGGTTTTGTCATTAACTGTTCTTCTATTCCTGAACTCTATACGAATTTTGGGACTTTCTAACAAAAATTTTTTAGGCTGAAATTCAACGTAAAGTAGCTGCCGATCGAATGCAAAAACAAAAATCTCATCCATTATACGAAATGTTGGTTAAGGAATTGGGTGAAGAGGCTGTTGAAAAGATGGATTTGGAGCAATTTATAATTGAGAAGGTTTATTAAATCTTAAGAATATTTAATTTATTTAAAAAAAATTTTTTAAGCGTAACCTTTTGGATAAAGAACGAAAAGAGCAACAAAATAGAATGCTTCAACAAGAGAAAAAATTTGATTATAATGTTAGAGCAGTTAATTTGGAAGAAATGTTAGTTTGGAAAGAATTATCTGATGAACGACAAGCTTCTGCTCCTGAAATTTTTGATCAATATGAAACTAGAAGAATTGATGAAGAAATGTTTGTTTTTTAATTTTTAGAGGAAAATTTTCTTTTTTTTTTTAGAAAAGCACGAGAAAAATCGCTCGAAACTTTTCAACTTTTAACCAAAGTTAAAGACGATGCTATCAAATTTATGCGTAGTACAATTCAATCACATGCTGAAGAATTAAAGGTTAGTAAAGAACAATGGAAAGAGAAGGTGGAATTGGTTCGTGAAAAAGCTATTGAAAAATTGGCAAATGAAAGAATGAAAAAATGGCAGGTTGAAGTTGAGCGTCAAAAGCGTCTAGAGGAAGAACAGCGTCGAAAAGAAGAACAACCGCCTCCGCAACAAATTCGTAAAATTGAAGCGCCACCTCAACAGCAGCAGCAAAAACAACAACGTCAGGAACCTACGCCACAGCACCAGGAACCTGCATTACAACAGCGTCGTCAAGAACCGCCCTCAGAACCGAAACAATGGCGTCAAGAACAAAAACCACCAGCACAACAACAGCAGCGTCGTCAACAACCTGAACAACCGATGCCGCCACAGCAACAAAGTCAACAGCAACCACAACAGCAGCAAATTGAAGGGAAAGAACCACCGAAGAGGGGAAAATATGTGCCTCCACATGTGCGTAAAGCTCAGCAAGGGCAGCAGTAATAAAAGGTTATTAAAAATGAAAGTTGTTATAGTATGTATTATTTTTTATAAAAATTGTTGAGAATTAATTTAACTGTTATTTCTTTTAAAATTTTGTGTTTTGGGGTATGTGACCAACTAAAAAAATTTTTTAAATTAGATTTTTTCTGGGCCGTTTTGGCGCGGGGCTGTTTTGGCGCGACCTTATAAAACAGTTGTTTATATAAAAAGATAAAAATTTTGCATTAATAACTCTCGTGCCTTTATATGAATTCTCCAAAAATTTCAGAATTTTTGATCAAGAATTTCGGAAATTGTGGCCAAAAATATTGATTTGCTGAAAAATGCCTAATTTTTCGATGTCTATCGACTACACTGCGTTCCAAAATCATACGCACCCCTAGTTTTTTCATGTTTTATAAATTTTCCATTGTTATTTTAATCGGATATTTTATCCATTGATTCTTCTTGATAAATTACATGTCTAAACAAGAAAATAAGAAAATCCGTAAATTATTTACTCTTTTATGCGATTTACTTAAAATATTAGTGTTCCAAAATTATACGCACCCCCCTCATAAAATTTTTGTTTACCAAGATAAAAATCCACAAAAATTTTTCTGAACATATCTATCAATATAGATAAGAAATAAAAAAGAAATGAAGTTCAGATGTACTTCCATCATCGAGATCTGGAAATCCGAAAATCAACGGAAAACGGGGGTAGACGTCTTAAAAAAATAATTTCGACTCCTTATAGGTCATAATAAATTTTTATTATGGGCTTATTTGAAAGCCCTTTAAATTTGCTACAAGATAGTGAATAGTTCATAATCCAGAAAAATTTCTCCGTTGTGACCCAATGTGATAAATTTGCAAGTCATAAAAATCGTTCAAACACCCCCAAATATTGACGAAAATGTAACATACACACAAAACTCATTATATCACGAAGAAAAATTTTTTCTAGATTATGAACTATTCACTATCTTGTAGCAAATTTAAAGGGCTTTCAAATAAGCCCATAATAAAAATTTATTATGACCTATAAGGAGTCGAAATTATTTTTTTAAGACGTCTACCCCCGTTTTCCGTTGATTTTCGGATTTCCAGATCTCGATGATGGAAGTACATCTGAACTTCATTTCTTTTTTATTTCTTATCTATATTGATAGATATGTTCAGAAAAATTTTTGTGGATTTTTATCTTGGTAAACAAAAATTTTATGAGGGGGGTGCGTATAATTTTGGAACACTAATATTTTAAGTAAATCGCATAAAAGAGTAAATAATTTACGGATTTTTTTATTTTCTTGTTTAGACATGTAATTTATCAAGAAGAATCAATGGATAAAATATCCGATTAAAATAACAATGGAAAATTTATAAAACATGAAAAAACTAGGGGTGCGTATGATTTTGGAACGCAGTGTATAACTTCAGAAAAATTTTATAAAAAATTCTGAAATTTCTGGAGGAGGTAGTCAAGGATGTTACAGAAATTTGAGGAAATTTTTTTATGAATTTAGTTCTAGCTAATTGCCAGTTTTTAGTTCTCGCGCCAAATCGAACCGGCGCCAGAACGACCCCTACCCGATTTTTTTCAAGTTGATGGTGTTCCGTTTTTCTTTCCTTTTTTCACCGGTCACTCTTTTGTAGACAGAAAATATTATATTAACACTAAGTTAAGAAAAAAATTCTTGTTGAAAAAAATTTTTTAATTGTCGTATAAAAATTATTTCTTTTTCAATTTTATTAAATAAATACATACAAATGTTTATACATTTTTCTCTTCTTTACATGAAGAGAGAGATTAATATACATTATATCTTTTTTATTTTTTTTGTCTCTTATGAGAATTTTTTTAATAATAATTTTAATTTTATCTCCCGTTCAAGGGAAGCCTTTAAGGATTAAAAATATTTTTTTATTGGCAAAAAGAAGAAGAATTATATAATCCATTACAACAACAGCTAAAAAGTAAAAATTAATTTTTATTTATCTGCTTTTCTTGGCTTTACTCCATAGATACTGACTACTATTAGACAATTAAAACAAACACACCTTTTAAAGGTTAGTAATTTTTTTATTATTATTTTTTAATTTTCTATGAATCATTTTTGGACGGTCTTCGTACTTATTAGCAAAAATTTTTTAAAAGTTCATAAAAATAGATTTTTTTGTTATCAAATGTTTTTTGAGTGTCAACTATTTATATCTTTATCCGGATTTTGTTTTTATCTCCGAGAAAGAATTTAAAAAAGACCGAAAAAATACTAAATCCTTAGAAATTTGGTAAATTTATTTTTTGGAAAAAAAAAACTAACTTTTTCATGAAACGACCTAAATACCACTTTTAAAAAAATTAAAAATTTTTAAAAGATATACTACTTTTAATTGTGATTATAGTCTTTGTAAAAATAGTTGGGACCACCCTGGATTTTTTTTCAAATTTTAATATTAAAATGTCTGAAAAATTTTTTTTAAATTTAATTTTCAGCATTGTTTTTTGAATCATGCTTGGCTATACTTTTACAAGGATATTCGTTATATTGTTGATTTATGTTTTTACTTTGATGGCTACAAATTTGGTATCTAAATTTAATCTTTTTTAAATTATATTTTTAATTTTCTTAAAGGTTTATTCAATGGAAAATGAAGTTCGATGCGGGTAAAAAATTAATTTTTTAATAAAAAATTTTTTTGGGTAGACTTTGTTTATGGGTATGAAGCAAGGAATGTGACGGATTTCCCGAATCTCGGACTTTTTTCTTTCAAGATACGACTTTTAGCCAGGCCCTTCTTTGTAGCCAGGCCCTTCCCTTATCTGACCTCTGGCCTAAAAGCTGATCCTTTGAAAATTTTGTAAACCCCACCTGCCTTTTTTCCAAGTCTGTGACATCTCTGGTATGGTTTAGTGTGTATAAAATTTGAAAACAAATTTTATTTCACCTAATTTTTTTTATTCCTGTTTTTCAGTTCTGTCGATATTAGAAATGATCCAAGAAATGCTTTTCATCAACCTCGTAGAAATATGAAAACAGATGAGGATGGAAAAGAGAGGAAATTGAAATATAGAGAATGCACAATTTTAGAAGGGGATTTTACTATTTCTATGGTTTTTTTTTATTTTTAAAATTTAAAAAATTTTTTAAAAAATTAGATTACAAGAAGCAATCTTACTGATGGTCGGGTTTTTTTCTATTAATTTTTACTTTAATTTTTTTTCTAATTTTAGATCTGTTCCCAGTTTTTGAAAATTTGCGTGAAATAACTGGCTCAATTTTGGTTTTTCAAATACGGTTTTTCTTTTAAAAATTTTTTCTCTTATTTTTAAACATTTTTTTAAGTGGATTAACCAGCCTTGGACGTATTTTCCCAAATCTTCGAGTAATTGGTGGTCATTCATTAATTATGAATTATGCTCTTGTTGTATATCAAAATTATGATTTGAGGGATATTGGGTATTTTTTAAATTGTGTTTATTTTTTGTTTGGGTTCCAAAAGGAAGGAAGAGTATTTGGGGATAAAGGACGCAAAACTTTGGGATTTCATGCTGTTGAAAATTGAATAATAAATTAATAACGAAGTGTGTCCAATGTCTTTTCAATAGGAGTCCACCCAAAAGACCTATTGACCCAGAAGATACAAATTTTTAAAGCGAATATCGAGGGATTTAGAGGGATTAACATGGAGGAGGGTAAATACTTTTCAAAAGCTGTAGGTCTTTTAGGTTAAAGTATTATGAAAATAGGGGGAGTTTGTTGTTGTTCTTTGACCTGGGACCTAATGTCTCCAAACCAAATTTCCCTTGAAATAAAACCTTGGTAGATTTACGTAATTAGCTAAAGGCTTGTGTAATTTAGCCAAATTATTATTTTTGGTCGTCCATCTTTGTTTAAAAATTAAAAAAAAATTTTCTACAGTTTAACAAAACTCGTTGCAATAAAAAATGGTGGTGTTAGAATAACTGAAAACCCTCGCTTGTGTTATACTCGAAGCATTTCTTGGAAACAAATATTAATTGGAAATATACGCGATTTAATTATTGAGTTTGTTTTTTTTTAATTCTAAAAAAATAATAAATTTTTTTAGTCAAGTTGCTGGTCATTGCAAAAATGATTGTCCAACAAGTGAAAATGATCCACATTGTTTTAGAGATCCGTTTACTTCTAATATGGTTTGAACTTTTTTGAATTTGTTTTTGATTTTTTCTTAATTTTTAAAGGCTTGTTGGAATAATACACACTGTCAGAAAAGTAAATTTTTTTAATTAATTTAAATAGATAATTTAAGGTTTGCATTTTTTCTATTAATTTCCTCTAAATTTTATTACAGAAAAATTAGTTCTGGACAGAATAAGATCGGATTTTTTCAGAATCTGTGCCCCAAATCTAAGGCTTTTTTTGTAATCTCTGGGTTATTTCCGTAGTTGCTGGAACGGTATCCGCCTTGATTTTTTCAGTGTATTACATAAAATTAGTGAGCGAACGGGATAAGGCCTGATTTTTCAGGAATCTGTGACCCATATCCCAGGCTTTTTCTCCTAATCACCGGATTTTTTTCGGGACTGATTTAGTCCAGAATCCGATTAAATCGGATAGGATAATTTAGAAAAAGCCAGTCGATTCCAGTCTTGCTCTAATTTCAAAAACCGAGGTGAATCGATAACTGCTTAAAAATCTTTTTCATTTTATGATCAAAAATTAAATTTTTTATAAATTTTAGTTTGCATAAACAATCAAAAGACTCTTTCTGGTTGTACAATAAACGATGAACTTTGTCATGAAGAGTAAAAAAATTTTTTTTTAATTAAAAAAAATGATTTTTTTCAAAGATGTATTGGTGGATGTACTAGACCAAATGATACTTTTGCATGTTTTTCTTGCCGTCATTTAGATTTGAATGGTCAATGTGTTTCTAAATGTCCTGATCATTTGTAAATTAATTTTTGTTTTTTTAATATTTTCCTTTTTTGGGGATTTCTTGGGGGTTTTTATTCGATTTCTTGTAGAAATTAACCACCATTTAATAAAAACCAGGCCGGTCTTAGAAACTGGGTCGGACCCAGGAAAACACTGAAACGAGCCCAGGACCGAGGTTTATCAGGTCCATGGAGTTTTTTGGTTTTTGTTATTGGTTTTTTTTGTGGAAATTAACCACCATTTAATAAAAACTAGGGCGTCTTAGGAACCCGTTTGGACTCAGGAAAGCACTGAACCGAGCCAAGGACCGGGGGTTTCCCGTGTCTATTAGCCTGAAAAGCGCATGTTTTGATAAAACCGGTTTTTCATTTTCCAAACTCGGCCCGGGTTAATTGAAGAAAAGAAGACTTGGATACCGGATCCGGCAATTTACAAATTTCGAATTCTATTTAAAATTTAATTTTAAAACTTAAAAAGATATGAGCAACTTGGTCGTCGTTGTTTAACAAAATATGAATGTGAAGCTTTATATCCAGTAACATCATATCCTAGTGCTGATGAAAAATCTGTATGGAAAGCATTTAAAAAACATTGTAGTTATGAATGTCCTAATGGTTATAGAGAAGGTTTATTTTTGTTTTTTTGGAAGAAAGGATTAAAAAAAATTTTTTAAGATCCGTCAAATTCCCATTCTTGTATTGAATGTATCAATTTTTGTCCAAAAAAATGTCCAGGGGATACTGTTGATTCAATTAGCTCTGCTCTCAAATTTTCAAAATGTAATATGATTGAAGGAAATTTAGAAATTGATATGAGAATTGGAATTGAATCTACTAGTGCAGAAAAATTTACTGAAGCATTTGGTGAAATTGAAGAAATTACTGGGTAAGTGTTTGAGTGTTTTACTTTTTTGTAAAAGTGGACAATAAAAAAAATTTTTGACCATTACAAAATTTTTTTTTGAAACGCCTGTGATCCAGGACATAAAATTGAGCTTATGAAAATTTGTATTAAGTTTGGGGGTGTTTATTGTTAGTCTATCTTGTCCAGCTGATCACTGTTCTACTGTTCTAACATAATAAGCGTTAGTCTCTCAGCAGAGCTATTACGAAATTTCGATTTTCGATATTTTCTCGAAAAACGATTTCCAATTTTCAAAGATTTTTTCTGTTTCGAAGCTTCTAACAATAAGTTAATTTTTGGTTTTTTTTATCATTTTTTTGCGGTTATGAATTTTTATTATTAATTTGCCTTAATTTTCTTCTTTTCAGTTATCTTCTAATTCGTTTTTCTTCTGCATTTATGTCACTTCATATGTTTAAAAAACTTAGACGAATTCATGGACAACAATTATGGAAAAATTTATATGCTTTAGTTGTTTTTGAAAATCAAAATTTGCGACAATTATTTAATGTTGATGACGAACATAAAATTGAAATATTGAGAGGAAAAATAAGCTTTCAAAATAATAGAATGTTGTGTTATGATAAGGTTTATATTTTTTTGAAAAATAAGGGGCATAAAATAGGGTTCGACCTTTGCCTCCTCCTTCTCTCCCCCAATAAAGCGAATTTACTTGAGTAAAGCTCGCTTGGGTGAATCTATTTAGTAATTTTCTCTCTGAATCTGAATTTCCCACAATCAAGGTTCACCGTAAAAGCATGTCTTTGCTCTTATAGTACGATGCTAGGATTTTTAGACCTCTTTGCTCCCTAGTCCTGCTTACGATTTTTTAAAAACTTTGACATGATTTTTAATGACAATTTGTTACTATTCCCCTCCATATTTTTTTAAATTTTCCTTTCCTTCACTATTTGTTGATTTTTAGAAGAAAAGGAATAAGGAAAATAAATTAGGGAAATTTTTAGAATAAAGGGAAATATAATAGAAAATGGGGGGGGGGTTAGGAATTTTTGAAATTTTTTCGATATTTAAAAAAAATTTTTTTTTCTTTATTTTTTTAAAGATTAAAAACTTCATTGAACATTTGGGAATGAAAGTATGTACAGAATTTGGAGATGAAAACAACAAAGCTAAATGTGTTGGTGAAAGTGATGTTTCCCCATTTAGCAATGGAGATAAAGCTATTTGTGATGAAATTCCTTTAGAAGTAAAAATTGTTTCTGTTTATTCCTATGGATTTGTGATTACTTGGACACCTTTTAATACAACTGATATGGATCATAGGAAATTTTTGGGATATATGGTTTGTGTGATTTAAAAAAAATTTTTTTTATGAAATATAGGCTTTCCTCATGGGCTTTCTGAAAAAAATTTTTTTAGAAAAAATTTTCGGAAAAATTCTTTTCAAATTTTCTAAAAATTTTTTTCGAATATTTTTAGTAAATTGAAAATTTTTTCGAAATTAAAAATTTCAAAAATTTTTCCGAAAATTTTCAAAAATCTTCTTTAGAGAATTTAAAAAATCATAAAAAAATTTTTAGAAAATCTTTTTAGGTTTTTGAAATTCTAAAAAATTTTTTTTTGGAAATTTTCGGAAAAATTTCTGAAATTTTTAAAATAAATTTCGAAAAAATTTCAAAAAAAAATTTTCAGAAAGCCCATGTTTTTAATTATCAAAAATTATTAATTGAAAATTTTTTTTCTACCCACAGATATTCTACAAAAAAGTTGACAAAATTAATTTAAATATGACAATTGATGATGATCGTTCAGCTTGTTCAGATTCTTGGAGTATGTATTTTGTAACTGATGGAAGTGATTCAACAAAGGAGGATATTTCTGGGGAAGATGCTGGAACAAGTTCGCCTAAAGGAGAATTAATAAATCAAGGAGTTGAAGCAAATACACTTTATGCTGTTTATGTACAAACACGTGTAGTTAATCATCCTGGTATTTTATTTATTTAAAAATTTTTTCAAAAATTTTGAAGATTTGGACTTTTTTTGAATTTAAAATTTTTGTTAAAATTTTCTGAACCATCAAAAAATTTGACGAAAAAAATTTTTAAATTTTTTTCGAAAAATTTTTTTGAAGGTTCAGAATTTTTTTTATTTTTTTTTGAAAACTCGAAATTTTTTTTTGAAAATTAATATTAAAATTTTAATTTTTTTTATTTTTAGGTGCAAAGAATGCAATATCTCCAATTCTTTATGTTAAAACTCTATTTGGTGTCCCTGTATGTTTTTGGCTGAATTTTATTTTTTCTAATTTTTCTATTTTTAAAGGATCCTCCACGAATGCGAGCTTCAATAGCGTTAAGTCCAAATTCTATCAAGTAAAAAATTTTTTGGATTTATTGGTTAAATAAAATACTCATCAGAGTGAGGTCGGCGGAAGTCTGATTTCCATCGTTTGACCACTTTCGATTTCGGACAGTTCCAATTTCCGATACTCGTCATTTCCGACCGACCCCTGATACCCATTAAATTTATTTTTTAACATTATTTTTTTCATTTTATCAATTTTTAGGTTAAACTGGGATCCACCTTTGGAAGCTTATGGTGATATTACACATTATATGGTATAATTTTTTAATTAAATTTTTATTAAAAATTTTTTTCATGTCTCTTGGAATCTTGCAATTGAATATAATACTGTTAATGCTGATGATGTTTGTGACAAGAGAAGTAAGGGTGGAAAAAATTTTTTTTTGAGATTTCTGAAGAAAATTTTTGGAATTTTTTTGAAATTTCAAAAAAATTTCAAAAAAATTTTTTTTTTTAAATTTCAAAAAAATTTCAAAAAAATTTTTTTTTTAAATTTTTTGAAAATTTTTCGAAATTTCAAAAAAAAATTTTTTTTTTAATAAAAAAAATTTTTTCTAGTCAATACAATTGTTTCATCAAAAAATATTCCATCAAATATATTTCCTCCATTTATTACAAAAGATAACAACAACAACAACAAAGATACTTGTTCAGCAAAAGAAGGATGTTGTAAATGTAGTAGTAATAATAATGGAGCAAGTGATTATTCTGGAGAATTAAATAATAAAAAGAAAAAAGATTCAAATGATTTGGATGCTGCACGTAAAGATAGCAATAGTTTTGAAGGTTTTTTTTTTAATTTTTCTGAAAAATAAATAGTTGAATCCGGGTCTTTTTAACAGCACTGCCTCTTAACAAGTGAACCATCCAAACAAAATTTCCCCTAAACGTTGCAGCCCTAAAAAATTTTTTTTTATTTTTATATCGATAGTTGAAAAAGTAATATGATAAAGCTCTTTCTTTTGGTAAGCACAAGGTTTTGACATATTTTTTGGTTGATTCCTTTTTAAGACTTGTGAAAAGCATTCAGAATTCTGATTTTTTTTAATTCTTGGAGTTATGGATTTAGACAGTCGTTTTTCTGGGATGGTGTTATTACTTAAAAATTGTTTTTTCTTTAAATTTCTTTTAAGTCAGGGCTCTTAGCGAAACATCTAAGTAAGAGCGCTGCTTTAAGTTGATTAATACTAATTTTTATTATCTTTTTTAGATGCTTTGCAAAATACTGTTTTTGTTCAAAAGTAAGATTTTTTGCACTTTAAAAAATTTTTTTAACAAAAAAAAATACTAACATTTTCCTTTCATTTTTTTGCTTTTTCTAATGCTTCCCCTATGCTTCTATTAATAACTAATTTAAGTTGCGATGTAAATTATGATCCAAATCATTGTACTGGATCAACAACAAATAATAATAATAATAATGAAGCTTCTAACAATAATAAACATAAAGGTTTACAACAAAAATTTGAAGAAAAACATCAGCAACAACAACATCAAAAAATATTATCACAAAATTTACGCTATCGCAGGCATAACAATTTTGCTTTTGCTGGGTCGCTTGATACAATATTGTAAATAAATAATTGATTAATTTTAGACTTCTTTTTCACTATTGGGATAGGAATTTTCTCTTTTGAGATTCTCCTGAATACTCCTGAATAGGGTTGCCGGCCCAGTTTTGTTCGAAAGATCTGAACGGGTATCGAACTTAGGCCCGAAAAAAAATGACTCGAACGTCAGCCCGATTCGTTAAAAATGAGGCCCGAAAAAGACGAACAGCCCGGTTCGAAAACGGCAACCCTACTCCTAAAATTAAAAAAATATTCTCGATTTATTTCTGTCAAGTAGGGTTGTCGGATTTGGACATTCGGAAATTTTTGGGCCGGATATCGGATATCCGAAGATTTCCAAATATCTGACAACCCTAGTTTAAAGATGCTTTTAACATTTTAAAAATAATATTTATATTGACTTTCTATCCAATTTTTTTCAGATACAAGTATCCAAGAGATCCCAATTTTATGTCAAAATCCACTGCAGCAGATACTGAACCATCACAACAACAACAACAACAACAAGAAAAACCTAATCGTACTCGTCGACATGTCAACAACAATAATCAAAAAGCAATACCAACAATAAAATATTATAATTCAACAGAATTAAATGTTTCTAGTGGAAATATGATTTTTGAAGGAATTAATTTAAATTATACACATGGAAAAATGAATGTGACTGGGACAACATTTATACTTTCTGGATTACCACATTATTCTGAATATCATATTACAGTGAGGAAAAAAAATTTTTTCTTAGGGAAAACAATTTTTGAAATTTTTTTCGATTTTCAAAAAAAATTTTTTTGAAATTTTTTTTGAAATTTTCAAAAAAAAATTTTTTGAAAAAATTTTCGAAAATTTTTTATTTTTTAATTTTCAAAAAAATTTTGAAACATGAAAAAATTTTCTGAATTTTCAAAAAAAAAATTTTTTTTTTCTTAGGTCTATGCCTGTCAAAATATTAGTGCTCCAGATAATTATTGTTCAGGAAGGCCAGCATGGACATCTGCAAGGACTTTGCCTATACGTAAAAATACTTGATAATTTTAAATTTTTTCTTCAAAATTTTAGCTGAAAATGATATGATTGACCCAAATACAATTTTATTATCAAATTCAACAACTGACAAAATTAATGAAAAAAGAATTTATTGGGAACCACCAGAATTTCCCAATGGATTTATTCTTGCATTTAGAGCAAAACTTACAAAAAATGATGACAGTGTTAGTTAAAAATTTTTTTCTGAATTAGTTTCTTTAATAAGTGGAGTTTTCGTTATGGAAGGAGATAATGTTGTAATGTCAAAACGTCAAATGTTGAAATTTCAACCCCCCCCCCCCAAATCCGTTGAAATCTCAAACAGTGGGGTTTGGAATGTCAAACGTTGTCCTTGGAATTTCAATGACATTTTAACTAAAACACGGACTGTGGGTGGAATGGGGGTGTGCGGGGGAGGAAATATAGGTACCTTTTGACTGCTTGACATTTTAATGTTTTACTCCGGAAACTTTGATTTTCTCAAAATTTTTTTTAATTTTCCCAATTAAAATTATTTTTATTTAGACACCCTATGATCAATGTATTACCTTCGAGAGATTTATCAATGAATCAGGCGTTACATTTTCTGGTATTGCTGATGGTTTATATACTCTACACATTCGAACAGAAACATCAGCTTTAATTGCTAGCAATTTTAATCCAAATTATACAATAATTAAAGATTTATTTGAAATTCGTACACCGAGTATATTTACTTTTAAGGTAAATTTAAAATTTTTTCTTCAAATTTATAAATACAGTTGGCGACCTTATTTTTAGCTCCTCCCAAATTTTAGGTATTTTTCAATTTTTGTTGCATTTTTAAACTTTGTTTGGCATTGAGTAGTGGAGAGATATCTGCGGATATCCACTGATGGATATCACTCAAAAGTTACTCGGATATAAACGGATCCGTGTCCATTTACATGTCTGAGAGGAATTGCTTTTAAGCTTCACCTGATTTGAGAAACCCCAAACTTTAAGACAAAACCCTCATTATAATTTTTTTATCGTTAATGAGGGTATTTAAAAATGTGGTTGGATTTTATTTGTTTCTTTAAAAAATTCTTTTTTTTGAAAGGTTGTTTCAATTTCTGCATCAATTGTTGTTTTAGTTTTAATTATATCAGGAATTGTAATTTATTATTTCGTTAATAGAATGTTTGGGAAGAAAGTGGAAGAATATTGGAGGTTTTTTTTTAATAAAAAAAATTTTTTTGAATTTTTTTTTGAAATTCTTTTAAATTCTTGTTGAAAATTTTTTTGGGAAATTTTCAAAAAATTTCAATAAAAATTTTTTGATATTTTCTGAATTTTTTGAAAATTCTTTAAAATTTCCTTCAACAAAAATTTTTTTAATTTAAAGACAAACAATATCAGCCAATCCAGAATATTTGAGTCAAATGGAACTTTATAAAGCTGATGAATGGGAATTAAAAAGAGATGATATAATTTTGGAACAAGAAATTGGAAGAGGAACTTTTGGAAAAGTTTTTCGTGGTTATGGAAAAAATGTTCGTTCTATAATGGGTGAAACTTTCGGTGATTGTGCTGTTAAAACTGTTCCAGAAACTGCTTCAAATGCTGAAAGATTACATTTTCTTATTGAGGTTTTTTTTATTTTAAAAGATTTTGGGGAGGCTCTTTATAGTCTTTTCCCTCAAAATTGTGGTTCATGACTTTCACGTTAAAGGTGTGGACTATGGTTGTTCCCCGACACGGGGGGGGGGGGGACGGCACGGGGAGAATTTTTTAGGGAGACAGCGCCATGGTGCGAGGGGGTGGGGGAATTTTTTTATTTTTCCGCGGGCTGGGAATTTTCAAAAAATCTCTCAAATTTCCCGACTTTCGGGGACGGGGAACATTTTTTAGAAAAATATATGAGAATAATATTTGCTTGAATTTTTTTTAATTTTAAATTTTTTGTAAAGGCTAGCGTTATGAAACAATTTAATACTTCATTTATTGTAAAACTTTATGGTGTTGTTTCTGATGGGCAACCTGTTTTGGTTGTTATGGAACTTATGGAAAAGGTTTGGAAAAAATTTTTTTGGGTGACATTTTATCCCAGAATTTTTTAAAAATTAAAAAAAAATTTTTTTAATTTTTAAGGGAAATTTGCGTGATTTTCTTCGTTCACATCGACCTGGAGCAGAAGAAAACAAAGAAAATCGTCCATTACCTACAGCAAATCAATATTTTAATTGGGCTGCACAAATAGCTGATGGAATGGCATATTTAGAATCTTTAAAATTTTGTCATAGAGATTTGGCTGCTAGAAATTGCATGGTTAGTGTGTTTATTAAATTTTATTTAATATTTTTTTATTGAGAGGTGACATTTTATCCCAATAAATTTTTTGGAATTCTTTTAATTTTTAAAAATTCTTGGGATAAAATGACATTCAAAAAATTTTGTAAGTTTTTTGAAAAAGTTTTTTGGATGCAGTTTTTTGGATTTCATCCCAGAAATTGAACAAATATTTTTTGGGATAGAATGTCATCTTAAAAAATATTTTTGAAAAAATTTTTGGAAATATTTTTTAATTAAAATTATTAATAAAAGGGAAGGAATTTTTGCATTCTTAATATTTTTAATTTAAAGGTACATGCTAACGAATCAGTAAAAATTGGTGATTTTGGTATGGCAAGGGATATTTATTATCATGTATTTTTTTTTATTTTAAAAAAATAAATTTAAATAATTTTTTAAGGAATATTACAAACCTGCTGGTAAACGTTTAATGCCTGTTAGATGGATGGCACCAGAATCATTAAAAGATGGCAAATTTACATTAAAATCTGATGTTTGGTCTTATGGAATTGTTTTGTATGAAATGTTGACTTTAGGTTTTTTTAAAATTTTTTTTTGTTAAATTGAGAGTAGAAAATGGGGAGAGAGTAAGGAAGGGATAAAATACTTGAAAAATTAAAACCTTACAAATTCACGTGAACTGATTTTTTATTTTTAGATAAAATAGGATCGTGGGGGGGGTGTTCAGGCTAAAATCCGAAGCCATGGAAACAAATCTCAATTTGTAGTATTTTTTAAATTTTTTTTCCAAGCTAATTTTAAGCTAAAACCCCCGGGAACCATAATTTTTCTTTATATTACCACTCTGTGGGTCAGGTCCACGAGAAACTCCTGGGTCTGATCAGGTAATGAAACCTGATCACTTGTTTTTTAGTGACCCGCATATTTTTTTGTGTTGATTCGTGTTGTTAAACTTTTCATTAAAATTTAAATAATTTCTAGGCCAACAACCTTATGCCGGTTTAGGAAATGATCAAGTATTTAATTATACGGGTGTTCAAAGGCATGTTTTGAATAAACCTACAGGATGTCCTGATTTTTGGTAAACAAGGGGATTTTTTAAAGATTTTTTCTATTTAAAAAATTATTTAAAGGTATGGATTGATGCTTTTATGTTGGAAATATGATCCTAGAGAGGTAAAAAAATTTTTTTAATTCAAAAAATTTTTTTGGTGTTTTTAAATTTTTGTTTTGAAAATTCAAAAAAAATTTTTCAAAAATTTTAAAAATATTTTTTAAATTCAAAAAAAAATTTTTTAGCGTCCAACATTTCGTCAGATTGTAAGATATATTGAAAATTATGCTTCTGATGAATTTGTTAAGGTAAGAAAAATTTTTTTGAAAAAATTTTCAAAAAATTTTTTATCCTTTCAAAGGCTTCATATGTTTTAAATAATGTTCAAATTATGCCGGAAGCTTATAATTTTGATATTGATTTGGATGATGAAATAATGAAAAGAAATGTAATTAATGAAGAATTTGTTTATGGACAAGAAGAAGAAGGAGAAGATTTGGAGGATGTTGATATTGGTGATGGTGGGGATCTTGCTGATTTTGCTAGTGAAGATGTAAGTTTGGAGGTTTTTTATTAAAAAAAGGAGTGGGGTTATATTAATAAATATTTTCGGACCACCCCTCGTGATAAGATACGCCCAACACCATTAAATACCTCAATTTGGGATTTAATTCTTTTTTAAATTGGTTAGATATTGGGTAATTGAAGGTAAATTGTTGTTTCTTTCGATTTCCGATTTTCTTATCTTAAGATGCCCTTAGTATAAGATACAATTTTTTAGCTTCTAAGAACACCATTAAATACCTACTTCAATTTGAGATTTAATTTTTTGTCTATAGTGAAGTCGACTAAATATATTTAAATTTTTTAGGAATTAAATCCAGTCTGTATTAATAATAGGAGAAATAATGAGAAAAATTGTTTAGATGATGGAATAATAGAAAAGGTTGATTAATCTTTTTTAATTTCTTATTTTAACCTTTTTAAAAAATTGGTGACCATTTTGAGCCCTTTTTGCCTAAAATTTGATTTTTTTCAAAATTTTCTGTCCACCAATTTTTCAAATTTTAATTTTTAACCCTTTCCAAACTACCTTCAAAAAATTTTTCTTTCTCTATGTCATTCCATTCGCACACATATTTTATTTTTACACTCGTGCATAATCTCAAATACTAGTAGGTATTGTTTAAGAAAAATTTTTTTCTTGATTTTAAAAATTTTTTATGGATTTTTAAAATAGTAAAATCAAGAAAATATCAGGAAAAAAATATAATTTTTTTACTTTTTTTTTCTTCATTTGCCCACACTAAAAAAATTTTTTTTATTTTAAAAATATTTTTTATGTATGTATATAATTCATTCATTCCTAGTGTACGTGTATTTTCTTTTGGAAGTTGAAAAAAAAATTTTTCTGAGAAAAATTTTTTGAATAATTTTTGGAACATTTAAAAAAAATTTTTTTTTTAATTTTTTGAGAAATTTTTTTTTCAACTTTTAACACAAAACTAATTAATTATTATCATTTTTTCTTGTGTTATATATTTTCTAAATTAATTTTCTTTAATTCTATCAATTTTTAATATATTGCCAGCATAAATATTATGTTACAACAAAAAATGTTTAATTCATTAAATATTTAAATTTTTGTATAATTTATTGCTCCAATTAAAATATTTTTTTTAGAAAAATATTGAGAAAGAAAAAAATATTTTTTTTAAAAATCAAAAAATTGAGACAACAAAACACACACAAATTATAAAAGTAAAAATTTTTAAAAAATCAACAAAACCATTATAGTTTATTAGAGTCTGACTTTTGTGGGTAGATAAATTTTTTCTTCCCCTATTTCCAGACTCTAATGGTTCTCTTAAGGGTTATTTGAAATTCAAAAAATTTTTTTAAATTTTTTGAATTTCTTAACCTAGACATAAAAGAGGAAAAAGAAAAAATTTTAAGTTATCAAACACAAAAATATTTTAATTAGTAAGAATTATAAACTACAAAACAATGTGTTTAGTAAGAGATAAAATTAATCACTGGGGTGGGGTAGGGAGGGGGAACTTAAAGTACCGAAGAAAAAATTAGACATTTTCTTCTTCACAAACTATAATTAGATAACAATTTAAATTAATAATAATGATTATTTTTGTCATCTTTATCGATAAAAATAAAAGTATAAAAAATTTCTAATTAAATGACATTTCTTTAAAATAAATCCCCTTTTTTCAAAGTTACCATTAGAGTCTAAAAATAGGGGAAGAGAAAATTTATTTCTCCACAAAAGCAGACTCTAATGGGCTGGCAAGTGGATTTTTTCAATATCAATACAGGGAATACCTAAAAGTGGCGGAAAATACCGAGTAGGTTACTTTAGGAAGTACCGGAGGAATACCGAACTGTGTCGATCACTAGGCTCTAATGGGGTGTCTTTTTGAGGTATACAAAGATTTAGTAGATGTTAAAATGTTCTTTGCGCACTACGCACATGAATTAACACTTATTTAATAGGGAACGTATGACCTTAAAAGAAACACTGGGGGAGCCGTCTTTTATTTTTTCTCTTTTTTAGAGACACTAGAAATTAGACAAGAATTAAAATCTTTCCTTTTTTTAATTAATAAAATTCTCTTAAATTTTTATTGATTTTTCTAAAAAATTTTTTTTACCTAATTATTTTATTCAAAAATGTTTCTTTTGGTTTAAGAAAAAAATACTTTCAAAAATTACCATTAGAGTCTGAACTTATGGGGTGAGAAAATTTATTTCTCCACAAAAGTGAGACTCTAATGGATTTTTCGTTTTTTTAATTAAAAAATTCCCTCATATTTTTATCGATTTTTATGAATAATTTTTTTCCCTTTCTTTTTTTCTAGATTTAATTAAATTAATCATCTCTTCAATTGACAATGGACTGGTTAACCTCTTCATTAAATTATTTTCTTCAAATGTTTGACATTGTCGATATTGCTGTAATTTTAATTATAACAACAATAGCTATAATTTATTATTTTAATTTGCATTCTTCGACACCTAAAAATAGCAGTACAACTCTAACAAATAATTTATCAAATGGATCATTGACTAGTAATAAAATGGACAAATCCTTTTTAAATAGGATGAAGAATGAAAATAGACAGGTTTTTAGTTGTTTAAATGAGGGGAGAGGATAAGTGAGTGGTTGGTGTAGTTGGTTGTGTTTGGGTTTTTTGGGAAATAGGGGAGGGTTCGAATCCTTTCGGCTGACAAGCATTTTATTTTTAGTGGAAATATTTTTTTGATCAAAAATTGACTTTAGCCTTCTCAGAAAATTTATTTTTCTTACTACAAAATCGATACATTTAGTGTAGTGGGTAACGTCTGGGATTATTTCCTGTTAAATAGATGCGAGTTCGAATCCGGTTGATGGACCAACATTTTAAATGTTTAATGAAAAGCTTTTTTAATCAAAAACGAGACTTGGACTGTTAGAAAAATTTAAAAAAAATTTTTTTAAAAATTAATAGACAATTTTTTGTTTAGATTTTAATTCTCTATGGTTCCCAGACTGGAACTGGTGAGGAATTGGCTGGACGTTTAGCAAAAGATTTTGGACGTTTTGGCAAAAAGCCTTTATTAATTGACCCTGAAGAAATTGAAGCGGAAGATTTACCAAAAATTACTGAAGAATTTGAAGACCCAATTCTTTTACTTTTTGTCGCGACATATGGAGAGGGTGACCCTACTGACAAGTTTGTTTTTTTATTTTTTTTGGAGGAGAGGGAAGCGTAAAGGTCGAGTTTACAAAATTTTAGGGTACATGAGCGTCGTTCTGTTTGTCTGTTTAAGGATCTGATCTTTTGGTGAAATAATTTTTAAAAATTTTCTAGGTGACATTTGGTCCCAGCCTCGAAAAATAAAATTTTTAAAATTTCTCTAGGTGACATTTAGTCCCACCCTCGAAAATTATTTTCAAAATTTTTTTGGATGACATTTGATCCCACTCTTGAAAAAATTAAATTTTATTAATTTTTTATTCCCTCTTTTAGTGGCTTCGCAAAATTATTTTAAAAAGTTCTAGGTGACATTTGATCCCACCCTTGAAAAATTAAATTTTTTATTCTCTTCTTTTTAGTAAAAAATTTATTTAAGTGCCCAAGCTTTACACGAATATTTTACAAATAATGAACCAGACTTGACAAAACTTAAATATTCCGTTTTTGGACTTGGAAATAAAACATATGAACATTACAATGCTGTAGGCAAATTTTTTGATAAAAGATTGGAAGAACTTGGGGCTGAAAGAATTTGTGAACTTGGATTGGCTGATGATGATGGAAATTTGGAAGAGGATTTTATGCGGTATTTTTTGTTTTTTAAGCGATTTTTGGTAAAGGGTAGTCTTTTACTGGTCCCTGGGGGAGAATGGAGAAAGGGGCTCTTTTGATATTTTTTGAAGTTTGTCAGTAGTTAATTGAGGGCGTTGACAAGGGAACATCGTTTGCAGTCATTGGGAATTTGCTCTACTTTTTGGTATCGTTCGATAGAGGACCCCCGTCTTCCTATTGTGAAGTGATCTTCGTTTTCTTACATGATGACTTTGGGCCGAGTTATGGCCAGTCAAAATTTCGGGGTTTTGGAGGATTTGAGGAAGAGAGAGCTGTTTCTCTCTTTACTTCAAATCCTGGACCCGTGTTCGGCCAGGCCTCATTTGTTCTCCAACGAATAGTTAAAAGCTACCTTTTACCTAAATTTTCTACCTTCTACTTAAAAAAAATTTTTTCTCTCAAGGTGGAGGGAACATTTCCTTTCAACTGTGTCTTCTCGTTTTGGATGGGATTTGGTAAATAATGGAAGTTTGGATCGTCAATACAAACTTGAAATAATAACTGAACAAAATGGACCTATTTTTAAAGGAGAATTTGGGCGTATTGGAGCTTTTGAAAAACAGCGACCGTAAAAAATTTTTTTTTGATTTTTCAAGAAATTTTTTTTTAATTTTTCAAAAATTTTTTTGGAAAATTTATGGGGGACTTGAGAAAATTAAAAAAAAAATTTCGAAAATTTTTTCAAAAATTTTCAAAAAAATTTTTTTCAGGCCTTTTGACCAAAAAAATCCATTTTTGTCAAAAATTTCTGTTAATCGTGAATTACACACAAATCAAAGTGAAAGGTCTTGTCGACATGTAGAATTTGATATTGACTCAGCAAAAGTTCGTTATGATGCTGGTGACCATGTTGCTGTTTTTCCAACAAATGAGCCTGAATTGGTTGAAAAATTGGGAGAATTACTTGAAGTTAATTTGGATACAATATTTAAATTAATTAATCTTGACGGTTTGTTTTTTTAAAGAAAAAATTTTTTTCTGATAAAATATTTGCCAGGAAAAATTATTTTCCCTCGGCCGGGTTCGAACCTTCAACCTTTAAAAAATAAAAATTGAACATTAACCTAATTTTAACCGACTACACCACAAAGGACATAATTTATTTTTACGGCACTATATTTTTTGATAAAATATATTGCCAGGAAAAATTATTTTCCCTCGGTCGGGTTCGAACCTTCAACCTTTAAAAAATAAAAATTGAACATTAACCTAATTTTAACCCACTACACCACAAAGGATATAATTTATTTTTACGGCACTATATTTTTTGATAAAATATTTGCCAGGAAAAATTATTTTCCTTCGACCGGATTCGAACCTTCAACCTTTAAAAAATAAAAATTGAACATTAACCTAATTTTAACCCACTACACCACAAAGGATATAATTTATTTTTACGGCACTATATTTTTTGATAAAATATATTGCCAGGAAAAATTATTTTCCTTCGACCGGATTCGAACCTTCAACCTTTAAAAAATAAAAATTGAACATTAACCTAATTTTAACCGACTACACCACAAAGTGATATAATTTTGATGACCACTAGATAGAACGAGCAAAAAGTTTAAGTTTGATATTTTCTTTCTTGGGTAAGGTGTGGGGTTCGAACCCTAAACCTCTAAAAAATTAAAATACTAAAATCCTAAATTTATCCAACTACACCACAAAAAATATTTGAACTTTTTTTTTTTTATTTTCTAGAGGAAAGCACCAAAAAACATCCATTTCCTTGTCCATGTACCTATCGAACAGCGGTATATTTTTATTTTATTTTTTAAAAATTTAATTTTGTTTTTTAAGTTAACTCATTATGTTGATATCAATTCACCTGTTAAATCTCACGTTTTGAAAGCTTTGGCCGATTTTTGTGAAAATAATGAGACTAGAGAACGTTTAGTGTTATTGAGTACAGCGAGCGAGGAAGGATTGGTTTGTTTTTATTTTTTTATTAAAAAATTTTCTGACTGGTTTGTCAATGTCAGCATGGGATTTATTAATCTCCAGTTCTCTTATCTTAATACAAAATAATTCTGAACTTTTCAAAAAAAAAATTCGGATTTTTTTTATTTTTCTGGGGGTGTAGTAACAATTTCGTTTGCTTTGAAAAGGGCAGAGGTGATAATTCACTTGCTGAATTTATAAACCACTCAGAAAATCTAAACTTTTCCGTTTTTAACAAATAAGACGGACAAAAAATTAAAAATTTTTCTGGTGTTTGGTGTGGGGTTCGAACACAACCTTTAAAAAGGTAAAAACCCCAAATTTATCCAACTACACCAAAAAGACATTTTAAAGATTTTGGGGTAATTTGTTATTTTTATAATCTGGGTTTTTTGTTCAATCATGGTTTTTTAATAAACCTAAAGTTCTGATTTTCTATTGAACTAAAAAACACAATTTTTTAATTTTTTCAGGCTTTGTATGCCGATTATATTGTCAAAGAGCGCCGTAGTATAGTTGACATTTTGGCTACTTTTACTGATTGCAAACCTCCATTAGATTTATTATTGGAAATGTTACCACGTTTACAAGCTCGTTATTATTCAATTTCGTCCTCACCAAAATCAACAAATTTAAAAATTGCAATCACCGCCCTTTTAATTAGACACCAAATTGATGAAAAAAGAGTTTTCAAAGGAGTCTGTACAAATTTTTTGTATAAATTGTCTGAAGGACATTCTGTCCCAATATTTATAAGAAAATCAACTTTGAGACTTCCAAATAAATTGTTAACCCCAGTTGTGATGATTGGACCTGGAACTGGTTTTGCACCTTTTAGAGGGTTTTTGCATGAAAGATTGTGGCAAAAGAAGTCTGGGGGAAAAGATATTGGGGAAATGCATTTATATTTTGGTTGTAGACATCCGGAACATGACCATATTTATAGAGAGGAAATGGAGGTTTTTTTAATTTTGAAAATTTTTAGGGGAGAGGGGGAGATTTGGGATAGTTGAATGGGAGGGATGTGGGACTTGAACCTGGGATAGTTGAATACAGTCAGTCCTCATATTTAGATATTGGTCCTCCATTTAAGTTGAGTTTTTTTAAGTTAGTTATCCATTTGGTAATACCTGACGAAACCTCCAATAAATATATATAAGGCACGAGATTTTTTTGGACCAAGGATAAGGTTGCCAGGTTCCTCAAATACTTCGGTTAACCGAAAACGAACCGACAAGTCGAACAGAAAAATCTTAGGTTTTTGGTTCAGTTTAAACGCGACAACCCTACCCAAGGGGATTATATCCTATAATAAAATTCAGACTGTTTTAGAACATCTAACTTTAAAAAATTTTTCCAACAGGAATTTATCACTTCTGGTGTTTTAACAGAATTACATGTTGCTTATTCACGTTTACAAGACGAAAAAGTTTATGTTCAAAACAAACTTTGGGATAACCGTGAACGTATTTGGTCTCTTATAAAACAAGGGGCAGCTGTTTATGTTTGTGGGTTAGTTTTTTTTGAGTCCTTTATTTCCATGAAAATTCATTTTCTTTTAAAGAGATGCTCGTAATATGGCTAGAGATGTTCAAAATACAATGTATAAAATTTTTGAACAAGTTGGTGGGCTCGGAATTGAGGAAGGTCAAAAATTAATGAAGGATATGGAACGTCAACGGTTATATCAAGCAGATGTTTGGAGTTAAATTGAAAGAGAAAGAGGTTTTTTAAAAAATATTCTCATGCATTTTTTGTGACGCTCAATATTAAATCGAGAAAATTTTAATATTTTTAATTTGTGCACCCCTCAAACATAAATAGGGTTGGCGGATCCGAACCTAGAAAAAGCTTGGATATCCGAAATATTTGACTTGGATATCCGAGGATTTCCCCTGATCCGCTAACTTTTGACCGCCTAACACTAAAAAATTAAAATGTATTTTTTTATTGAAAGGAAGGAAAAAATATTTTAAGAAGCCCTAAAACCTTTGCCGATTTTTTCCTAAAAATGTTGGATTTTTTAAGAGAAAGAATTTTTTTTATTTCCCAATTCTTTTTAATAAAAAAACTTTTTTTAGATTTTTATTTTATTTAAAAAATTATTTTTACCACAAATTCATGTATAAAATGACAAATAATTTTGTTTGTTTTTTAGGAAATTTGTTTAGCACCAATTTTAATTTATCTTAATTCTTTTTAAAATCTCATCAGTCTTTAAATCAGTTTTCAAAGCAAAAGGCATTGGAAGCTTGATTTTTGACGGAATGGGTTCATTTTGTCAGTTGGGAATCCGTTAAGTAAATAGTCATCTTTTTGCATTTCACGCGTGTAACTGAGAAAAATATAGAAAGATTTAAAAAATCAGAATTTTAGAGGAAATCAGAATTCTGATTTTATAATAGAATCCCGTTTTAAAAATTCTGATCTGTCAAAAGTTCTGGTTATAAAATCAGAAATTTACATGATTCTTTTTTCTTACGATTTAAAGTCTGATTTTTAGAGATCAGAATTTCTGCAGTTTTGCCTTTCCCAAATCAGAATTCTGATTTACAGAAAAATTCTGGCACGAGTTGAACAATTGTGGTTTCGAAAAAAATTTGATAAAACCAGAATTCTGATTTTTAATCCGAAAACTTTAAAGGAAAACCTGAGAAGCGTTTCTATTGCTTTTGAAGTCGAAATACGATTAATATTCTTCTCGCGTTTAAGTTGGTCAACGGCAGCACGCGCTTGTTGAAATAAATGTAAATCCATTCCACTGCTCATTTTTTTCTTTTAGTTTTTTAAAAATGAATTTTTTTCTTTAAAAAATAATTAATAGAATGTTTAAATTTAAGAAAAAATATTTAAATCATAAAAATTAATGATTTGAATTTTAAGAAGAAAAAATAAGAGAAAAAATTTTTTAAATTTTTTTTACAATAAAAGAAATAAAAGGGGACAGGAAAAGAACAATTTTAAAAAAATAAGGGGAGAGGTGAAAGGCAGGGATGGGCTTGGGTTAAAGAAAAAATTTTGGGTCTCGGGAACCAAGGCCTACCTCTGGTGGGTGATCCCTCCAATTGGAAGGAAACAATTTTAAAGGTGAAAGAGTAACCGGGATGGATCGGATTGAGAAAAGTCAGGGTTTTTCGGCTCGGAAAAAAGTTAGGGTCTCTGATTTCTGGGTAAAAAAATTTTTTTACCCGAACCCAAAAAAATTTTGATTTTTTTTGATTAAAAAAATTTTTTTAACCATGGCCCATCCCTGGCGAATGATCTATCCGAATCTTTTAAAGCAAAAAAAAATTGTTATATTTTTTAATCTGAAGGTGTAGCAAAAGAAATTAATTTTGAGCTGTTCTCGGCAATTTCCGAAAGGGCTACTCTTCCTCTTTGGGTAATAAATTTGGCAACTTTAAAATAAAAAAAATCTTTTAAAATTTAATTTAAAAAACCATTATTTAATTCCTCTGGGCTGATAAATATAAAAAGACCTAAAAAATTGGGGAAAGATTTTTCGAATTTTTTTGAAATTGAACCTCTATCATCAAAAACACCAGTAATTAATTTTTCTTCTAATAATGAATTTATTCTTTCAATAGTAACATCTGGTTTTAAATGGAAATTTGATGAGACTTGGTCAACATGTACAACCTTAAGAAAAAATTTATTTAAAAAAATTTTTTAAGGGGGATGGGGTCCTATGGGATCAAATGTCACCTTATAAAAAAACTTTTTTATGTTTTTTGAGAAAGAATTCGTGGGCTAGGATTTTTTAAATCATGTCACCGTTTTTTATGTAGCTCCAAAAAATTTATGTTCTATTGGGAGAGGGTAGGGAGGATTGGATTTCGGATTGGAAAAAGTCCGAGTATCGGTATATTATTTCTTCTTCCCTTCAAAAAATTCCACAAACCTTTCTCTTTCTCAAATATTCAAGCAATTTTGACGTAAATTCAGTTGGATCATCTTCCTCATTATTTTCATTATCAAAGCCTTGTTCACTTATATTAAATGATTCTTTAAACTTAAAAAGAAAAAATCATCTAAATTTATTTTAAACGGTAGGGAGACATATCGGGATGGACATGTGGAAATCCAAGCAGTGGCCGTTGGTCGCGAATTCTTATGGGATCAAATGTCATTCTTTTAAAAAATTTTTGCTACAAATTTTAGGGGTTGTTTTTTGGGGTTCCTTCGGATCAAGGGAAACCCCAAAGGTTCTGAAACCTGCTCTTACATGGAAATATCCCGATATGCCTCCCCTGTCCTGACTCTCCAAAAAAAGAAAACCTTTAAATAATCCTCCCTTTCTTGTTTCTCTCTTTCCTCCTTTTCTTTCTTCAATTTTTCATTCCTTTCCCTCTCCTGCTCTTCTTCCTTCAATCTTTTCTCTTCTTTAAGTTGTTCAGCTTCTTCCTCCCTTCGTTTTTTAGCTTCACGCTCTTCTAATTGTTGTTCCCGCAAAACTTTAGCTTCCGCTTTAGCTTGTAATTTGGCCATTTTCTTTTTGCCAATTTTCTTTTCTGAGGTAGTCTCATCCAAAAAAGGACCTTGAAAAGTTTTGGGGATTTTTTTGAAATTTAAAAAAATATACCGGCATCTTCATCATCATTCACAGGACTTCTGCTGTGTTTACTTCTCTTTGGTAATGTGTCTTCATCATCAAAATTTTCTTTCCTTTCTTCATCTTCTTCTCTAATATCATTTTTTCGTGAAGTGGAAGGTGAAGAAGTTGGTGAGGGAGTTTTGGCTTTTGCTATAAAATTAGTGATTTTTTAATAAGTTTTGTGGTTGAACTAATTTTTGAATCCTCTAAAAATTCAACGTAGCCAAAAAAATCCAAAAAAAATCCAGGGAGATCAAGGAAATGGTTCTTGGGTCAGACATTGGGTATATGAAAACCCTCAAGTCTTATCACAGATCCAAGCTCGTGATAAGGGAGAAATTACTTCAAAAAAGCACTTGTGTAAGGCTCTGGGTACAGAAAACGGCAATCCCGGAGAATTGGGGTCCCTGCGGAAAAAAATCTTAAAAATAAGAAAAAGGATTTTTCTAGGGTAAAAAAATATGCTGATTACGAATCTGAACTCAGATTTTGAAAAAGTCGAATCCAAACCCGAATATAAGTCCTCGAAAATCGAAAAATCATAGGGGGGACCAAGCTGATTTTGGGGTAAAAAATTCGAATATGCAAATTATACCTCATTCGAAAGAGCTCGTCGAGCTGAGTCGAATGACACCGAAATCACCGTGATTGAACAAATTCGGACGAAGTTATACCACAAAAAACAAACAACGTAAGCCTAAGTTTTTTGTGTCATAACTTTGTCCAAACTTGAACAATCGAGCTGATTTTGATGTCAATCGACTCAGCTCGTCGAGCTCTTTCGAATGAGATATTATTTGACCAATTTGCGCTCTGTTTATTTTCGAAATTTTTCCAAAAATGTCAAATGTTCGAATTTCGGGTTCGGGATTCGACTTTTTCAAAATCTGAGTTCAGATTCGTAATCAGTATAAATTTCTACCCTAGAAAAATCATTTTTCGTATTTTTAAGATTTTTTCCGCAGGGACCCCAATTCTCCGGGATTGCCCAGAAAACCCCCTAAACCTTGCCCCTGTCCAGTTTCTTAATTTATGTCATAAATTTATAAAAATCATACTTTTGTTTTTCGAAGATTCATTTCTTCTAAGCATTTCATCAACAGCAATTTTTGAATTTCGTTCATCAAACCATAATTTGAGAACAAATCTAGAGATAAATAAAAATGTATTTTATTTTAGAAATATACCCAATTATTATTGCAAAAACGGTACAAAGAAACGTTATAGAAGCTAATAATAAACCATCCATTGCCTTTGAAAAAAAATTTTTTTTGGAAAATGGAATTTTCAAAGAAAAAAATTCTAAAGAAAATAACGTTGAAAATTACGGTTAAAGCGGAAGTAAACTGTAACAGAAAAGATAAGGGTAATTTAAGAGAGACGGTTAGAGAATTAGACAGTTTAACGTTAAATAAATAAAATGCCAAAAATTACGCCAAAAATCAAGGCGTTTATTTAAAATATGTTAAAAAATTTCTAGTGATTTTTCCTAACTTTTCTCGAGTTCTTTATCATTTTTTCTTAACAGTTTGAAATTTTCTTTGCAGGTTTTATCCTCATAGGCAACAGACAAACAGAATTGCCATGACCTTATTTAAATATAGCAACAGAAGTGCCTTAAATCAAATTAGAAGAAATTTTGCCCATCTTCCTAATGATGGTCTTACATTTAATGATTTTATTTCTTCTAATGAAAAGTCAACAATGGATTTAAGAACAACTGATGGTCGTCTTCGATTGCCTGAATGGTTAAAAAGAGATGTTAAAATGACAGAAAAAGATGTTGGTTTTTTAAAGATGGGCCAGACTTTTAAGGGTCCAATGAAGCCTAACTAGGTTCTTAAATTATTTGAGTCGGTCATTTCGAGAGTGATTCTAGGGGTACCGAGTATGAAGCATTTTAAGTGTGAGGAACCGTTAAAAATAGCCATCAAACCGCCTTATCATATAATGGGTTCATGGGGTACCAGCCCAAACTAATGGGGGGGGGGGGGGGGGTTGTTTGCCTTTGTGGCACTTCTCTATCGAATGAGCCCGGTCTCGACTGTTTTTAGGTCGGACACCTCGCAACTTTTTCTTGTAGGTAGACTGACTTGCTATGACATTTCTAAGATTAGTTATAGTTCTACAATAGACAGTGGGCTAGTGGTGACTGACCTACTTCCTTAAAACCTTTTTCTGTTTAAATTCAATTAATTTAGGTTAATCGACAAAAATTGGCAAAGCAATTGAAAGGCTTAAAACTTTCTACTGTTTGTCAGGTTTACTTTAAACTTTCATTTATTTTTATTAAAAAAATTTTTTTTAGGAAGCTCGATGTCCAAATATAGGGTAAACTCTTTCCATTCATTTTACCTTGTATATTTTGTTTCAGGGAATGTTGGGGTGGTGGACCAGAAACACCCTCAACTGCGACAATAATGTTAATGGGAGATTCTTGTACACGTGGATGTAGGTATCTTATTCATTTTATTTTAACTCAAAAATTTTTTATTTTTGAAGATTTTGTTCAGTCAAAACAGCCAAACGCCCCCCTCCATTAGACCCAGATGAACCCAAAAATACGGCTATTGCAATCAGGAGTTGGGGTGTAGATTATATTGTTTTGACTTCTGTTGATAGGTTTGCTTGTCTTTTTCTTTTCTTAATTAATTTTAACCCTTAAAGAGACGATTTACCTGATGGTGGAGCTTCACATATAGCACTAACTGTTGAACATTTAAAAAGAGAATGTCCTCATATTTTGGTTGAGTGCTTAGTTCCAGGTTTAGTTTTTGTTTATTAATATTTTAATATTCGGTATAACGCTTGAACGATTAGAGGCGATACCAAGGATGGGACGAATTAAGGAACAATTCGGGTTTGGATATGGGTTTGTTTTTTGGACATAGGTTGGGTCGAAAAGTCTGGGTTTCGTAACCCTTCATCTCACAAAGGAGAGTGCCTGAGGTGTCCGTGGGACTTTGGAGGTGGGATTTCATCCCAAGTCCCACGGACACCCAAGGCACTCTCCTTTGTCAGGTTCAATACTTGTCTGGTATCTGAACTTATTTGATTCATTACTTGACTTTTATTTGACATATTTTTCTAATTTTATTCATTTCCAAAACAGATTTTGCGGGTAATACCCAGTCAATTCAAAGAGTAGCAAATTCTGGATTAGAAGTATTTGCACACAATATAGAAACTGTTGAACGTTTAACTTCTTTTGTAAGAGATCCTAGAGCAAAGTATAACCAATCTTTACGTGTTTTGGAATTTGCTAAAGAGGTTTTCTTAAATTTTTGTATTTTTGAAATTTTTGTCATTTTTAAGGAAAATCCTTTACTTGTAACAAAAAGTTCAATAATGCTTGGATTGGGTGAAGAAGATGAAGAAATTGAACAAGCAATGAAGGATTTGAGATTGGTTGGAGTGGAAGCCCTAACCTTGGGTCAATATATACAACCAACAAAAAGGCATATGGCTGTTAAAAATTGGATAACTCCGCAAAAATTTGATGAATGGAAAATTAGAGGGGATCAAATGGGGTTTCTGTATGTTTTTTTTCGTGGTTTTCTAGGGTCTGAACATTTTTAGTTGCTAAAAAATTAGTTTCCCTGTATACACTCTTTTTCGGAAGAGGATTTAATCAATTTTGCTGTGGTTTGATTTATTTCATTGAGTTATGTCGGACAGTATCAAAGTAGACTTGTTACCTGGATTATTGCTAACCGAGAACTGAGGGACTTTTTTGGGCGGTTTTTCGGTTTGGTTTATAATATCCGGAAAATTTCTGAGAACAGGCAACTCATTGTCAGCTTTCTATAATTTTTCAAAAGTTTTTATGCCCATGTATGCCTTACTATTAGCCTGCTCCCGTTTTCTTTTATTTTGTGTTTGTCTTTTAAGATTTTTTTTTCTTTTAATTTCTTTTTCAAAATATTTAATCTTTTTTAGTTATACGGCTTCTGGTCCTTTAGTACGTTCTTCATATAGAGCTGGTGAATTTTATCTCAAAAATATTATTGGATCAAGAAGAACAGCAACAACAAAAGAGGCTTTACAACAATAGTTTTTTTAGATTTTATTTTAGATTTTTAATTTATATAAAAATATTTGAAATTTTTTTGAGTTTTTTAATGTTGATTTTATTCAATTTTTATCTTTAAATCTTATTTTTAATATTTTTAGAATTTTTTTAATTTTTGGAATGAGCGTAGAAGTTATTATGGAATTGAAAAGGAAAGGCGGTTGTTTTTTGACTGGAGAAGATGTTGAAGTTGAGGTTTGAAAAAATTTTTTTAAATTAAGCTAAAGGGTTGGACTTATATTCTCAATTATTTGACCGGAGGTAGTAGGAAAAATCTGAAACATCTAGGTCAGGAGCATATCTGGGCCTGCATTTTGGTTGCCGTAAAGTTCTTTTGGGGGAAGGGTCTTTAACTTTATTTTTGTTCCTGAACTTTTTGGGATTCAAACAAATTCGACAAGGTCAAGAACTGTTTTGACCTTAACTTGTGGTACAGAGTCATTGGGTAAACGATCGGGTTAATCATCACTCAGGGCAGTCGAAGATGCTTGTTCGCTTATAGCCGCTGAGTAACTTTTTGCATCCACTGCAGTTTTCTAGGTCAGAAACATGTCTGGGCATCAATAGCTTGGATTTGTGCCCAGCAGACGTGGGCGAAACGTTTCGTTTCGTTTCGTTGTTTCGTATGTTTCGTATGATTTTTACTGTTTCGTCTCGTTTCGTTACGAAACACTTTTAAATTTGTTTCGTTTCGTTTCGTTACGAAACACCTGTGATTTTTCAACGAAACGAAACAATTTTTTAAGCCTAAACTAAGGCCAAAATCTATAAAATTTACCATCTTTTATTGAAAATTTAAAAAATTTTCGCCTGCGGCGCTGAAAAAAGAAGAATTTCGGCTTCTTGGCCTTCCCAAATTGTCAAAATTTTCGCCTGCGGCGCTGAAAAAGGAAGATATCAATTACTTATATACTACAAATCCGTTTATACTCTACTCCCTAATCCACATATACATATTACTTAATAGACGACAAATTCTATTACCGGACTCGCATCATAATTTAAAAATTGCGGATTGCGAGTTGCGGAAATACTGGAACCGGAACTTCCGGCGAAGCACTAGCTTATATCGCCTTCCTCTCGAAATGGAGATATGGAGACAATTTGGGTAGGCAATGGAGCAAGCTAGTGAATTTTTTGGCCTACGGCCTTTCAAAATTTTAAAATTTTTCGTCTGCGGCGCTTAAAATAAAATTTTACTTGAAAAATATTCAATTTTATTTGAAAAAAAGCGTCGCCAAAAATTCGGCTTCGAAAATGATTGACCCCCCCCCCTTCCCCGAAAATTTTCCTTGCTACGGGCCTGGCTTATGGGACACAATTGTTGTAAATAAACCAATAACTAAATCATTTATAATAGAGCCCGGCTCGATACGATATTTTTTCGATATTTTTCGATATATATTTTTCGATATTATCGAAAAAATATCGACCGAGAAAATTTTGATTTTTTCGATATTTTTCGATATTCGGTATTTTTCGGTATTTATCAAAAAAATATCGACCGAGCCCTCCGTCCGGGCTCTAATTTATAAGGCATAGGCGACTAATAAAGTATTTGAGGTCGAATAATTGCGAAATAAATGCAGTTTTGAAAATTTTTTGAATATTAAAATGTTTCGTTTTGTTTCGTTTCGTTTCGTAAGATTTTGGTTGTTTCGTTTCGTTTCGTTAACGAAACGATTTTTAAAAAATTTTGTTTCGTTTCGTTTCGTCAGAAAAAAATTTTGAGTTTCGCCCAGGTCTGGTGCCCAGCTCTGCTTTATTTTGCAGACAGCCAATTGCTGTCAAAAATTTCTCAACTTAAAAAATTTTTTTGGTAGGTAACATTCAAAAATACCCATCAAGAATTGCCCAAATCAATAGCTTGGAGTTGTGTTCAATTATTTTGTGAAGCTTCTTCTCTCAATGATAAAGAAAGTGTAAAGAGGCAGAGGCTAAAAACTTCTTTTACAAAAGCAAAAAATGCAATTTTTACATCTGATCCAACACTTCTTTTTTGTGATATAATAATTAATCCTGGAGAAGTAAAAAAATTTGAAGCAAAACATTTGATTCCTTTACTTGATGTTCCGCCTAGTTTTAAGGTTTTTTTTTTGAAAAAAAATTTTTGAAAATTTTTCTTGAAATTTTTGAAAATTTGAATTTTTTTTTTCCAAAATTGGAGCAATTTTTCACAAATTTTTTTGAAATTTTTTCTTAAATTTTTCGAAATTTTTCCCTTTAAGGGTCACTACAAAAAATATTTTTGGTATATTTCTTGTGCTGCTCAACAACCAGAATCTCCATTAAAAATGTCACAATTACCAATTAAAGTGTTAAATATAGGCGTGGATGTTGAAGAACCACCAATTGAAGTTGAAGAGACTCCTAAAGAATTGCTTGATTGTCCAGATTTTAAATTGGAGTTGCCCAGGTTGTTTGACAAGAACTTGTTGTTAGGATTTTACCTTGTTACATCTTTGACTTGGGGACTACCGCTTGGATGCTTGCCAATATCAAAAATTATAGGGTCTAGTGGTACAAGGCCAAAATTTGGGGGTGAACAGGAGTACGGGCTGATTTTAAATTTCCAAGCGCTGCTAGTGACATCAGATTTCAAATTCCAATTATTCTCAATTTTCTAATAAATAAGTTTAATTAATTTTAGGCTATCAATTGTTGAAATTGCTATGGCTAAAATTCAAGAAATTTGTTTTTCACGGAAGAGAAGGTTGAGGACATTAGCTAAATTTTTAAAAAATTTTATTTTCTAGACTTTATGAAATTGGTAATTCTGGAACAATATTTGCAAAAATTACAATGTTAAAAAATACATTTAAATTGGGTGATGATGTAATTGGAAGGTTAGATTTTCCTCGTGATGGGATCAATTGTCTTCAGGTTTTTTTTTAATTTTATTAGGATTTTATTTTTTAATAGACTCTAATAATTGCTGAAACTGTTGAGACAAATTTATTAGACGATTCAAAACCTGAAAATTTTTGTTCGCATTGTAAAGAGCATTCAATTACTGCATTTATGGAACAAACTTATTTTAAACTAGCCTTGCCAATGACTGCTGTGCCATGTTTTACTACAGAATTTGGTTTGCTTTAGAAAAAATTTTTTTATTACTAAAAGAAATTTTTAAAATAGGAACTTACTTGGATCTTTTCTAATTCCTTTTCCGTTCTCTGGCCCGACCCGAACCTTTTTTTGGCCAAACCCTGACCCAGAAACATTCATACCCAGTGGATGGGAGAGGCCAACCCTATCCATGAGACTGTCCAAAGATTGTTTATTTTAAAAATTTCCAGTTTTTTTTAAATGGGCAGTCTTTATTAGTCCCATTTTATCCCCTTCCCTTCGTTGAAAGCAGAACTCTGGTTACGTCTTTGGAACCAGAGTTGCACGAAAATTTTTTCGTATCGTGTTCCCTCTTCTTTACTTTTCCTTCCTACCTATAGGCATTTATTTTCGTCCATAGACCGAAATTTTCGTGCATTTCTGTTTGAAACCTCAAAAATAATCATAGTAAATATTAATTTTTTACTTCCTTATTTCAGTTAAAGTAAGATGGCGTATTCATTTTCAATTTGTAATTACTCGTGATAAATTAATGAGCTCCTTTAAAAACGGCCAATCTTCATTAGCAGATAATTTAAATATTGAAACTGTAAAATGGAATTTACCTATAAATGTTTTAACTTGTAGTCCATTTAATGCTTCATTGGTTTGTTCAAATTCTGATTCTACTACTTTTGTTATTTAATTGTTTTTTGAGAGAGGTTTTTTAAAGAGAAATTTCTCAAATTAATTTTGTTGTTGTTAATTTTGTTATACATATATTAATTTTTACGGACATATTTCACTTTCGCAAAAAAATTTCGGAATTCAGGGGTTTGCCAAAATAGATTTTAAGAAGCAAAAAGACAAAAGGGGAGAGAATTTAAAAAAATGAAAGATTAAAGGTACATACCGAAAAAGGCGAAATTTGGCGAATTACGGGGGCAAAGGCCCAATACGATGAAAGGCACACCTATGGCGATCAACATGTTTAATTCTTTACTTGAAATTTTTTAAAAAATTTTCGTCCCTTTAAAACAAAAATTTGAAATATGTCCGTATTTTTAATTTACGTGACATAAGCTCTCCTTAACTCTGGGAGATTTTTAATAATACGCATACATATCTGTAAATTTAAGATAATATTTTTTAAAAAATTTTAATTTTCTTGCGGTTTTATTTTGTCTACATATTTTTTATTATTTTTATAACTATTTAATTTAACCAATTCAATTCAAATTAAATTTTTTAGTAATTATTTTAGAAAAGATTTTAAAATGATTTTGGCAAGGACTTCTTTTTTTCTGGCTTCAAGTTTGCTTTTATTTTGATTAAAAAATATTTTTTTTAAATTTAGAGCGCTTATATGCGACCTACATTCCTGGCTCGAGGCCAGTTTTCAAGCGTACAAAGCCTCATCTGAATGTCGGTACAATTGGGCATGTTGACCATGGTAATAATATTTTTTAGAAAATTTTAAAAATAAAAAATCTTTTGTATAGGAAAGACTACTCTTACTTCAGCGATTACGAAAGGTTATCTTTAAATCGTTTTTCAAAAAAAAATTTTTTTTGTTTAATTTTTAGTACTTGCTGCTTCCAAGAAGGCGAAATTTGCAAAGTTTGTTTTTATTTTTTTGCAAAAGAAAGATTTCCTTTTAGATATGAGGATATTGATAATGCACCAGAAGAACGTTCTCGTGGCATTACCATTAATACTGCTCATATTGAATATGGTTTGTGATTTTTTTTAATTTTTTTCCTTTTTGGAGGGAGATGAATTTATTTTTTCCTAGACCTTTGAATTGATTTTGAACGTTCTTATGTTAAAAAAAAATTTTTAGAAACTGATGCTCGTCATTATGCACATATTGATTGCCCTGGACATGCGGACTATATTAAGAACATGATCACCGGTTTATTAATTTTCTGTGTTTTTAAAAAAAATTTTTAGGAGCTGCACAAATGGAAGGAGCCATTCTTGTTGTAGCAATTACTGATGGGCCTATGCCACAGGTTTTTTTAATGTTTGAACTATTAAAAACTTCAATTTTTAGACTAGAGAGCATTTATTGTTAGCTCGTCAATGCGGAATTCCTCAACATAATATTTGTGTTTATTTGAATAAATGTGATGAAGTAAATGATGAAGAAACTCGTGAACTTGTTGAAATGGAAGTTAGAGAACTTTTGAATGAATATGAATATCCTGGAGATGAAGTGCCGGTAGGCTATTAAAGGATTATATGGACCCTTGCAGTTAATCCTCACTATGAGTATAGCCCTCATATCATGGATGGGCCGGGTTGTGAAGGCTGCTAGTTTGGGTCTAGGATCGGGTTTTTGAAAGTTTCTTGTATCTGATTTCTTATCTCTAGTCGAAAAAGACCGTGTTTTGAGTACCAGTCAAATTCATGTCGCACACTAACAATGAATACGCCTCAATTAAAAATACATTTTTTAGTTTCGATGGTCATGGGGCCCCTGGTACCCCTTAGCGAAAATGGTTCAAGATTTACAATAGAAAGGGTATGATCTATCTGTCAGCCAAATTTCATCCCGAAGTCCCACGGACACATAAAATACGATTTTTTACCATTAAGGGTTATCTTATATTGTTGTCCGATTAAAAAAAATTTTTAAAGGTAATTATTGGCTCGGCATTATCTGCATTGGAAGGAATAAATCCTGAAATTGGTGAAAAATCTGTTCTTAAACTTCTTGAAACTTTGGATAATTATTTTAAAATTCCTAAACGTGAGGTTAATGATGAAACTATTTTTGCTGTTGAAAAAGTTTATAATATTGAAGGTTTTTTTGATAAAATGATAATAAGTTTAAATTAAAAAAAATTTTTTTTGCAGGAAAAGGTGGAGTTGTTACTGGTAAATTAGAACAAGGATCAGTAAAGAAAGGTGACAAACTGGTAATTGCTGGACAAGGAAAAAATAAGGCTACTGTTGTTAATGGTTATATTTTTTGAAATTTTAAAGAATTTTTAAATTAAATTTATATATTTTATAGGTTTGGAAACATTCTGTAAAACTGTTGATAAAGGTGAACCTGGAGATCAATTGGGTATTATTTTTTTTATTTTTAATCGGTTTTGGAGACCGTTTAATTTTTGCTTGTGGCGGCTCATATAAATTGTAGAGGCAGTTGAGCTGCCACATGAGAAAGTTTTAAAGAATTGAAAAAAATTTTTTGTCAAGGTATTTTGCTTCGTGGTGTTGAACCAAAAGATCTTAAAAGAGGATGTGTTCTTTTACCTCAAGGACATAAACATTTGCTTACTGATAGAGGTTTTTTTAAATAAATTTTATTTTTAAGTAGGTCTTTAAGGATTTTGTTTTTCATTTTTTTAAAAATTATTTTGGGAAATTTCTAAATTTTTGGTGTTCCTTTTCATTTTTGCCTTTTATTCCATTTACCCTTTTCTTTGGTCCGAAAATGTTTTTATATTTTTTTATTTTTTAGTTCGTGCTCAAATTTACGTTTTACGTCCAGAGGAGGGAGGTTCAAAGCTTCCTATTGCCAATTTTTTTGCGGAACAAGTCTTTTCGTTAACTTGGAATTGTGTTGGAAATATTCGAATTTTGGATACAAATAAAGATTTTATTATGCCTGGAGAGGTTATTTTTTAAAAATAATTATTTTTTAAATAAATTTTGTAGCATGCTGAAATTATTTTGGAATATAAGTGAGTCACTAAAAAATTTTTTGAAATTTTTTAAAAATTAAAAAATTTTTTTTCTCCAGTGTTGATCAATTTATGTTACCACAGCAACGCTTTACGCTTCGAAATTCTGAAAATATTACAAGTTTTATTTTTTTAATTTATTAAAAATTAATTTAATTAATTTAAAGTTGCTTGTGGCGTATTTTTGGAGTTGCTTGAACCAATGACTTTTGAGGAGAAAGATAAAAGAAATCGTAAAAAACAGAAGCGTTCAGTTATGGAGAGTAAGTTTAATTTTTGTATTTTTTTTCAGGGTTTAAAAATGAAAACACAAAAAATTCTGATTTTTCACACAATTCTGATTTAAATTTATAGAGAAATCAGAATTGTGTATTTTTGTAATTTTAAAATATCAGAATTTTTTGTTTTCTTTGTTTAGCAAAGGATAATATAAAATTCTGATTTCTTTGTAAAATTTAAATCAGAATTCTTAGTATTTTGTTTACTTAAATATAATGACACGAAAATTCTGATTTTCAATTAAATTTTAAACAGAATTGTGTGTTTTTGTCGTTAAAAAATCAGAATTTTTTGTATTTTTAATTTTTAATTCTGATTTTCTTAAATGAAAAACACAATTCTGATTTTTAATTAAATTTAAATTAGAATTGTTGTGTTTTTGTTGTTTAGAAAATCAGAATTTTTTTGTATTTTTAATTTTTAATTCTGATTTTTCGTAAATGAAAAACACAAAATTCTGATTTTTAATTAAATTTTAAATCAGAATTTTGTGTTTTCTTTAAAATCAGAATTTTTTGTATTTTTAATTTTTAATTCTGATTTTTGTAAATGAAAAACACAAAATTCTTTTCTTTGCGAAATTCTAATCAGAATTGTTGTGTGTTTTTGTTTAAAATTCAGAATTTTATTTTTAATTTTGCTTATTTTCTATTTTAATTTAGAACTTGGTTTTAATCCTTATGAGGCAAGTTGGGAAAAGACTTGCAAGCCGGATTATTCAAAATCGCCAAGTAACAATCCTGCTGAAGAACTTTTTAGAAGGGAAGCAACTGGACATTGAGAATAATAATTTTTGGAATTAAAAAATGAAGAGGATGACTTTGGAAAAAAATTAGTAAATTTAAAAAAAAAATTTTTTTTGGTTGGCTAATTAATTAATTATTTTTTGATTGTTATTTTTGATGTTTATTTAATCAAAAATAAATTTGTTTTTAGGTAAATAAAAATTTTTTTTATTTATTAAAGTAATTAATATTCACTATATATTTTTAAAATATTTTTCTTCTTATCAATTTTTCCCTCTTAAAAAAATAATTTTTTTAGATAAGGAAATATTTGGTAAAAACGATTTTAGAGCTAATTTATAGTTGAAAAAATTTAATTTATTTTTCAGATCTCTCTTGTATTTTTCTGTAAATATTTTTAAAGAAAAATGAAATTTGTATTGCTCAAAGACTATAATGAAATCTCAACTTTTGCGGCTGAATTTGTATGTAAAAGAATTGTTGATTTTTGTAAAGAAAATGAAAATAATAAGAAATTTTTTGTTTTGGGTCTTCCTACAGGTTTGGAAAATTTTATTGAAAATTTTTGGCTCTATCTGAAGGGAGTGCCTGGTTGACTGGTTGACTTTTTTACTTACTTAGAATGGTTTTTTTTATTTTTCCAAACTTCTTTAGAATCGTGTGAAGGGCAAAACAAGGAATTCCAAAATACGGAACAGACAAAACATGGACTGGTCCGCGTTTTGGTATGGCCTGTATTTTTTTAAAAAATTTTTTGACGATCGACCATTTCTAGACATTTTAAGGAAATAAGGCAAAAACTCAAACTCTTTTCAGATAGAGTCGCATTTTTTGTTTGAGATTTATTTGAAATTTAGAAAAAAAATTTTTCTTTAGGAAGTACTCCAATCGGAATGTATTCAAAACTTGTTGAATTTTACAAAATGGGAAGAATTTCATTTAAGCGTGTAAAAACTTTTAATATGGATGAGTAAGAAATTTTTAAAATATTAAAAAAAATATATTTTTGAAAAGATATGTTGGAATTTCTCCTCTACATCCACAAAGTTATCGACATTTTATGTTTGAAAATTTATTTAGGTTAGTTTCTATTTTCTATTAAATTTTGGGGAACTTTTTTTTTAATTTTTTTTTTGGTTTTTTTTTTGAATTCTGTAAATTTTTTAAATTCTGTTTTTATTGGAAATTAGATTTGTAAATTTCTGATTTTCAAAAATTTTAATTTTTTTATATTTGATTTTTTTCAAATTGGGTCTTTCGTTAAAAAATAAAAAACCTTTGAATTTCCTGTGGTTTTCAAAAAAAATATTTTTTAAAATGAAAAAAAAATTTTTTTTAATTTTGTAGTCACATTGACATTGATCCTTTAAACGTAAGCGTATTTAAATTAATTTTATTTCACAAATTTTTTTCAGATTGACATTCCAAATGGGCAAGCACCTTCTCTTTTAGATGAATGCAATCGTTATGAGTTTGAAAATTTTTTTTTGATTTTTAAATTTTTTTTTAAATTTTTAGAGAAGCAATTCGAACTGCTGGAGGAATTGATTTATTTGTTTCTGGTAAGAAATTTTATTAAAATTTTTAAAAATAATTTTTTTCTCAAAGGCATTGGATCAGATGGACATTTAGCTTTTAATGAACCTGGCAGCAGTCTAAACGTTTTTTTTTAATTTTTTAAATTTTTAAAATTTTTTATTTGATTTTTAGAGTCGTACACGTGTACAGGCTCTCAATAATGAAACAATTTTAGCAAATTCGCGTTTCTTTCAAAATGATTGTAGTCAAGTTCCTATAAAGGTTTAGAAAAATTTTTATTTTTTTTTTTGATGATTTTAAAATAATTTTTTTTTTTATTTTTAGGCAATAACTGTTGGTGTTGGCACTTTAATGGAAGCTAAAGAGGTTAGAAAAAAATTTTTTTTTGATAAAAAAAATTTTTTAAATAAAATTTTTTAATAAGAAAATTTTCCAAAAAAATTTTTTCCCTTTAGATTTTGGTTTTGGCGAGTGGTTCTCATAAAGCTTTAGCTGTACACAAGGCTGTAGAAAAGGGAATTTCTCATATGTGCACTGCCAGTGGTGAAATTTTTTAATTTAATTTTTTGATTAAAAAATAAAAAAATAATAATTTTTTCAGCTTTGCAATCACACAATAATTGTATTTGGTTGGTGGATGAGGTGGGTCAATTTTTTTTGAAAATTATTGAAAAATTTTTCAAATTTGAAAAAAATTTTTTCAGAATTTCAAAATTTTTCAATAATTTTCAAAAAAAATTGACCCACCTCATCCACCAACCAAATACAATTATTGTGTGATTGCAAAGCTGAAAAAATTATTATTTTTTTATTTTTTAATCAAAAAATTAAATTAAAAAATTTCACCACTGGCAGTGCACATATGAGAAATTCCCTTTTCTACAGCCTTGTGTACAGCTAAAGCTTTATGAGAACCACTCGCCAAAACCAAAATCTAAAGGGAAAAAATTTTTTTGGAAAATTTTCTTATTAAAAAATTTTATTTAAAAAATTTTTTTTATCAAAAAAAAATTTTTTTCTAACCTCTTTAGCTTCCATTAAAGTGCCAACACCAACAGTTATTGCCTAAAAATAAAAAAAAAAATTATTTTAAAATCATCAAAAAAAAAAATAAAAATTTTTCTAAACCTTTATAGGAACTTGACTACAATCATTTTGAAAGAAACGCGAATTTGCTAAAATTGTTTCATTATTGAGAGCCTGTACACGTGTACGACTCTAAAAATCAAATAAAAAATTTTAAAAATTTAAAAAATTAAAAAAAAACGTTTAGACTGCTGCCAGGTTCATTAAAAGCTAAATGTCCATCTGATCCAATGCCTTTGAGAAAAAAATTATTTTTAAAAATTTTAATAAAATTTCTTACCAGAAACAAATAAATCAATTCCTCCAGCAGTTCGAATTGCTTCTCTAAAAATTTAAAAAAAAATTTAAAAATCAAAAAAAAATTTTCAAACTCATAACGATTGCATTCATCTAAAAGAGAAGGTGCTTGCCCATTTGGAATGTCAATCTGAAAAAAATTTGTGAAATAAAATTAATTTAAATACGCTTACGTTTAAAGGATCAATGTCAATGTGACTACAAAATTAAAAAAAATTTTTTTTTCATTTTAAAAAATATTTTTTTTGAAAACCACAGGAAATTCAAAGGTTTTTTATTTTTTAACGAAAGACCCAATTTGAAAAAAATCAAATATAAAAAAATTAAAATTTTTGAAAATCAGAAATTTACAAATCTAATTTCCAATAAAAACAGAATTTAAAAAATTTACAGAATTCAAAAAAAAAACCAAAAAAAAAATTAAAAAAAAAGTTCCCCAAAATTTAATAGAAAATAGAAACTAACCTAAATAAATTTTCAAACATAAAATGTCGATAACTTTGTGGATGTAGAGGAGAAATTCCAACATATCTTTTCAAAAATATATTTTTTTTAATATTTTAAAAATTTCTTACTCATCCATATTAAAAGTTTTTACACGCTTAAATGAAATTCTTCCCATTTTGTAAAATTCAACAAGTTTTGAATACATTCCGATTGGAGTACTTCCTAAAGAAAAATTTTTTTTCTAAATTTCAAATAAATCTCAAACAAAAAATGCGACTCTATCTGAAAAGAGTTTGAGTTTTTGCCTTATTTCCTTAAAATGTCTAGAAATGGTCGATCGTCAAAAAATTTTTTAAAAAAATACAGGCCATACCAAAACGCGGACCAGTCCATGTTTTGTCTGTTCCGTATTTTGGAATTCCTTGTTTTGCCCTTCACACGATTCTAAAGAAGTTTGGAAAAATAAAAAAAACCATTCTAAGTAAGTAAAAAAGTCAACCAGTCAACCAGGCACTCCCTTCAGATAGAGCCAAAAATTTTCAATAAAATTTTCCAAACCTGTAGGAAGACCCAAAACAAAAAATTTCTTATTATTTTCATTTTCTTTACAAAAATCAACAATTCTTTTACATACAAATTCAGCCGCAAAAGTTGAGATTTCATTATAGTCTTTGAGCAATACAAATTTCATTTTTCTTTAAAAATATTTACAGAAAAATACAAGAGAGATCTGAAAAATAAATTAAATTTTTTCAACTATAAATTAGCTCTAAAATCGTTTTTACCAAATATTTCCTTATCTAAAAAAATTATTTTTTTAAGAGGGAAAAATTGATAAGAAGAAAAATATTTTAAAAATATATAGTGAATATTAATTACTTTAATAAATAAAAAAAATTTTTATTTACCTAAAAACAAATTTATTTTTGATTAAATAAACATCAAAAATAACAATCAAAAAATAATTAATTAATTAGCCAACCAAAAAAAATTTTTTTTTTAAATTTACTAATTTTTTTCCAAAGTCATCCTCTTCATTTTTTAATTCCAAAAATTATTATTCTCAATGTCCAGTTGCTTCCCTTCTAAAAAGTTCTTCAGCAGGTAAACATCCCCTCATTAGAGATATCCATGATGATTAGAACATCATAGCTCTAAATTTCAGAATCTCTCACGTTTTTTATTTTTTTATTGCTTGAATATAACAAAAACTGCGTAAAAAAGATGTACCTTTTTCAAAATTAATTTTAAGCAATAATTTTAGGTAATAAAATTATAATTTTTATATCAAAAAATAGAGAATGATTCAAACTTTAATAATCTTTAAAAATTTTGAAATTTGGTTAAGCCTAGGCCTAGAAAAAAATTGTTAAAGTTTTTCCACAGAAAGTTCGCAGAAAAAATTTTAGGGTGGATTTTTTAAAGAATTCTGTGTATTTTCCGCAGACCACAGAAATAATTGAAACAGAAATGCACAGAATCGACTAAAAAAGCCACAGATCTGTGGATTTTTTTCTGTGCACAGAAAAATAATTGAAATAGAATTCTGTGGTTTTTGCATGTTTTTGGATGTTTTGCAGAATCTGTGGATGTTTCCACAGATTCTGTGCATGTTTCCACAGAATCTGCGGACTTCTTTTTCCGCAGAATCTGTGGAATAATTGAAACAGAATTTCTGTGGTTCTGTGGTCTGTGCACAGAACGCAGACCGCAGAATCTGTGGACAATTGAAATAGGGCCCAGATAGAGCCAAAAATTTTCAATAAAATTTTCCAAACCTGTAGGAAGACCCAAAACAAAAAATTTCTTATTATTTTCATTTTCTTTACAAAAATCAACAATTCTTTTACATACAAATTCAGCCGCAAAAGTTGAGATTTCATTATAGTCTTTGAGCAATACAAATTTCATTTTTCTTTAAAAATATTTACAGAAAAATACAAGAGAGATCTGAAAAATAAATTAAATTTTTTCAACTATAAATTAGCTCTAAAATCGTTTTTACCAAATATTTCCTTATCTAAAAAAAATATTTTTTTTAAGAGGGAAAAATTGATAAGAAGAAAAAAATATTTTAAAAATATATAGTGAATATTAATTACTTAAATAAATAAAAAAATTTTTATTTACCTAAAAACAAATTTATTTTTGATTAAATAAACATCAAAAATAACAATCAAAAAATAATTAATTAATTAGCCAACCAAAAAAAAATTTTTTTTTAATTTACTAATTTTTTTTTCCAAAGTCATCTTCCTCATTTTTTAATTCCAAAAAATATTATTCTCAATGTCCAGTTGCTTCCCTTCTAAAAAGTTCTTCAGCAGGATTGTTACTTGGCGATTTTGAATAATCCGGCTTGCAAGTCTTTTCCCAACTTGCCTCATAAGGATTAAAACCAAGTTCTAAATTAAAATTAAAAAAATCAGAATTAAAAATAAAATTCTGATTTTTAAGCAAAACACACAATTCTAATTTAAATTTAATTAAAAATCAGAATTTTGTGTTTTTCATTTACAAAAATCAGAATTAAAAATACAAAAAATTCTGATTTTTTGAAAACACACAATTCTGTTTAAAATTTAATTAAAAATCAGAATTTTGTGTTTTTCATTTACAAAAATCAGAATTAAAAATACAAAAAATTCTGATTTTTTGAAAACACACAATTCTGTTTAAAATTTAATTAAAAATCAGAATTTTGTGTTTTTCATTTACAAAAATCAGAATTAAAAATACAAAAAATTCTGATTTTTTGAAAACACACAATTCTGTTTAAAATTTAATTAAAAATCAGAATTTTGTGTTTTTCATTTACAAAAATCAGAATTAAAAATACAAAAAATTCTGATTTTTTGAAAACACACAATTCTGTTTAAAATTTAATTAAAAATCAGAATTTTGTGTTTTTCATTTACAAAAATCAGAATTAAAAATACAAAAAATTCTGATTTTTTGAAAACACACAATTCTGTTTAAAATTTAATTAAAAATCAGAATTTTGTGTTTTTCATTTACAAAAATCAGAATTAAAAATACAAAAAATTCTGATTTTTTGAAAACACACAATTCTGTTTAAAATTTAATTAAAAATCAGAATTTTCGTGTCATTATATTTAAGTAAACAAAATACTAAGAATTCTGATTTAAATTTTACAAAAAATTCAGAATTTTATATTATTCTTTGTTAACCAGAAATACAAAAAATTCTGATAAATTAAAATTTAAAAATACAAAATACACAATTCTGATTTCTCTATAAATTTAAATCAGAATTGTGTGAAAAATCAGAATTTTTTGTGTTTTCATTTTTAAACCCTGAAAAAATATAAAAAATTAAACTTACTCTCCATAACTGAACGCTTCTGTTTTTTACGATTTCTTTTATCTTTCTCCTCAAAAGTCATTGGTTCAAGCAACTCCAAAAATACACCACAAGCAACTTTAAATTAAAATTAAAAAAATTTTTTGAATAAAATTAAAAAAAATAAAACTTGTAGTATTTTCAGAATTTCGAAGCGTAAAGCGTTGCTGTGGTAACATAAATTGATCAACACTGAAGAAAAAAAAATTTTTTTAATTTTTAAAAAATTTTAAAAAATTTCAAAAAATTTTTTGTGACTCACTTATATTCCAAAATAATTTCAGCATGCTTAAAATTTAATTAAAAAATAATTTTTGAAAAAAACCTCTCCAGGCATAATAAAATCTTTATTTGTATCCAAAATTCGAATATTTCCTACACAATTCCAAGTTAACGAAAAGACTTGTTCCGCAAAGAAATTGGCAATAGGAAGCTTTGAACCTCCCTCTTCTGGACGTAAAACGTAAATTTGAGCACGAACTAAATTTAAAAATAAAAAAATATAAAAACATTTTCGGACCAAAGAAAAGGGTAAATGGAATAAAAGGCAAAAATGAAAAGGAACACCAAAAATTTAGAAATTTCCCAAAATAATTTTTAAAAAAATGAAAAACAAAATCCTTAAAGACCTACTTAAAAATAAAATTTATTTAAAAAAACCTCTATCAGTAAGCAAATGTTTATGTCCTTGAGGTAAAAGAACACATCCTCTTTTAAGATCTTTTGGTTCAACACCACGAAGCAAAATACCTTGACAAAAAATTTTTTTCAATTCTTTAAAACTTTCTCATGTGGCAGCTCAACTGCCTCTACAATTTATATGAGCCGCCACAAGCAAAAATTAAACGGTCTCCAAAACCGATTAAAAATAAAAAAAATAATACCCAATTGATCTCCAGGTTCACCTTTATCAACAGTTTTACAAAATGTTTCCAAACCTATAAAATATAAATTTAATTTAAAAATTCTTTAAAATTTCAAAAAATATAACCATTAACAACAGTAGCCTTATTTTTTCCTTGTCCAGCAATTACCAGTTTGTCACCCTTCTTTACTGATCCTTGTTCTAATTTACCAGTGACAACTCCACCTTTTCCTGCAAAAAAATTTTTTTTTAATTTAAAAAAATTATCATTTTATCAAATAAAACCTTCAATATTATAAACTTTTTCAACAGCAAAAATAGTTTCATCATTAACCTCACGTTTAGGAATTTTAAAATAATTATCCAAAGTTTCGAGAAGTTTAAGAACAGATTTTTCACCAATTTCAGGATTTATTCCTTCCAATGCAGATAATGCCGAGCCAATAATTACCTTTAAAAATTTTTTTTAATCGGACAACAATATAAGATAACCCTTAATGGTAAAAAATCGTATCTTATGATCAGTACATTATTTAAGCAGCTCCCCTTACAAAGGAGAGCCTTTTGGGTGTCCGTGGGACTTCGGGATGAAATTTGGCTGACAGATAGATCATACCCTTTCTATTGTAAATCTTGAACCATTTTCGCTAAGGGGTACCAGGGGCCCCATGACCATCAAAACTAAAAAATGTATTTTTAATTGAGGCGTATTCATTGTTAGTGTGGGACAAGGATTTGACTGGTACTCAAAACACGGTCTTTTTTGACTAGAGATAAGAAATCCGATACAAGAAACTTTCAAAAGCCAAATCCTAGACCCAAACTAGCAGCCTTCACAACCCGCCCCATCCATGATATGAAGGGTATAATCATAGTGAGGATTAACTGCAAGGGTCCATATAATCCTTTAATGGCATACCGGCACTTCATCTCCAGGATATTCATATTCATTCAAAAGTTCTCTAACTTCCATTTCAACAAGTTCACGAGTTTCTTCATCATTTACTTCATCACATTTATTCAAATAAACACAAATATTATGTTGAGGAATTCCGCATTGACGAGCTAACAATAAATGCTCTCTAGTCTAAAAATTGAAGTTTTTAATAGTTCAAACATTAAAAAAACCTGTGGCATAGGCCCATCAGTAATTGCTACAACAAGAATGGCTCCTTCCATTTGTGCAGCTCCTAAAAAATTTTTTTTAAAAACACAGAAAATTAATAAACCGGTGATCATGTTTTTAATGTAGTCAGCATGTCCAGGGCAATCAATATGTGCATAATGACGAGCATCCGTTTCTAAAAAAATTTTTTTAACATAAGAACGTTCAAAATCAATTCAAAGGTCTAGGAAAAAACAAAATCCCCCTCCCTCCAAAAAGGAAAAAAATTAAAAAAAAATATCAAACCATATTCAATATGAGCTGTATTGATGGTAATGCCACGAGAACGTTCTTCTGGTGCATTATCAATATCCTCATACCTAAAAGGATTTTTTTTCAAAAATTAAATAAAAATAAACTTTGCAAATTTCGCCTTCTTTGAAGCAGCAAGTACTAAAAATTAAACAAAAAAAATTTTTTTCAATAAACAATTTATAGTTATTATTTCTGCTATTATTTACCTTTCGTAATCGCGGAAGTAAGAGTAGTCTTTCCTATAAAAAAATTATTTTTATTTTTTTTTCAAGAACTTTTCTTAAGATACCATGGTCAACATGCCCAATTGTACCAACATTAAGATGAGGCTTTGTACGCTTGAAAACTGGCCTCGAGCCAGGAATGTAGGTCGCATATAAGCGCTCTATGTCATTCAATAAAGGCATAGAAATTTTGTAGAGCGGAGTCGGGTCCAACCCTATTTATATATTTTATTACTTTTGCGGACATATTTCATATCCGCAAAAAATTTTAGGAACTCAGGGGTTTGCCAAAACAGATTTTAAAAAGCAAAAGGTCAAAAGTCGAGAATTTAGGAAACGAAGGACCAGAGGTAAACACCGGAAATTCGCTGAAAGGCTCGGGGGAAAGGCACAATACGGCGAAAGGCACATCCTTGGTGATCCACATGTTTAATTCTTTATTTGAAATTTTGTAAGAATCATCCAAATATTTTTTTAAATTATTACTAAAAACAAAATTTTGAAATATGTCCGTATTTTAATTTTTTAAGTGACATAAGCTCTCCTTAACTCTGGGAGATTTTTAATAATACGCATACATATCTGTAAATTTAAGATAATATTTTAAAAAATTTTTTTTTAATTTTTTACGGTTTTTTGTCTATATATTTTTTATTATTTTTATAACTATTTAATTTTCTCAATTTTTTCAAAAAAAAAAGAATTTTTTCAGAAATTGTTTTAGAAAAGATTTTAGAATTTTTTTAATGATTTTGGCACGGACTTCTTTTTTTCTGGCTTCAAGTTTGCTTTTTTTAATTTGTTTAAAAAATATTAAATTATTTTTTAAATTTAGAGCGCTTATATGCGACCTACATTCCTGGCTCGAGGCCAGTTTTCAAGCGTACAAAGCCTCATCTTAATGTTGGTACAATTGGGCATGTTGACCATGGTATCTTAAGAAAAGTTCTTGAAAAAAAAATAAAAATAATTTTTTTATAGGAAAGACTACTCTTACTTCCGCGATTACGAAAGGTAAATAATAGCAGAAATAATAACTATAAATTGTTTATTGAAAAAAATTTTTTTTGTTTAATTTTTAGTACTTGCTGCTTCAAAGAAGGCGAAATTTGCAAAGTTTATTTTTATTTAATTTTTGAAAAAAAATCCTTTTAGGTATGAGGATATTGATAATGCACCAGAAGAACGTTCTCGTGGCATTACCATCAATACAGCTCATATTGAATATGGTTTGATATTTTTTTTTAATTTTTTTCCTTTTTGGAGGGAGGGGGATTTTGTTTTTTCCTAGACCTTTGAATTGATTTTGAACGTTCTTATGTTAAAAAAATTTTTTTAGAAACGGATGCTCGTCATTATGCACATATTGATTGCCCTGGACATGCTGACTACATTAAAAACATGATCACCGGTTTATTAATTTTCTGTGTTTTTAAAAAAAATTTTTTAGGAGCTGCACAAATGGAAGGAGCCATTCTTGTTGTAGCAATTACTGATGGGCCTATGCCACAGGTTTTTTTAATGTTTGAACTATTAAAAACTTCAATTTTTAGACTAGAGAGCATTTATTGTTAGCTCGTCAATGCGGAATTCCTCAACATAATATTTGTGTTTATTTGAATAAATGTGATGAAGTAAATGATGAAGAAACTCGTGAACTTGTTGAAATGGAAGTTAGAGAACTTTTGAATGAATATGAATATCCTGGAGATGAAGTGCCGGTATGCCATTAAAGGATTATATGGACCCTTGCAGTTAATCCTCACTATGAGTATACCCTTCATATCATGGATAGGACGGGAACAATGAATATGCCTCAATTTAAAATACATTTTTTTAGCTTTGATGGTCATAGGGCTAATTGTAAGGGGAGCTGCTTAAATAATGTACTGATCATAAGATACGATTTTTTACCATTAAGGGTTATCTTATATTGTTGTCCGATTAAAAAAAATTTTTAAAGGTAATTATTGGCTCGGCATTATCTGCATTGGAAGGAATAAATCCTGAAATTGGTGAAAAATCTGTTTTTAAACTTCTCGAAACTTTGGATAATTATTTTAAAATTCCTAAACGTGAGGTTAATGATGAAACTATTTTTGCTGTTGAAAAAGTTTATAATATTGAAGGTTTTTTTATGAAATTTAAATTTGAAAAAAATTTTTTTTGCAGGAAAAGGTGGAGTTGTCACTGGTAAATTAGAACAAGGATCAGTAAAGAAAGGCGACAAACTGGTAATTGCTGGACAAGGAAAAAATAAGACTACTATTGTTAATGGTTATATTTTTTGATTTTAAAGAATTTTTAAATTAAATTTGTATTTTATAGGTTTGGAAACATTTTGTAAAACTGTTGATAAAGGTGAACCTGGAGATCAATTGGGTATTATTTTTTTTATTTTTAAAATTGGGTTTTTGGAGACCGTTTAATTTTTGCTTGTGGCGGCTCAACTAAAATTGTGGGGACAGTTGAGCCGCCACATGAGAAAGTTTTAAAGAATTGAAAAAAAATTTTTTGTCAAGGTATTTTGCTTCGTGGTGTTGAACCAAAAGATCTTAAAAGAGGATGTGTTCTTTTACCTCAAGGACATAAACATTTGCTTACTGATAGAGGTTTTTTTGAAATAAATTTTATTTTTTAGTAGGTTTTTGAGGATTTTGTTTTTCATTTTTTTAAAATTATTTTGGGAAATTTCTAAATTTTTGGTGTTCCTTTTCATTTTTGCCTTTTGTTCTATTTACCCTTTTGGTCTGAAAAATTTTTATATTTTTTTATTTTTTAGTTCGTGCTCAAATTTACGTTTTACGTCCAGAAGAGGGAGGTTCAAAACTTCCTATTGCCAATTTCTTTGCGGAACAAGTCTTTTCATTAACTTGGAATTGTGTTGGAAATATTCGAATTTTGGATACAAATAAAGATTTTATTATGCCTGGAGAGGTTCTTTTCAAAAATTATTTTTTAAATAAATTTTGTAGCATGCTGAAATTATTTTGGAATATAAGTGAGTCACTAAAAATTTTTTTGAAATTTTTTAAAAAATTAAAAAAAATTTCTTTTTACAGTGTTGATCAATTTATGTTACCGCAGCAACGCTTTACTCTTCGAAATTCTGAAAATACTACAAGTTTTATATTTTTTAATTTATTTAAAAAATTTTTTTTAAATTTTAATTTAAAGTTGCTTGTGGCGTATTTTTGGAGTTGCTTGAACCAATGACTTTTGAGGAGAAAGATAAAAGAAATCGTAAAAAACAGAAGCGTTCAGTTATGGAGAGTAAGTTTATTTTTTTAGGGTTAAAATTAAAACAAAGAAAATTCTGATTTTTTTTCACAATTCTGATTTAAATTTATAAAGAAATCAGAATTGTGTATTTTTGTAATTTTTAAATTTAAATTATCAGAATTTTTTGTATTTCTGGTTAACAAAGGATAATATAAAATTTTGATTTCTTTGTAAAATTTAAATCAGAATTCTTTGTATTTTGTTTATTTAAATATAATGACACGAAAATTCTGATTTTTAATTAAATTTTAAATCAGAATTGTTGTGTGTTTTTGTCGTTAAAAAATCAGAATTTTTTGTATTTTTAATTCTGATTTTTCTTAAATGAAAAACACAAAATTTTTTTTTTGCAAAATTTAAATCAGAATTGTTGTGTGTTTTTGTTTGAAATTCAGAATTTTATTTTAATTCTGATTTATTTTCTATTTTAATTTAGAACTTGGTTTTAATCCTTATGAGGCAAGTTGGGAAAAGACTTGCAAGCCGGATTATTCAAAATCGCCAAGTAACAATCCTGCTGAAGAACTTTTTAGAAGGGAAGCAACTGGACATTGATGAGAATAATATTTTTTGGAATTAAAAAATGAAGATGACTTTGGAAAAAAAAAATTAGTAAATTTAAAAAAAGGTTGAAAAAATTTTTTTTTTGGTTGGCTAATTAATTAATTATTTTTTCGATTGTTATTTTTGATGTTTATTTAATCAAAAATAAATTTGTTTTTAGGTAAATAAAAATTTTTTTATTTGTTTAAGTAATTAATATTCTTTATATATTTTTAAAATATTTTTCTTCTTATCAATTTTTCTCTTTTAAAAAATAATTTTTTTTTAGATAAGGAAATATTTGGTAAAAACGATTAAAAGAGGCTAATTTATAGTTGAAATAAAATTTAATTTTTTTTTCAGATCTCTATATTCTGTAAATATTTTTAAAGAAAAATGAAATTTGTATTGCTCAAAGACTATAATGAAATCTCAACTTTTGCGGCTGAATTTGTTTGTAAAAGAATTGTTGATTTTTGTAAAGAAAATGAAAATAATAAGAAATTTTTTGTTTTGGGTCTTCCTACAGGTTTGGAAAATTTTTTTTTGAGACTTTTGGGAACTGGGCAAGGTAGCGCATGCTCAAGTTATCGCAGAGCTATAACTTATTGCAATATTGTCAAGTCATGGGCGCCATGGTATGGGTTGATTAAGTTGGACGAGCCGCATCGAACCATACCAAGGCGCCACGGATTCTACAATTTTGAACAAAGGTATAGCTTGGCGATACATTGGGCTCGCGGTACATCGTGGGTTACCCGAGATTTTTTTTTTGAAATTTTTTCTTGGAAAATTTTTTTTGAATTTTTCAGTTAAAAAATTTTTTTCTTCTAGGAAGTACACCAATCGGAATGTATTCAAAACTTGTTGAATTTTGCAAAATGGGAAAAATTTCATTTAAACGTGTAAAAACTTTTAATATGGATGAGTAAGAAATTTAATTATTTTTATTTTTTTAATTAATTTTTTGAAAAGATATGTTGGAATTTCTCCTCTACATCCACAAAGTTATCGACATTTTATGTTTGAAAATTTATTTAGGTTAGTTTCTATTTTCTATTAAATTTTGGGGAACTTTTTTTTTAAATTTTTTTTTATTTTTTTTTCTGAATTTTGTAATTTTTTTAAATTCTGTTTTTATTGGAAATTAGATTTGTAAATTTCTGATTTTCAAAAATTTTAATTTTTTTATATTTGATTTTTTGAAAATTGGGTCCTTCGTTTAAAATATAAGACCATTGAATTTCCTGTGGTTTTCAAAAAAAAATTTTTTAATGAAGATAATTTTTTTTAATTTTATAGTCATATTGACATTGATCCTTTAAACGTAAGCGTATTTAAATTTTATTTAATAATTTTTAAAATTTTTTTCAGATTGACATTCCAAATGGGCAAGCACCTTCTCTTTTAGATGAATGCAATCGTTATGAGTTTGAAAATTTTTTTATTTTTAAATTTTTTTTAAATTTTTAGAGAAGCAATTCGAACTGCTGGAGGAATTGATTTATTTGTTTCTGGTAAGAAATTTTATTAAAAATTTTAAAAATAATTTTTTTCTCAAAGGCATTGGATCAGATGGACATTTAGCTTTTAATGAACCTGGCAGCAGTCTAAACGTTTTTTTTTATTTTTGAAAGTTAAAATTTTTTTTAATTTTTTTAGAGTCGAACACGTGTCCAGGCACTTAATAATGAAACAATTCTAGCAAATTCGCGTTTCTTTCAAAATGATTGTAGTCAAGTTCCTATAAAGGTTTAGAAAAATTTTTATTTTTTTTAATGATTTTAAATAATTTTTTTTTATTTTTAGGCAATAACTGTTGGTGTTGGCACTTTAATGGAAGCTAAAGAGGTTGGAAAAAGAATTTTTTCTTTTGATAAGAAAATTTTCAAAAAATTTTCCTAAAAAAATTTTTCTCATTTTTTTAATTTAAAAAATTTATCAGAAATTTTTTGATAAGAAAAATTTTTATTGTGATTTTTAAAATTTTTTCAATTTGAAAAATTTTTCAGAAATTTTTTTGAAAATTTTTTAATAAGAAAGTTTTCCAAAAAATTTTTTTTTTTCATTTAGATTTTGGTTCTGGCAAGTGGTTCTCATAAAGCTTTAGCTGTACACAAGGCTGTAGAAAAGGGAATTTCTCATATGTGCACTGCTAGTGGTGAAATTTTAATTTAATTTTTTGATTAAAAAAAATAAATTTTAAAGATTTATTTTAAAAAAATTTTTAATTGAAAAATAATTAAAAATTAATTTTTTTAGCTTTGCAATCACACAATAATTGTATTTGGTTGGTGGATGAGGTGGGTGGAATTTTTTTTGAAAATTTTGAAAATTTTTGAAATTCTGAAAAAATTTTTTTCAAATTTGAAAAATTTTTTTATGAAATTTTTTTCTTGAAAATTTTTTTTCAAAAATTTTTTAAAGGAAGCCTCTCAAGAATTAAAAGTCAAAACTGTCAATTTTTACCGTTCTCAATTTCCCGAATATCTTAAAATTTTATCAAATATAACACCACCATTGCATCAACAACCCTGTAACATTACTAACAACCACAACAATAAAAACTGCTTAAATTAAAGCTTTAACAAACTTAAGAAAAAAATTTTTAAATTAAGATTTGAAAAATTTTATGTAAGCATTTAAACTGAAAGAAAAAAATTTTTTGAAATTTTTTCTTTCAAAAAAATTCAAAAAAAATTTTTTTTCGAAAAATTTTTCTTTCAAAAAATTATTATAATCTCTAAAGAATTTTTTTTTAATTTTCTGTGCAATAAAAATAAAACTATGCTCAATTACTATAAAAATTACTAAGAAAAATTTTTCTAAATTTTCTAAGTAGGGTTACCAAAATGGACCGACTCGGACCGAAAGATCAAGTCGGGCCTAATATACTCGTACGGCCCGAAAAATAGTACGGCTCGACTTGCTAAAAATGAGGCCTGAAAGTGACTCGTATAGCCCGACGCGAAAATGGAAACAGCAACCCTAACTATAAGTAAAACAATTAATTTTCTTTTCTTTAATGAAAATTTAATGTTTTATTGGTTAAAAAAAAATTTTTTTTCTCGACAATTTTTTGTCAATGTAAGGAAAAAAATTTTTTTTAACCCTAACTTAAATGGGAATATAATAAAAAAACATCTTTTTTTAATTACATAGAATTTATGTAATTTTTTTCTCAATTTAATTTTACTTTTTGTTCTAAAAAATTGTTTTAGTTCAAGGTTGTAAAATAAAATAAAACACAAAAAAACTAAAAAGAAACAAAAAAAAAATAACGCGCAATAATATAAAATAAAATAATCCCATTTTCTCTCTCTCTTTTTAGTTGGTGGTGGTTACGCTTTACCTTTTTTTGAAAAAAAAATTATATATTTACACTTTTCCTGTTTTCTATTAAAAAAAGCTTATCTGAAACGCAATTTTTGGAAAAAAAATTTAGGATTTGGATTAAAAATTGGGAAACAATTTTGGAAAATAAGATAAAAGAGAGAGAAAGATGAGGAGATGAGGGGGGACAGGAAGAAGTTATCGGGGAGGGGGAGATATGAGGAGGAGGGGGCATGAATAAGCTAGGGGGAGGTGTGAAGAGGGGACAGGACGAAGCTGTGGGGAGGGGAAGGGGGGATGAAGAAGCTTGGAGGAGGAGGTGTTAGGAGGTGGTGGAGTGCAGGAAGAAGCTTGGGATGGGGGGGGTGTCATGGAGGTTTGTCCATAGGAGACGAGGTTTAGTTATTAGGTGGTGGGGGAAAGGAAGGTGAATATTGGGATAGTTGAAAGATCAATTGATAGGATTAATTGATCAATTCAGAAGATTAACGTTGATCGGGTTCTTTGGTAATCTTCTAAATAGTTTTGTTCAGACTCCAAATTAATTAAATTTTCAACTCAGATTTGGAGGGAAATTTTTTTGATTAGTTTGGGGTATGTCTTGAATCGATTTTTGGATATTTGTCTCATACTCATTAGTTGTCAATTATTTGTCAATAATGAATATGTAAAATGAGAACTAATCAAGCCAGATAATTATGTCAGATATTTACTAATTATTTCTCTATTTGATTTCGATCTTTTTTTTAGGTTTTGATTTGTTTTTAGCAACAGGACAGGTTCTTCCTTTCTTTTATTCGTCCCATTTCGAGGCCGCTGCTGTAATTCTTTCAAGCGATGCGAAAAAAGAAGAGGAGGATCATCAAAAAAAAGATTGCTTTACCTTTTTGGAAGAAGCTTTTTTTGGTTGCTTAGGTCGTCTTCTCTAACAACAACGACAAAACTATCGGCCGTTCATTCGAGGGTAAAGAAGGAAAAAATTTTTCTAAAAGGTATTAAAAAATTTATAGAAGGGGGAGAGAGAAAATTACGCGGTCAAAGTGCCCGCGGGCCATCACACACTTATTCCTATTTGTCTATTTTTAAGAGGGTACATGCTCCAAAAAAATTTATTTTTTACGTCTTTTGTTGAGTGATCGACCGCGACCTCCAATAATAATATTTTTATTTGCATTTGAAAAATTTTCTTTTTTTTCCTTTAAAAGGGTTTATAAATATATAAATTCTAAATCCGATTTTTCTTTCCTTCCTTTTTTTGTTAAAATTTGGGGCAAAAAAAGTGTCAAGGTTGCCAATAAAATGGGGAAGAATAAAAAATGCGTGTGTGTGGATAGATCACGGCCTTGCAATCTATTTGATTTTTTTGTTAGCGCAATATATATAAAATTAATTTCAGAACATTCATTTGCCTGAGACCATATCTTTTTTTAAAAAATATTTTCTGACTAGTAGCGAACTTGCGAAAAATATTTGGAATTATTTTTAGTGGGACAAGGAACTTTTGATTAGAGTGGTTCCCCCAAAAGGACCAGTCATTAGGATATTTTCTAATGGTGTTAGAAGATATCGGAAAGAATTTTTTGAGTTTTTTTTTAAATATATCCGGAAAGAAGAGGACGGTCTCTCGACTGTAGCGAACTAGCGATAAATTTAGGACAAGGAATTTCCGATTACGTTAGTTCTCCTAAAGAGATCAAGTACCCTTAACGAGATCAGTTAAGGGTGATAATATCAAGAGGAGTCATTCATAGCCGTAATGATATTTTCGAGTTTCGTTTTTTTAAATTATCCAAAAGAGGGGCTTTGAAAGGGGAAGAGGATCTTGAAGGGGAGGGGTGGTGGGATCTCTCTTTCTTTTTTTAAATATATCCAGAAGAGGGGCTTTGAAGGAGAAGAGGATCTTGAAGGGGAGGGGGGGGGGGAGGAATCTCTCTATTGAAGGGAAGGGTTCGGGGATCTCCCTATTGAAGGGAAGGGTTGGGGGATCTCTCTCTTGAAGGGTGCGGGGATCTCTCTCTTGAAGGGGAGGGTGCGGGGATCTCTCTCTTGGAGGGGAGGGTTCGGGGATCTCTCTCTTGAAGGGGAGGGTTCGGGGATCTCTCTCTTGAAGGGGAGGGTTCGGGGATCTCTCTCTTGAAGGGTAGGGGGGTAGGGAATCTCTCTCTTGAAGGGGAGGGTGCGGGGATCTCTCTCTTGAAGGGGAGGGTGCGGGGATCTCTCTCTTGAAGGGGAAGGTTGGGGATTTCTCGATTCGATCTCTTGACTACTACTAAATTTTTTTGAATTTAATTTTTTTAAATTCCATTGGACATTATTTCAAAGCCAATTCTTTTATTTACAAAATTTTCTAATTCATTCTTCACAATTGGGCAATAATAATATTTAATTGTTATATTCCTCTTCATTTTTCCCTTCACAAATTTCCTCCTCTTTTCTCTTCTCTCTCCGTTCAGAAAAGAGACAGGTTTTTAATTTTTTTTTGATGGCTCTACTAGAACCGGCAATATATATGTAGCTTTTTTACTTTACTATTAGAGAGAAAATTACAACCGGCAAAAGCTTTTTCTATTCAAAAATAATTTTTTTGTCTGTCCTTCTTCCTCATACCTTTTTTTTTATTCTCCTCATCATCACCTTCCTCAACCAAAAGCAATTTTTTTTAATTGTTAAAAACTTATTATTTTTTATGTTGTTTTGTATGAATGACTCTTTTCCTCATTTTTGATCAATTTTTTTATTCTTTACTGATTTTTTACCTTACGGGGCTTTCTGCTTTTGTGTTGTGTTACTAGCTAGTATAAGTTGCGCGGCGCCGGATCGATGTATTTATTATTACATGTATGCGCAATTGTATTATTAATTTTGCTGAATGTCAGGGATAGGCCCTGCAGAATTTTAAAAAACGGAAGAAAGCGGAACAAAATAAAATGTGGCAGACGGGAGCTGGTAGCGAAATTAGGGCCAATGTCTGTTGCATGGCCTTTAACCTTTGGATTTTCCTTAAAAAATATTTTAACAAAATTTTTTAAAAAGATTTTTTTAGGCCATCCATCCTTCGATGGTTTCTTCTTCATCCCCTTTTTGGACTGGATTTTTATTTTTTGTTTTGAATATTGCAAAAATGGGAAGGCCAATCTTACTTCATATCCCTTCAAATAGATCGTTCCCAATTTTACCTGGGCTTGAACCTATGGCTGGAGAAAAATCAGCTCCACATTTTTTTACTATTACAGGTGGAATTTTTTAATTGGAAAAAAATTTTTTTTGAAAATTTTTAAAATATTTTAGAGCGCTTTTCGAGAACAAAAATGTCCAATTTAAATTTGAGACGAAAAAGACAGGTTAAAAAATAGGAAAAAAATATTATTTAAAAAATTTAAAAGGTAATTGCTGGTCAAGTATATGAATGGCCAAGTAATTTAGTTCCATTTCAAATATGGGGAGGAGATGGTATGGAGAATTTTTTTTAATTTTTAAAAACTTGAAAGAATTTTAAAAAAAAATTTTGAAAAATTTCAGGAAAAACAAAATTTTTTTGAACTTATATTTTTTCAAAAAAAATTTTTTTTTGAAGATTTCCATAATAAATTTGAAAAATTTGAAAAAATTTTTCAAAATTTTTTTTTTCGATTTTTCATTAAAAAAAATTTTTTTTCAGCAAATTTCCAAAGTTTAATTCGTCGTGGAATAAAAATGTGGGAGGTAAAAAAATTTAAAATTAAATTTAAAGAATTTTTTTTATTATAAGGAAGCAACATGTTTACGTTTCCGTGAAAATTTACAAGCTACAGATGCAATTAGATATGTACTTGAAAGGGGAGATAGGTGGGGGGAATTTTAGGGAAATTTTGTAAAATTTAATTTTTAAAGTTGTTTTACTGAATATATTGGAAGGAATGGTGGATTTCAAGATATTAGTGAATTTAAAAAATTTATTTAAAAAATTAAAAATTAAAAATAATTATGAGGGGAAAGGGGGATCCACTTTAGCTTATTAATCAGCGACCTGACTGGGAGGGGATGTCGCATGATTGAAGTTTTTCCTCTTGCCCGGAGCTAACCCTTAACGTTCTTACCTATTAAATTTAGACAAAAAATATTTTTTCTTAAAGTTATTGGCTCAGAATGTGCAGAAGAGTATGTAGTTGCACATGAAACAGGTCATGCCCTTGGATTTTGGCATACACAGTTAAATAATTATTTTATAAAATAAGAATTAAATTTTTATTTTTAAAGTCAAAGACCGGATAGGGAGCGTTATATAAGTATAAATTGGAGAAATGTTTTGGAAGAAGCAACAGCAGTAAGTTGCTTTGACTGATGATTTTTGACTGATTTTTAAATTAAAAAAAAATTATTTTTTTTTTAATTTCTAGTCTTTTATGCCTTTCCGTTCAATGCTTCAAGCTTTTGCTATTAAACAGGTCTTAAAAAAATTTTTTTTTTATTTTTTGAATTTTTTGAAAATCTTTTTTTATTTAAAGGTCTCAGGCCGGCGTTCCCCGTAAGCTTAAAAAATATTTTTTTGGAAAATAATTTTTTAAAATTTAAAGTTATGATTATGGCTCGTTAATGCATTATCATGCAGTTAATTTATTTTTTCAATTAATTAAAAAATTAATTTTTCTTTTGGGTTGCGCATGCTAGACAAGTAACTGATTTTACAATTGTACCGAAAGAATTAAAATATGTTACAACTGTGAGTGTATTTTAATTAAATAATAAAACTTGAAAAAATACAAAATTGAAAAATACAAAAATAAAAAAATACAAGAAATAAACTTGAAGTAAAATACATAAAAGTTGAAAATAGAAAATACAAACTTGAAAAATAAAAAATAAAATTGAAAAATACAAAATGAGGAAATACAAAAAAACACTAAAAATAAACTTGAGAAATTAAATAAAAAGAGAAAATACAAACTTGAATAAATTTGAGAAATAAAACTTGGAGAAATACAAAAGAAATACAAGAATGAAAAAAATACAGAAAATAAACTTGAAGAGAAATACATAAAATAAGGAAAATACAAATATAAAATACAAACTTGGATAAACTCGAAAAATAAAACTTGAAAATGTGAAAAATACATGAAAAATACATTAAATAAATAAACTTGGGAAAATACATAAAAGAGTTTACAAAATATAAAATACAAGCTTGAATAAACTAAAAAATAAACTTGAAAAAATAAACACAAAACTTGAAAAATACAGTCAAGAAATACATAAAGAAAAAACACTAACAATAAAAATAAACTTGGAAAAATACATAAAACGAGAAAAATACAAACCTTAATAAAATTGATAAATAAACTTGAAAAAAATACAAGCTAAATACATTAAATAAACTGTAAAAAATAAAAACTTGAATTAATACAAACTTGAACAAACTTGAATAAATAACAAACTTGAATTAAAGTTTGTTTTATTTTGTATTTTCCAATTTTGTATTTTTTAATTTAAAATTAAAACTTGAAAAAATACAAATTTTAGATGGGAACAGAAAGAATGGCCTTTCTTGATGCAAAAATGATTAATGATATTTATTGTCCAAATGCTTGTGAAGGATTTGGAAGAAACGTAAAAAAATTTTTTTTGTTGCGGAAAATATTTTTTCTTAGTTGCGTTGCCAAGCTGGCGGTTATCCAGATCCAAATAATTGCAATGTTTGTAAATGCCCTGATGGTGAGGAAAAAAAATTTTCAAAAAATTTCTGGGAAAAATTTATTGAAAAAATTTAAAAAATTAAAAAAATATTTTTTAATTAAAGGGAAAAATTAATTTTATTTTTAAATTTAATAAAAAAAATTTTTTATTGAAAATTCAATTAAATTAAAAAAAATTTTATTTTCTAAAATAGCACTTGGTGGTGTTGAATGCGAAAGGTTACAACCAAGTGTTTGTGGAGGTGAATTAATAGCTACCGATCAGTGGCAAACACTTAGGTCACCAGAATTGCATGTAAAATTAATTTTCATTTAATTTTTAATTTTAATATTTTATTTTAAGGATTCTCGGACTCAACAAACAAATTTAAATCCTTCCTTTAACAAAAATGTTCAATGTTATTGGAGAATTTCTGTAAGAAAAAAAAAGAATTTTTCTTGAAATTAAAAATTTTTTTATTTTTAAAGGCACCCGAAGGAAGTCATATTCGTTTTAGATTAAGTGATGGAGAGGTAATTTAATTTAAAAAAATTTCTAATTAAAAAATTCTTTTTTAGTTCCCTTGTTCATATGGATGCCAGGTGCTTAGTTTTAAATTTAAAAAAAGAAAAAAAAATTTTCTTTAGTCGTATGTTGAAATTAAACACAAATTGGACATTCGGTTAACTGGCTTTAGAAGGTTTTTTAATTTTTAAATTGAAATTTTTTTTGTTAAAGTTGTTGTTATCGGCCAAAGGAGGATACAATATCTGATGGAAGTCAAATTTATGTAAGAGGATTTTTTAAAGGGGAGCTAAAAAATTTTTTATCGGAAGATTGCCTGTTTTATTTTAATAAATTTTTAAAAATTGAAAAAATTTTTAATTTGGTTTCTGGGATTAAAAATCAAATTTAAGAGGGGGGGTTCAATAACGAAATTTTTTACCTCGAAAAAATTTCTAAAAAATTTTTGAAAAATTTTTTTCCACTTTTTAATTTTAAGATAATCTTTCGACCAAATGGAAGGACAGCAAGATTTACCTTGAGGTTTATTCGAAAAATTTAACAAGTGGATGGAAAATGTACAAAAATTTTTTTGTTGGATTGCTCAACTACTCTACAAAATTAAAAAAATTTTTTTTAATCCTCCTCAAAAATCTCTTGTTTCTCTCTATATTTTTTGTTAATTAATTAGGTACCACTAATTAATAATTATCAAAATTCTTTCATTTCATAAAAAATTCCAAATCCTCTCTCCCGGTATTTTTTATTGTTTTCTCCCTAATTCCTTTTACTTTTAACTCTCTTGCCAAGTTTTTATCCTAATTTTACTTATTAGAGCCAAAGAAGAAACGGGTTCCCAATTCTTCAAAAAATTATATATTTAGAAAGCTGTGTTAAAAAATACTTTTCATAATCTTGGAAGTTCTAAAAATTCAAAAAAATTTCAGGGCTCCTTGGATTTCTAAAAATTCCAAAAAAAATTTAATTTTTTAGAAATTAAGAAAAAAAATTTTCTTTAAAAACACAGCTTTTTTTAACCCTTCCCTTATTTTACTTGTCTTTCTTTTATAAATTTTTTAAATGTGATTTAAAAATGTTTTTATACTTTATTTTTATATTAAAATTGTCGAATCAATGCCGAGAATATTTTAATAAGCAAAAGAGAAATAAATACTAATCCCGATTTTTTTACCTTTAGATTTTTAAATTGTGGACTAAAAAATAATTTTGGAACCTGGACACGATTGGACAGATTTGGAAAACTGGGCAACTTTTGGAGTTTGGACATTGGACAAATCGGGATATGCTTTGGTAGTTTAATTAAATAAAAAAATTGAGAAACTCGGAAAATACCCAAAAATAAAGTGTGGACAATTTTAGAAAATATAGGAGAATTGGTGACTAGAAAAATTTAAGATAACTTGGGTTTCTGTTATTTGTTCAAAAAAATTTTTTTTCGAGTCCATCAGAAAAGGATATCAGAGTTAACACCCGAGCAAGACCTTTTTTCTAGTCACCAAGAAACAAAAAAAAAGGAGCGAGCACCCTATTAGTAAAAATAAAATAAAGGGAAATTGAGATCAGTTAGTGTATTTTTAAAAATATCCTAAGAGAATAAATTGAGTAATAAAATGAAATTAAAATTCAATCTATCCTCTAGAAGCATGTAAATAGACTTTAAGAAAATTTAAAAAAAAATTTTTGACTAAAATTCCCCAACAAGATTTTTATCATTTTGTTGTTGTTGTCGTTTTTTAATAGCAAAGGAAGGTAAAAAAGCATCGGTATCGGAATCAGATTCGGATATATCTATTTGACGAAGACCAGAAAGAAGAGCGTGAGCCTCTTCTTCATCGTCTAAAAATAGGGGAAAATTTGAAATTAGAAAATCTTTTAAAATTATTTTTGGTTAGACAAGATAAGGAAGGAGGAGAGGGGGAAAGACTTCCTTGGGGTTTCAGTTTTGATCTTGAGTTCTGAAAAAAAATTTTTGTTGGACTTGGAATAGTCAAGTTAGTATGTAGAAGGATAATCAAGACTTATAGGGGAGTTTTTCTGTCTTGGCCTCGAGTTCAGAAAAAATTTTTTAGTCTTGAACATCACTCTGCCATTTAGAACTTTAGTTGGGCAGCAAAAAGGGGGAAAAATTATTATTGAAACTAGTATGAATGTAGGGGATTTTTAAAATTATTTTTAATTCGGTGAAAAGGGAAGATTTTTTGGTTAAATAAAATGAGGAAGGGGGTTAGTTAAAAAAATTTTTTTAAATACCAAAAGAAAGTTGAGAAGAAATTGAATCTATTTCGTCTAGACCCAATCCATTGTTATTATTTTTAGGGTTTCCTCCTTGTAAATTTTCACGTTGATTGTTAATTATGTTTTCACTTATTTCTATATTTTGTTGTTCATTTTCTTCTTCATTTTCAAAATCAGAAGGTAAAAATTCGTCAAATTCGTGTTCCGAATCCGCTGAAAATTTTCAAAAAATTTTTTGAATTTAAAAAATTTTTTAATTTAAAGGTAGATGAGGGGAAGGCGAAGAGGGGAGGTAGTTGGGTTACAGGCACGGAAACTCGGTCCTGGGATGACTCGCTGCCGAAACTCTAGTTTATATTCAAAATTAAATTTCCTAACAAATATTTTCTCTAATGCTTCTCACCAGGGGCGGGTCAGGTTACCAGAACTGATAAGAGGAAAATTTTTTGAAACACTATCAGATCCATACTCTCCTCATCCCTACTCTCTCTTTTAAGTAATATTAAAAAAATTTTTTTTAAATTGTCAAACTTACTCTCCAAAGGATTCCGTTGTGGTAATTTATCAAGAATTTTTTTAACTAAAGGACCAAGTAAATTAATTAAAACCAAATCTTCCAATTTTTTATATTTTCCATATAAAATAATAATTAAAGGATATATTGCATTTGAATAAATTAACAAAGCCATTAAACTCAATTGATTCCCGACCATTAAAAATATGGGCCAAATTAGATAAATAAAAGTTTGTGAAGCTAAGGATTTTGAAGCACGCCAAATAAGGCCAAAAGTTGATTTTATAAGATGTCCAATTGTTCTGAAGGGTAAAAAAATATTTTTGAAAATTCTTGAAATTTTTTTGAAATTTTTTAAAATTAATTATGTAAGAGTGATCTAGCCGTTCCCAATCCCCAAAAAATTTGAAATTAAAAAAATTAGGAAAGATTGAGAATTTATTTTTTTATGTTGGATGGATTCCTGTTAGGTATATACAAGTTTTATTTTAAAAATAAATCGAGAAAAAATAATTTTTTTGTGGAGAATTTTTAAAAAATATATTTTAAATCTTATTATTTAAATTGTGAAATATTTTTATTAATTCACAAAAAAAAATTATTAAAAATAAGGGGGAGAATAATTTAATAAAAAAAATTCATTTTTACAAGAGAGAATGGGGAAAAACTTTAAAAATGAGGGAAAAAATTATTCAATGATTAATTTTTAAAATAAAAATTTAAAGCTTTTCTTGAAAGATTGGGTTGACTAAAAATTGAGAAAAAAAAAGAAAAATCTTTTCTGAAATTTTTAGACTTGGAAAAAAAATTTCAAAAAAATTTTTCCTAAAAATTTCAGCAAAAATTTTTCGGAATTTTAGATTCAAAAAAAATTTTTAGAAAAATTTTTTTTTTGAATTTTCAGACAATTATTTTCTCAGATTTTTATTAAAAAAAATTAATTTTCGAAAGAGATAGATAGAGAGTGAAATTAACTAAATAAATAATTTTTAAGTAATATTCCTTTCCCTCTTGTCTACTAATTAAACAAAAAAAACTTTTTTTCCTCCTCTCTTTCCACCCTCAAAAAAAATTCTTTCATTTTTTTACCTTCCAATATATAAAAGCGCAGGTTTAAGCCAATAACAACCAAAAATATAAACAAAAAAATCAAGTAAACGTTCAAGTTGAATAAATAAAGGATTGAGTAGTCTACTTTTTGTAAAATTCCATAAATCAACAAACCAATAAAAATAAAATAAATATTGAAACCACAATTTTAAAAAATTGCCAAAAGTGCAAATTGGCTGCCAAAAGTACAAGTTTACCCAATTTTTGATTGTAGACAGTAAATTTAATAATTGATTGGTTAAAACTGAAAAAAATGAAATGAAATGAGGGAAAATGAAATAAAATTTAATTTAAATTTATTAAGAAAAGGGGTAATTTTTAGACAAAAAAACCTCAAAAATATTTTTTTATTTAGGAATTAAATATTAGAAAAAAGGGATTTTTTAGTTTGAATTAAATATTGGAAATAAAAAATGGGGAGAGGATTAAATTTTAATAGGTGATTCAATTTTATTTTTTTATTAAAAAATTTCGACAATTTTTTTTTTCAAGTTTTCCTACTAAATTTTCATTTTAACAATAAGATTTTAAAAATTCAGAGAATTTTTAAATAGTCGAGGAAGCAATTTAATTAAATTTTTTAGACGTTTTTCTTTGAAAAGGATAAATTTAAAAAATTTTAGTTACGCAATAATTACGTGTAAAATGTTTTTTCTAAGAGTGCGTGAAGGTTAGAAAAATATTTTTAAATGACAGCTATTTTGTAAAAAGATCAAATTTGATTCGCGTATTTTTTTTTCAAGGTCATAGAAAGATAAATTAATAAAAGGGCAGATGTTTTGATTTGGAAATTTTTTTAAAAGGTTTCTAAGGGGAAATTAAAAAAGAGTATTAAGCGTTTTGTGGCTCCAGCTCCGACCTTTTCAAATTTTTGCTTCAGTTTCAGAGATTTCAAAATCTCTGAAGCTATTCTTCCATAGCTCCCAAGCCATAATAGTCAAGGATAGGGTGGTCGTTGAATATTCGAAACCGAAAAATCCTCAATTTAAGAAGAAATTAAGAAGGGGTCAGTTAATTCGTGTTAGAAAATCTTCGGATATTCGAAAATTTCTAGTCAAGACCTAGTCAGGAAGTCCAAAAAAGTTAGAGACCCTAGTTAGGAAAGAAGGCATAAAAATTAAAAAAAACTCTTCTTACTAGGCATCCAACGAAATAAAAACAAAAATTTTGTCCATTCCCATAACCATAAAATTGGTTGAATAATTAAATATATCAAAACATTCTTTAACCAATTTAAAATCATTTTTGCATAATATGCCAATTTTTCATTTGTTTGGTGGTGGTGATAAACAGGGGAAATTATTAGACAAAAAACTGAAAAAAATTTTTTAATTAAAAAAAATAAAAATTTAAATACCTGCGGCAAGAGATGCAAAAAATGCTTTTCTTTCGTCTACCCCTTCAGTTAGAATGTGTACTGAATAAAGGAAGAATCCGACGGAGATAGACTTAAAATTAAGGTATGATTGAAAAAATTAATTTAATTAAGGTAAAAAATAAAAGGGAACTGTTGTGTGTTCTTGGTGGTGTAATGGTTAGCAAGTTAGCCTGCAGACGGGGTTGACTGAGGTTCGAATCCCGCTGGGCGAGGGGAAGGGGTTATTAAGGTCGAAAGTTTTTGAACAGTTTTTAGATAAAAAATTTTTTTATCAGTGATAAGAAGTATTTTTTAAACTGATAAAAAAATTTTTAAGTCCCTTTAATAATCCCATTTCCCAAAAAATTTTTTAAAATAAAATTCATACTTTAAAAACATCAGCAAAGCACCATGAGAGCACCGCCAACATAGGGTGTTGCCGTTTCTTTGTTAATAATAAATCCTTGACAAGAATTGAACCAACAAGGCCATAAAGTACACGTAATTGCACTTCTCTAGAAGCATAAAAACAAACAAAACTAAAAGAGATTTTTTTAAAGATTTTTAAAAATAATTTAAAAAATACTAACCAAAAAAGCGAATTAATTGCCATCAAATAAGGAATAGCTCCGTATCCTTGAAGCCTTACCGTTTCTTCAATAAATTTGCAAATTGCAGAAAACCAGCATTTTAGAAATTCGAACATGCCAAATTTTTTTTTTGAATTTTTTTTTAATTTTTTTGAATTTTTTACATCTAAAAATGGTTTGGGAGAGGGAAAATTAATTAGAATATTTTTCTATTTTTGATTAATTTTAATGTTTATCGTCTATTGATTTCTTGAACACATTAGTATTTCATAATCACTTTTTAAAAAAGAAAAGAAAAAAGTTAAATAAGGAACGGGATCATTTCTTCTTTTCTGTTCTCTTTTCTAGTGGGCATATGCTGACGTAAAAAAATAAATTTTTGTTTGATGTAAAACGAGAAATTTTTGAAGGCGTTCCAGTTTCCCGTGTCAAATATAAAGATCAATCTTAAAGTCGAGATTAAAAAAGCAAGTTCACAAAATAAGGGAAAAATAATTAAACTATTAGAGTATGGGAATATAAGGGAGGAAAGAGAGATGTCAACGAGCATGTGAGACTCTAATGACTAAGGAAAGGAGGAGGTTAGAGAAATTAGGTATTTTGACGATTAGTGAAGGAGTTTACATTTTGAAATTTACGCTGGATTGTATGTTATTTTGTAAACAAAGCGAAATGTCATTTTGGTAAAAAATGTTTTGCCAATTTATTTTTTTAAAATATTTGGGGTTTTTCTTGTGTTTTTCATTCTCTTTTTTTTTGTTTTTTTTTTTATTTTTTATGACTTATTAAACTTTTTCAGATTTATACAACAAAAGCTATTCATTTATACAACAAAAAACTTCGTCCTACTATCGACAAAAATTTTTTTTTTAATTGGTGCTCCAATATTCTTCTTAGAAATTTTATATTTATTAGTTAAATTTTGAAGTATGCATATTGTTTTATTTGCTAATTAATGCAAAAGGCTATATCTGAGACTAGAGAAGATCAAGTAAGTTTTTGGGATTTTTGATCAAAAATATTCTACAATTTTTTAAAGGATATAACTCTTCAATTTTATCGTGTAACTGTTTTACTTGAACCTATAACTGAATCTTCTTGGTATGAAATGAAGCGAGAGCAACAAAATCTTCCAGCTTTTTCTGATGCAAATAAATTGGCTTGTTCATTTTGTTTGGATGAATTGTCTCCTTCAATAACTTATGCTAAATGTTTGGATTGTGAGCAGTGTGAAGTACTTATTTGTATTGAGGTTTGTGGTTAATTTTGAATTTTTGCATTATGAGGGTTGAGTGTCTGTTAGGCTATTGTGACTCATAATAATTTTTTTGTTCTGTTGCATATTTAAATTTCTACCTTAAAATTGTCTTGGCCCCTGAGTTTTTATATTTTTAGAAGTTAAACTCGGTCACGGAATGTCTCAACTTTTACCCCACTTTATTCGACTCAGTTTTCCTAGCTCTTTCGAATGTCTCCACTTCAATAAAGCAGTCCTGAAACAAAGATCCGCTATAAGTCACAATATTTTTTCATAGTTTTTTGCTGACAAAACATGCGGATTGATTCAACTCTCCAAAATTTATAAATCTTTTTTCCACTTTAGTGTCTACGTATGGGTATGGAATCGCATCCTCACACTCGATCTCATCGTTACACTTTTTGTGATGCAATTGGACCCCCTACATTTTTCGAAAATGATACTCAAACTCCTTGGGGAGCACAAGAAGATTTGCAACTTTTAAATGCTCTTCTACACTCACATTTAAATCAATGGCCTGAATTAAGCAAAGATTGGGGAAGAAAGAAGACGTTAGCAGATGCTTTGGAACGTTTGGATAAATGTTTTATACGCGGTCCGATAGGCCAATATGTTTTGAAAAATTATTCTCGGTTTGTTTGCATTTTTACTTTTTGGGTGGGTTTGAGATCGAGATTGGTTTTTGCTTTGGATTTGATGTGACATGAGTCGATCCTCCCAAAAATTTTCATTTTTTTTTATTTCAGAGGGGGGGGGGCTATAGCTCCATCAGCTTCTCGTGCTTCGTCCTTGGTGTACAGGAAAAACCAGCATTGACCCATATATAGCTTGACCTCCAATTCCAACCTCTATTCCCTTGCTCATGTCATTATAACTAATCCATCATTGGTTCATTAAAATTAAATTATTTTTAGTGGTTATGTCAAAGATTGGTCCGAGAACGATGAGCAAAGTATATATTTTTTATAATTTTGTCTATATTTTTAACAAATTTATTTTAAGACCCAGATTCTGATTATTTGGCTACTTGTAGTGATATTACTCTCCCTTCTACTTCTACTAGTACTAATGTTATGAAAAATGATCTTGAATGTGATGGGAATACGAGGAATGGAAAAATGGTTTTAAATTTGTTTAAAAATGTTTCAAAATTTTTTTTAATTTTTAAAGGATATTTCTCGTAAACTTGAAGAAAAATCAAGTTTAATTGCATCAAGTTCAAATTTAATAAATTCATCACCTCTTAGCACGAAAAGAAATTATTTTGATGAAGAGGTTTTTATTAGTTTTTGGTTTAATTTTTTTAAAATTTAGGAAGAATCGGATGAAGAATTGCCCGAAATTGTTGAAAAACGAAATTCATCACAAGAATTGATAACTGACAATAATGAGATGGCTAGCAATGGAGTGCTAGAAAGAAAAGTATTTTTTTAGTTTTTTTAGATTTTATCAGGGATGCCACGGGCGGAGGAAAAATAGGGTTTTCTGGTCTGGTTTTCATTTTCATTTCGGTTTTCATTTTCATTCGTATCGGGTTTCGGATTTCGAGTCGAAAAATTAATGTTTTGGGTAACCCGTACAGTCCTGATTTGTTAGTCTAGTCTGCTCTATTCGAGATTTTTTTCCAGATAAATCACCAAAAAATTTCCTGTTTTTCAGTCCAGAAAAGAACAATTACTTGCTGCTGCAAAAAATGTTGCTGCTGAAGCAATACGTGGTAAATCACGAAAAACTTCTTTGGAACTTTCCGAAGCAGCAATTAATTTGGATGGAAATAGTAATGGGGAAGCTAGTAGTGTCAATAATACTCCAAACAAAAAGAATCAACAAATTAAAGAGAAAAAAGGTTTTTTTTGAATTTCTATGAATTTTTGGAATTTTTCAAAGAATTTTTGTCTTCTGAACAAATAAAGCTACTCTATGCAAGTTCCAAATACAACCCATATTTTTACAATCATCCACCGCATCCAATGGATGCCCACACAGTTGCAAAATTTGATGAAGAAGATTTACAACTTTTAACTTATTTACCTTATCGAGATGAATTTGAGACGGTTTATTTTTTAATTTTTTTAAGTAAGAAGTTTTTTTGTTTTTTTAGGAATATAAGAATGAAGCTGAACAATTAATTACACAACTTGTATTTTTGGCAGAAAATGAACAAACAACAGAATCTGACAGATTTTTGAATGGTAGGGAAATTAAAAAAAATTTTTTTAAGCGTTAAACTAGACATTGGGATCGGAATGTCGACAAGATATCTCGAATAATACTGACCGACAGGCCCGTAGCCAGGACTCTTTCGGTGGGGGGGCAAGGGGGGAAATTTTTCTGCGCCAAATTTTTGGCGCAGAAGGCGCCAGAAATTTGATTTTAGAATTTTGATTTTTAGCCCCCCTGGCTCTGGCTGGCTGATTGAGTTTTTTTTCACCCTTCCAATCCTATACTTTTTTTTGCTGCATTAATTCAATATATATTTTTTTTTCTTAAATTTTCTTTGTGCTTTTGTTTCTTTGTGGTGTAGTGGTCTAATTTCTGAAAATTTTATTTGGTTCAAATCCTTTTGGGGGGAAACGCTTTTATTTTGTTTTTTAATTTGCATTTAAAATTTTTTAATAATTATTATGTCGTTCAAAAATTTTTTTAATTTTTTTTTCAGAAGTAAACTTTGCCCGTTTCAATCGTTATAATCGTTTAATGCGTATACGCGCAGCAAAACGTGCTATTATTTTGGAACATCGAATGTTGGCAGAATATTTAAATATTGTTAAGGTTTCTTAAAATTTTTTTTTGAGTTAAAAAAAATTTTTTTTAAGACAAACATTTCTGAAAAAGGAAAATATTTGGTATTTCCTGATCGTTATTTTTCTACAAAAAGTAAAGAAGATGCTTATCGCCCAATATTTGCACAATTAAGACAAGTTGCAGATAGAGAAACAATTAATCATTTGGCTAAAGATGTTGCTGCAATGGAAACATTAAAGGATCAAATTGAAGAATTAAAAATGTTACAATCTAAAGGAATTACAAGAGTAAAAGGTTTGGGGTTTTTTTTTAAATTAAAAAAAATTTTTTTTAATTTAGGGGGTTTTTTAAATATAAATTTTTGGGTTTATGTGAATTTAGGGGCAAAAAGTCGCTTGAAAAAATTTTTTGGATAACCAATCCCTTTTTATTTTAGGTTTATTAATTCAATTTTTGAGACTAGAAAATTCTAAATAAACAAAAAATTAATTTTTTTTTTAATTTTGCAGGTCGTTTAAAAGTTGATTTGGCTTCAATGATATGGTCAAGAAAACGAAGGACTAGAAAAACGGAGAATGCTGAAATGAGAAAGTAAGAAAAATTTTTTAAATTAAATTTAAAAATTGGTCAATATTTACATATGGCTGTGATAAAAATTTTAGGGACAAAAAATCTTTAGAAAAATATTTTTGGATGACCAATTTCCTTTTATTTTGGTTTTATTAATTTAATTTTTGAGGCATGAAAATGGGATTGAATATAATAAATAATTCATCTTAAAATTAAAAAAAATTTTCTTTCCTTTTTTAAGAGCAAGTTTGCGATGGAAGCGTATCAAGAGATGGACAAAACGTACACATTTGCAACAACAATTGGATGAACCAGATGATGATGATGACCAATAAAAAAGTGGGAGAATATGTTTTGAGGTGGGTGTGTTTTTTAATTAAATTTTTTAAATTTTTAACGGTATTTTAATGGGGTAAATTTTTTGTATATTTCTTCTAAAAGCGCGCGCCCAAACATTACCAACACACCCGTATTAATTTTTTTATTTTTTCTTGGTGGTCTGACTATCTTTTCCTTAAGTTTTTAAAACTATTCTATTTCTGTTTCACTTTTTTCTCTACTCTAAAAATTTTTCTTTTTTACTTTGTTAATTTACAAAAGTTTCAAAAAAAAACTTTTTTTTTTCTCTGTAAATTTTATTATCAAAATTTTGTAAATTAATATAAAGAAATATATATTAATTATTATTTAACTAGAATGGAGGGATTATTTTGTGAGATTATTAGATATAATTAAAAAAATAAAATAACTGGGATATAAAATTTAAAAGAAAAAAAATAGAGAGGTTATTTGAATATTATTTTTTGTGTGGAGATCAAGAAAAATTTGGAAAAAAAAGTAAAAGAAAAAGATAACAAAAAAATGGTAGAGATATGTAAAAAAATATTTGGATGGAATGTTAGTAAATATTAGAGCTGTCCGAGACTCTTGGTCTTCGAACCAAGACTTTTCTTGGTTTTTTTCGGTCTTGGAGTTTTGGTCTTGTGTCTTGGTCTTGGAAAAAATTTTGTCTTGGGTCTTGAGTCTTGGAAAAATTTCGGTCTCGGACAGCTCTAGTAAATATAAAATGTTTGGCTTAATTTTTAGATAATTTTTGGAAACAATTTTATAGATTTTTTGGAATGATTATAGGTGCGTTTTAAAGGTTGATATTGTGTTGTTGTTTTTATTAAATTCCGAATAATAATACTATTATCTATGTAAGATTAAAAAATTTTATTAGTAGAGAGGTCCAAGACCGAAAATTTTCCCGGACTCAAGACTCGAGATCAAGACTACACCCCAAGACCGAAAAAAACCTAAGAAAATTCTTGAGTCAAGACTTAAAACCAAGAATCTTGGACATCTCTAATTGTTAGAGTGCAAAGGAATTGAACATGTATAATAGTAAAAAAAAAGGAGATTAACAAAAAATAGAATAAGATAAAAATTTAAATAAAAACGATAAAAAGGATAAAGAAAAAATTTAAAAACTATTAGGAAAATAAGTATATTTTTGGTGAGGGGATAAAAGAAAAGGATAAAGAGAGAGAGAGATTAATTAGTAAAATAACAAATTTCCTGTACAATTTAAAAAAAAAAGCAATTTAAAAAATAGGAATTTTTTATGTTGGAATAAATGAAGGTGCATCAGCAGGTACTTGTACCATAGCTTCATCTGATTCGCCTTCAGCGTTTGTATTTGCCTTTAAAAATGAAATTTGGTTAAGAGATAATTTTTTTGTATTTGTATCAGGGATGTCACAGGCTACTTACAAATCAGAGTCGAGAAATTTCCAAAATCCGACCCGAAACCAGACCTTTTTCCCTCTTAATTTTTACTAACTGACCCGCTCAGAAATGCGTGACATCCCTGATTTTTTTGTTTATGTTTTGGGGAAAATGCAAACCACCTGAATAACTGGTAGACATGCTAATGCTATTGTTTCAATATGCTCAACATAAGTTAAACATTGAGGATCAAATAGTAGAACTCGAACTTGATAACGCAAAGGTTCGCATTCAAACATTCGATTTCCAACCATTCTAATTGATGGTTTTGGACACGAACATTTTACTTCGGTAAATGTTGATGGAATTCTTTGTGGATTGTAATTGAGAATCTGAAAAATTTTTTTAACCTTTAAGAAATTTTTTTGAATGCTTACATATTCAAACTGACACAATGCCCTTTCCCTCAATGGTGTAGTTGCACTAATAACCTTTAAAAAATATTTTTGATTATTTCATTTTATATTTTTATCTTTATCTGTAAATCAGGGATGTCTATGGGTGAGAAAAAATTCGAGCGTGTTTACAAGAAATTTTTCGGATCGGGTTTTCGAATTTCCAGGTTTCGGCTAACCCAATACATCCCTGCTACAAATCGAACTTATCTCTTACTTTCATCTTTCTTGTATTACAACTTGAAGCTCCCGATGTAACCTGCACTCCATGCGCTAATTCTTGTGCCTATAAGTAAAAATTTTTTAGTTTTTTTTTAGTTTTTGGACTTGTTTATTTTTGGAAAAAATTTCTATTTTTGACTTTAGCTACGTAAATAATTATTGCATAACTAATAATAAATGTTACTTATTTTAATAATACCCAATTACAAACATCTGTCTCAATTATTTTTTTCAAAGAAAAATTAATTTTTTTTTGAAATTTAAAAATATTTTTTTCTTTGAAGCTTTAAAAATTAATTTTTCAGAGGATAAAAATAAGCACTTTTAACTAATACAAAAATTTTTAAGACAAAACTAATTTAACTTTTTACATTTTTCACTTAAATCTTTTTCATTCTCTTCTATTTTGTCTAAAAAAGAGGGGATTAAGCAGTTAAAAAATTTTTGTAGTCAAAAGCCTTTAAGAGACATCTGGAAGTATTTTAAAAATATTTAGGGCTTAATAAACACTTGGTTTAATTTAAAAAGTTAAAAATGGAATGATGACGTTAATATGTGTGTGTTTGTGTGGTTGTTTATAAATATTTTTTTGAAAAGTTAAAAAAAAAAGTTTTGGCAAAGTAAATAGGTGTTTATGTAACTGTTAAGTTAAGTCATCATTTTGGTAGTTATATTAAAAATAGTACAGACTTAAGTTTTTCAAACTAAAGTTTCAAAAACCAAGTCAAAGTCGGTTCCGGAAATGAAAATTTTTTTACCTGTAACTTGAGCAGTGCCTGCTGATATGATGGCGAAATTGGTGAATAATGCGAAGAGTTTTTTCTGTGTAACCAATGCATTAATGATGAATGATGGTCTGTATTGGAGTAGCTTAAAAAGGAGGAAATTGGGGGAACTATTAAGAGTTGGGTCCTACCGATGATAGCACTCTTCTGGTAAAGTTATTTCACTATTTGGCAATGATTCTCCTTCGGAGGAAGACTCTCCATCCAATAAACGCCTTTGGCGAGCATTTGCCATTAATGGAATATAACAAAGAAGAAAAAGAACAACAATTTTGGATAATAATTTGGAATTAGAATTATTTCTAGATGATTTTTGTGTTCTTAAAATGACTGTTTTGTTGGTAGTTCTAGTGTTGTTTTTGTTTGTTCTTTTTATATTCCTGCTGTCTTCAGAATTAATATTTGTTGGTTGCCCTTTTGTTGGTTGTCCTATTTTTGTTGTTATTGTTTCATTATTAATTTGTCTGTTGTTGTTGTGTTGCATATACTTGTTGTAAAGTTGTTTTTGTTGCCTTTCTTGTCTATTTTGTTCATCATCACTTTGTAGCGACGTCATTGAATTCCAAATAAAATTGTTGTTATCAAAAGATGCGCAAGAATTATTATGCTCGCGAAAAAGCATGGAAGGAAGAAAAAAAATTTTTTTGAGGATGATAAAATAAATAGAATAGAATAAAAGATCTTTGAAAGTTGCGATGAATGTTCCCTTAAAAATATAAAAAAATTATTATAATTTATAGGCAAGAGGTTTTTCTAAGAAAAAAGGCTTATTAGAAGGAGGATGAGGGACACTTAGTTTATCTACTTTGAATAATTCACACACACTCGAACAAAAGAAAATTTAAATAATGTAAATAAAAATGCATGGAAAGTAGTTCATTATTTATTAGTAGAACACTAATATTAAAGGTTATAGAATAAATATTATATAATTGATAATTATTCAAAAAATAAGAAAATAATTTTTTAATGAGGAATGAGATTTTCTTGTAATTGAGTTGTAAAAAAATTTTTTTTTAATCCGTAAATGCAAATTTTTTTGATGAATATTTTTATATATTGCGTAATCTTAAAAAAGTACATATTTTTATGCAACAAAAGTACTTCCAAAAATAGGAATTTTTTTAAATGTTTTTTTACTTTTTTTTCTGATTATAATTGCGAGATTAGTGTTCAAAGCCTACGGTTTTTTACGTAAAAACAGGAGAAAACCAGGAAAAAGCAGAACTTAGGTTCAATTAAAAATTATATACCGTATTTACTTGATTAATTCCCCACCCCCTATTAATTCCCCATGCCAGGGGTGAATTGAAAAAATAATTCCCCACCCCCAAATACCCTAATACACGTTCAAATTTCAAAACTCGAATAATTCCCCACCCCCTAATAATTCCCCATGTCACGCATGGGTTGAAAAAATAATTCCTCGGGGGAATTAATCGAGTAAATACGGTAGTTTACAACCCTTTTTGGCCTCATTATTTTAGTTTTATTGTTTAAACCCTTCGATTTTTCCACTCAAATCACAGCCTTTGGGTTCAATTAGGAATATCATTTATCCCTTTTTTTGGCGAAATCAAATTTTTTCTTTTCCTCATTTTTACCTATTTTTGTAAATTATATTAAAAGGAGCTTAATAAATTTAAAAATAAAGGGAAATAAATAAATAAATTTTTTATTTATTAATAATAAAATAGGGAAACGTTTCTTTTTTGTTTCTGAAAAAATGCTTCCTTTAAAAATCTGTTGTTTTCTTATATATTTTAGGCTCTATTTTATCTCATCATTTTTATTTATCTTTCTTTACGAATTTTTTTTTCTTTTATTATTTTTTTTATATAATTTAATTAAGTACTGGCATTTACTTTTTTTTATTTGGGTGTGAATATAGTAGAATAATAAAATTATTATTTTTTGTTGTGTGTTTTATGCGCATATTAATATGGGGCCATTTTTGGAAGTAAAATTATAATTTTTTAAATATTATAGAAGTGAAATCATTTTAAATGAAATCAGTTTTTTGTTTACTGAGGGAAAGAAAAAGGATATGAATTTTTGGGAGAAATTGGGGTAGGGAGGGGGCTGCGAGGATATTTTAAATGGATATGTTAAATTGGCTAAGATATGTGTGTGGTAAGGTTGGCGGCTCCAGATATCCGGGACCGAAAAAAGACTGGATATCCGGAAATTTTCGGTTCTGATATCGGTTCCAGTTCCGAATATTCGGAACAGCCAATTCAGAACAGCCAGTCCCAGGAACAGCCAACCTTATTTGTTAGTGTGAGGAAAATGGTGGAAACTAGGAACATCCATGTCTCTCGGTCTTTAGTCTTGAATTTTGACTCTTTTGTGGGGTTTTCGGTCTTGAGTCTTGAAATATTTGTCTTGGATATTTCTAGTGGGTATTCTTTATATTTTTTAAATTATCGGGATATGTGTGGGGGATATTTGAAGATTACTATGAAATATATTTTTCGCAAATGTCATTTTAATTTTGTGGGAAGAAAGCGCGCAAAAGTCATCATCAAGAGAGATGGTTTGCCAATATTTAAAGTTTTTAATATATATTTATATAATCTTTTCATTAAAAGCATTTTTCCAGCTTTAAGCTTGTAAAAAAATTGCGCGCGAGTTTTTAATGGACACCGCCCGCCTCTTTTTTTTTAGACAACCAGAGTGTTCTTGCATTAATAAAAACATATCACGGTATATTGAAAAATTTTTAAAGAAAAATTTTTACAGAATTATTTATTAGAATAAAAAAAATTTTAAATGTGTGCGCCAAAAAAAATTTTTTTTAAGAGTAGATAAAGGGTGGAAAATATTAAGCGCGCCAAGATGGTTTTTGCGCACAATTTTAGAGTGGAGGGAGGGAAAGTTGGGGGTCACACGAAGAAGCTTTTTTTGCACTTTTAACACGATTATGGGTGTAAGACATCCGGAAAACCGGAAGATGAATAAACAATGAAAAGAGAAAAAAAATAAAAAGGAAATGAGATCAGAATTTTTAAAAAAAGGGGGAAAATTTTAGACAGAAAAAAAAAGTTTTTTTTTGCATCATAGAGAAAAAATAAATAAACAAAAAACATGGAAGAAAATGACGCGTTTTTTTGGTGTTAAGATGATGGGGAAGGGAAGGATGCGTATAAAAAAAGTTTTAAAATTAGTTGAGTGACGCACAATTATTTTTTAAAAAATTTTGTCGTCAACTTTGGTTTTTAATTTTTTTTTAAAGTTATTTATAGGGAAGGGTGAAAGAGAGATTAAAATTTAGTAGAGAGGTTGTTTGTTTGTGTGGTTGTTGTTGAGGGGAGGGTTTTCTAAATTTTTGGTCTAAATTAATTAAGTGTCTGTTTACTTAAGATTTACTATATTGATAAAAGACAGGTTTATTTTTTTAAATAAAAACAGGTCTTACTATAATAAATTTTTCTATAAATAGGGTGTGTGTTTGTGTGTTACTTTAAAAATGGATATGTATTTTTTGTTCTTTTTTTGTATCTTTATAGACGTTTTTTTTAATTAATGGCAATTTTAAAGAATTCTTATTTTATGCTTTTACAAAATTTTAGGTTATAATCATTTTTATTTTTTTTAATTTTTTTAATATTTAGAGAAGGACACATTAGGGAAGAGCATATCGGGATTGCGGCTACAAAAATATAACCTTTTGCGTATTTACTTTAGTTCTAAAACATGAAAACTTTTTCCTTTAATAGGGTGATGTATTCACTATCCACCAAGACCCAGTGGCCTTAGCTCGTGAAACCCCGTAGATTATCTGTTTGTACATTGAATATCTCGATATGTCCATCCAGATATACATATGTGGGCTATCAAAAGAAAAGGGACAATAGATATTTTAGAGCCTTAAAAAATTTTCTAAAAGTTTTTTTCTGAAATTTTTTGCCTAACAAATAATAAAATTATTAAACTGGAAAAATGAAACATTTTTTCAAAAAATTAAATTAAAACACACAAAAGACCATCAATCCTTTAATTTTTTGTTACAAAGATTAATTGACTAAATTTAGAAAATATTATTTATTTAAAAACACTATTAAAAATGAATAAGAAGAGAATAATTATAGAATTATTTTTATGTTAACATTAAAAATATATTCCATAAACAGCAAAAAAAAATTTTTTCTGAAAGAGATGGATTAGAAACTATTTTAAGTAAATTTCGGATATAATAATATTTTTTTAGAACTTTTTTTTCTGGTAATTTTGCAATGTTTACTATTTTATTTTTACGGTTTATGATGTAGGTAAAAAACATTTTTTAAGAATATGAGAATTTAAACTTTTTTAAGATTAAGATAGATTACATTTTATAGCAATGCGCATAGGGGAGGAAATGATTAAGATAAGGTGCTTTTTATCCTATGAATAAATTTTTGTGACGAGTTTACTCATATCCGGTGTCTGTTATAAGCTGTTTTATTGTTTGGGTCTGTTTTTAAAAAGGTACCTTTTGTCTGAATGAATGTTTGAGTTAGAGGTCGGACCGAGACCATCGATCAAAAATCTCAGTTATCGAGATTAAGAATTTTTTGAAATCTCGATTCTCGTACGACATTCCCAGTCCGATCTCTAGATTGAATGTTGGACACGGTACTTTATACCGATACCGTACCGGAAAAATTTTGAAGAAGTCGTTATTTCCCGGGTTACCGAATACCGAAAAAAGGCTATTTTCCTAGCACTAAATTTGAGCGTGTTATTGGATGGGTGTTAAATTTTAAATATAATAAAAGTGTTAAAATGCGGCATTTTTTAAGAAAAATAGAGAATTAATTTTAATATTAACCAAGAAAAAAAATTTTTTTCTCTTAATATTTTTTTTAAATTTAAATATTTTTAAAAGTACATTTGATAAGAAAATGAGGAAGATATAAAAAAATATACCTATTTTTGGGTTTAAAAAATTTTTTTGTGACGAAAACAGAAAAAAATATAAATTTTTTGCGCATACAAGAAAAGAAAGAAAACTTCCTTTCAAACAAAAAATAAAAATAAAAATAAATTTTTTTTTAAAAATGGGTCTTCACTAGCAGAAAAACATGAGAAAATGGAAAATTTAAAAATTTTTTATTTTCCTTTTTTAGATTTTTTGTATTAATTATATATATTTTTTTTAATCTGTTGACGATTTCCTTCCTTTTTTTAAAAAATTTTTTCTCTCTGAAATATATTCTAATTAATCTAAAAAATTGGGGGAATTCTAATTTTTGAAATTTTCTGGATTCTTTGTTTGTTTTTTTCTCTAATATTTTTATGTTAACAATTTTATAGTAAAATTTATTTTTTATATGCCGTAAATGCTTTAATATTATAGGCCCTTGGGCTTTTGTTTTTAATATGTTTCTGCTTAGGTTTATATTAGAGAGGGGACTTTTATTAGAGAGAGCGTTTTTATTAGAGAGGGGGTTTTCTCGTTGACTGGGCTTTTATCCGAGATGTGCTTCTATTAGAGAGTGGGCTTATATTTTTCCTTAGGCATCTTCGGGCGAGGGTTTCTATAAAATACGGGCCGGGATTAATAGAGCCGGGCTCATATTAAAGCAACCATGGTGTTTTGTAAAAATTATTTTTTATTTTTTGTAAGCTTAATTTGAGCCAATTAAATAGAAATTTATTTTGAAAAAGATAAAATTAATTTTAAAAAATTTTTAAAAATAAATGTGTAAAAGAATAAATTGCCAATTTGAGGCGAGGGTGATATTTAAATAATTCTTAAAAAATTTTTTGAAATTATTAAAATGATGTAAAATGATTGATGGGTATGTCACTTATTTTTGCGTGAATATTTAATTTTTTCGGGAAAATTTATTTTTGGTATTTTTAAAGTTTTTATTTTTGGAAAGAACAAACAAATTTCTTTGTTCTTTTGTTTAAGAGTTCATTATCTTTTTTTGTTCAAAGATTTTATTTTTTTTGAGGATTTTTAAAAAGAATAGAATTTGGATTAGTTCCCCTTGAGAAAAAAAATTTTTTTATATTAAAAAAATTTTTGAATAACTTTTTTATTAAAAGAGGTTTTTGGTCAAAATTAGAGACCGAGACAAGATCTTGATCAAAAATCTCGATTATTGAGATCGATATTTTTTCGAAAAGATCTCGATTCTTCTACGACCCTCCAAGTCCGTTCTCTAGTCTAAATAGGACCCTGGAACCTAACAGATTTTTTAACGTATTTTTTAATTTTTTTATTATTAAGAATGTTTTTATTAATAATTTTATCTTTTTATTTTTTTTTATAATTTTCTTGGGGTAAGCTCAAAAAATTTTAAGCTTATTGTTAGTATATATTTTAGAGGTCAAAACACAATAAAATTTTTATTTTATTTTTTTTTATTTTTTTATTAATTTATATATTTTTTATTTTTTATTAAGTATTTATTATTTTAAATAAAAATGCTATTTTTTCGTGGATTGCGGGGGAATAAATTAATAAGAAAAAAAAATTAATTTTTAATAAATATAAAAAAATAATTTAAGATCACGCCATAATAATAATTATTATTTTTTGAATATTTTAGAAGGCGCGTGGGGGAATGTCTAATTAATTAACATAGTAAATGATTTAAGATTTTTGAGGGCGCGAAATTAATTGAGTGTGATAACGTGTATTAATATAATAATAAAAATATTTAATTAAAAGTGTGTTATTTAAACAAAATATTATTTGGAAATGGATATTTTAAAAATGTATTATTTAAACTTTAAAAAAAATTAGAGGGGAAGTATGATTGTAGGGGATTAAGTTGTTTTTATTTTAGAAGATTTATGAATTTGGTTTTTATTTAATTTTGGAGTTTATGAATATTTGGAGGCAGAGAGAGAGGGAGAGAGAGAGGGAGAGAGAGAGAGAGAGAGGGAGAGAGAGAGAGAGAGAGGGGGGAGGGAGAGAGGGAGAGAGAGAGAAGAGAGAGAAGAGAGAGAGAGAGGGGGGAGAGAGATAGAGAGTTAAGTTTAAATGAGAAGTGTTAAGGTCACTCTTTTATATTTTTGGTACCGTTGGATAGAGCATTAAACCGGCTACGTTATACCAAAAAATCAAAATTCTTGACCAATGGTAAAAAAAAGTTATGGTAGATAATGTGCCGTAAAATCAGATTTTTTTTTGAAAAAGTTAGTTTTTGGATCATAACTTTATTTTATCAATCAATTGAAAATTTTGATTTTTTGGTATCTTGTAGACTATTTAATGCTCTATCTATTGATATCACGAACATTAAAAATTATCGACACCCTCTTAAGTTATAAGACCGGAACTCAGTTGACTCGGGATCTGTTGACTCAGTTTAACTGCTCCGCTAAATTCACTTAAGATTTTTTGATTCTTTTCAAAACACAACAAATTAAAAAATGCCATATATTAAAACATAATTTTTTTTATTTTTTAAGAAGGTATATTCTTCTTAATTAATATTTTATCAAGTTTTTGTCCCAAAAAATGATTTTATAAAAATAAAAAAAAAATTATTTTTATTCTTTTGCCCATCTTCTTCACTAGATTTGCGTGCTTATATTCCATTTTAGAGACATATATGAATAAAATTATAAATAAATAAAAATATATATTTTAAAAAATAAAATGTCAAAAACATTAAGTAAATATATTTATTCTCTATAACCTTTTAAAAATAAAAATAAATTTAAAAAAAAGTAAAATAAAAGAATTTTTTAATAAAAATAATTGTTTTGAAAAAAAACTGACAAATACAAAAGTGTATAGGTGATATTTTTAAAATTTTATGTCAATTCCATTTTTCTAATTTTGGAAACTGTTTACGTTTGTATGTGTTTGTGTGTATGTTGGAAATGTTGTTTGGGTGGATAGTGGCACTTATAAGACAACAAAAAATTTTTTTGAACTCCTTTTTTAAAAAAAACTGGATCTAGAGGGGGAGGAAGAACTGCTTCGCTAATTTTTTATTTTTGGCCCTATTAGATTTTTGACGCCTTTCTTGCATTTAACCTCTCTTTTTTGTTTTTATGCGCAAATATAGGCTAAAAAAGCCGGGTTCTCCTCCACCCACTAGTCCCAGTTTTTTTTTTCAAAATTTTGTTCTATTTTAGTATATAAGAGGCCAAAGAAAAAATAAAAACACTTTTAGGTTGCCAATGTTTAAGTTCACCATACTTGAAAAATTCCTTTTTCTATTTTTTTCTATTTTGAGGACTTGGGAATGTTTACGTGTGTGTGGGTGTGTTGGTAAATATGGGGGTGGCACACTTATAAAATCAAATTTTAAGTCTACCATAATCTAATCCCCCAAATCGGATTTTGTAACTATTATAAGTCATAATTCTTTTATTAATCAAGAGCTCTTTAAGTACTAATTCTTTTTACCAAAGGAACTAAAATATTTTAAAAAATTATATTTATTAAAGGTTTAGTCGGTTAAGTACTGAAAAATTACGATTTTCTGTCTATATCTTATTTCTAACTTTCTTGTTTGATTGTCTGATTAAATTGTTCCTCCTAAGAAAAAGAATAAGGATATCAAGAGCTTTCGATTGATATAAGAATTATTTTAAATGGGCGAAAAAATTTAAAAATTATGGGCCAAAAAATAGACGTTCCAGTCACGAGGCCAGACTCATAACTTTTTTGTATCTTAACCGAGTTAAATAATTACAATGTCAATCGAAAGCTCTGGATGTAAGGATTATTTTATCTAACAAGTTCGATTTGATCTGATCATTTTACAAAAAGTTAAAGCCTACTAAGTATCAATAATCATGATTGTGCGTACTTATCCAGATGTAACTTTTTGTAAAATGATCAGATTAAACCAATCCTGTTAGCTAAAATACTCCTCACATCAAGAGCTCTCGAATGATATAAGAATTGTTCGAAGTGGTTGAATAACTTAAAAGTTATAGGCTTAAAAATGCCCCAAGACTTGTAACAATATTTTTATTTTCAGATGAAGCTTGATAATCACAACACGGACTAAAAGAGAGGATATTTCGAGAAAAACAATGTGAAATTGTTTTTTATTTTGTATTTTTATTTTTAATAAAGCATGGTTTATATGAAAAATTAAAAATTTAAAAAACGCCAAATAATGGCATAATGTAATTATTTAAAATAGATGACACTTTGTCCCCTAAGTTAGAGTAATTGGAGAAAAGAAATAGTGTAGTTAGAGAAGAAAAGTAAATTTGAGAGTTTGTGGTCGGCTGAGCGCAGCTTGTTGAGAGCGGACTAGCTATATTAAAAAATCGATATCAATCGATAAAATCAATACTAATCGATAAAATCGATACTAATCGATAATTAATTTTTAAAAATTTTTAATTTTCAAAAAATCGATACTAATCGATATCAATCGATAAAATCGATACTAATCGATAATTTATTTTTTAGAAATTTTTAATTTTTAAAAATCAATACTAATCGATATCAATCGATAAAATCGATACTAATCGATAATTAATTTTTTAGAAATTTTTAATTTCCAAAAAATCAATACCAATCGATATCAATCGATAAAATCAATACTAATCGATAAAATCGATACTAATCGATAATTTATTTTTTAGAAATTTTTAATTTTTAAAAATCAATACTAATCGATATCAATCGATAAAATCGATACTAATCGATAATTAATTTTTTAGAAATTTTTAATTTTTAAAAAATCAATACTAATCGATATCAATCGATAAAATCAATACTAATCGATATATTGATTTTTTAAAAATTTTTAATTTCCAAAAAATCAATACCAATCGATATCAATCGATAAAATCAATACTAATCGATATATTGATTTTTTAAAAATTTTTAATTTCCAAAAAATCAATACCAATCGATATCAATCGATAAAATCAATACTAATCGATAATTTATTTAAAAAAATTTTTATTATTTTTATTTTCAAAAAAAATCAAAACACTGGATTAATTTATCTTTTGAAAAAAATTCGATTCAAAATCGGAACGATTAACTCGTATAATATAAAAGAAGTGGTTCTGTAAATATATAAAGTTGAGCATTATTAAAAACTGGGACACAAAAAATGTGTAAATACACAGAAAAAAATATCTAAAAATTGTGATTATTTTGCCCATTCAGGGATTGGCCCGTTTATCGGTGTTGGTGGTCGTCGACAATTAAACTTTTGTTGTTTACTTTCTTTATCCAAAGCTAGCCATTTGCGCATTGCCATTTTAATATTTAAATTTGTTTGTAATTCACGTTGCTGTTTTTGTAATTCAAATTTTCGTTTATTTTCTGCTTCTGTTGCCAATTCTTCTTCGTCTTTCATACTAAAAAAATTTTTTTTTAATTTTAAAAACTAAAAAAATTTACCCCATAATCCGATTTTGCAATTTCATACGTAACAATCTAAAGTCAAAAACATCATGTCCAACAACAGGACTTTCATCCATTGAGTTGCTAGATTTTACAAATTTTTTGGAGATTCGTTGCTGGCGTAGGTGATTTAATCCATTCAACTATAAAATTTAAAAAAAATGAGAATTTTTTAAACAGTTTTTGAGGGGTATGGGAGATTTGAGAATCAATCTCGAGGCCATATTTTGGGCCATAACTTTTTTTGATTCTCAACCGATTTAAATAAATCATATATCAATCAAAAGCTTTGGATGTGAGGATTATTTTATCCAACAGGATTGATTTGATCAGATCATCCTACAAAAAGTTACAGCCCAATAAATATCGGAGAAAAAAAAATTTTTCGAATTTATCAGTTAATAACTTATTAAGGACTGAACGGTTTTATCAGACCCTTTGGGAAAATACTCAGTAAACTGAGGGCTTTCGATTGATTTATAAATTATGAGAAAAGATTGAAATACAAAAAAACTATGGCCCAATAAGTATAGAAAATCACGATTTTCCGAATTTATCAGTTGATAACTTCTTAAAAAATGATCATATCTTAACAGTCTCATTGGAAAAATACTAAGTAAACCCATAGCTTTCGATTGATATATAATTTATGAGAAAAGATTGAAGTTCAATAAAGTTATGGCCTAATAATATAAGAAAACACGATCTGTGCTTATTAGCTGATAACTTCTCAAGGACTGAAGTTTTTATTCCCACTGGGAAAATTCCGGACGACAAAAAGATATATAGATTAGAGATCGAGATTTTTGAAAAGCCTGGGTTCCGGGTTTGATCTATTGACCTGGGCCGGATCCTGGGCCTGTAGTCCAGGAAAAACCCAGGAACGTCAAAAAATGCCTGGGCCTGGACTCTGGGTACAGGAAAAACCCAGGCCTTGGTCCAGGCCCAGCTCGATCTCTAATATAGATAGATCAGCTATATTTAAATCGGATTAATTAATTAAAAAATAATAATTTTACCCCTTTCTCAACACTTATTCCATCAGTCGGTGCCACAGTAGATTCTCTTCTTTTTCTAACCAAAATCATTTTCTTCTTTGTTCTAGGGGTTTGTGGCTTAATTAAATTTTCATTATTATTATCCAATTCCATTTTTTCTTCTTCTTTTTTATTTTTACAATGTCCATTTTGTTTATTTTCTTTTTTATTTTGATGATCAATTTCCATTTTTTCTTCAAATTTTATTTTTTCTTCTTCATTTTCTGTAGTTTTTACTTTACTAACTTTTCGTTTAACAAGTTTTTTCCGTTTTTCTGTTGTTGTATGGGATCTTTCTCTTTCATATGGATTTAAATCATCCGCGACATACTAAAAATAATTAAAAATTATATTTTTAAAACCGAGCTTAATCTTTTAATGGCATCACAGGTCTGAGGCTCCTAATGGTATTGTACTATAGCTCATTCGATTGGGCTTAATTCGCTAACTATCACAGGCTCATTTGAGGCTCCTAGCTCCTAACAGAGCCTCAGACCGATTGGGCTCAATTAGCAGTATAACAAAGTAAAAGATGAAGATCATGCGGACCCTAGAATCTAAGATATGAATTTTTGAATAACTGTGGATCTTTTAAAGAACAAAGAATCTAAAGACAAATAGAGGATGTTTCAGAATTGCCCTTAACCTGGAGGCCATATTTTGGGCCATAACTTTTTTTATTCGCAATTTATTTAAATAATTATTATTCCAGTAAAAAGCTCTGGATGTGAGGATTAGTTTATCTCACAGGATTAATTATACCAGACCATCTTACAGAAAGTTGCAGTCAGATAAAGAGCAAAAAACCACGATTGCGCGCACTTAACTACTTGTAACTTTTTGTAGGATAATCTGATCAACTCAATTCTGTTAGATAAAATAGTCCTCACATCCAAGGCTTTCGATTGATAAAATAATTATTTAAACAGATTAAGAATCAAAAAAGTTATAGTCCAAAATGTGACCTCGAGACCGTGATTTTTCTCAGAAGAAAATAAGACAAGAGAAATAGGCCCCCCAACCATCGGATAATATTTCCTTAGATATTTAAGACCCCCTCTCCGCCCCAATAATTTATTCTGATTCCAAATTACAAAAAAAATAATCAACCACACCCAACCTTTCCTACCTCCTCCGCTCTCATTGCAACTTCTTCCCTCCAATTAATTGGAATCTTTCTATCAACTTTGGGTGTTTTTACAATTAAATTATCTTCCTTCTTTAAAGGTATAGCTGCCACAGCAAATGTTAGTGGTTGTTGTTGCTCCCTATTTTTCCCTTGTTCTTCTTGTTTTTGTTGTTCCAATCTTTGTAACATTTTACTGACAAAAGAATTTTTAGGAGAAGCTTGTTGTTGATGATTCTCTTCTTCTTGTTGTTGTTGTTGCTTAATTTTTGTAAGGGCATTTATTTGTTGTTTTGGAACTTCTTCCAAATTTTGAGCCAACTTCATTACATTAATTCCAAAATTTTTTGTTGCTGGTTGGGGTGATTTATTTTTGGGTTGTTTTTGTTTTTCTTTTGTTTTTAATTTCTGATTTTTCTCTTCATTTAATCCAAATTTGAAAATTGATGATTTGCTTATTTTCTTTGGAAAAAATTTTTTTAATTTTAAATATTTCTTAAAAATAATTAGTGATCGGACCGTTCCGCAATATCGACGGCATTTTTCGGTATTTCGTATTGGTAATATGGTACGGAATAAGGTGCAGTAAAATTCTGAAGTTAATCGGTACTAATCAGAGGTGGGTCGGAATTCCGATTTCCGACGTTTTTTTTTCCTTCCGATTTCCGAAAAAAATTTTGATTTCCGATTTCCGAGTTACGACTTTTGAGCCATTTCCGATTTCCGACAGTTCCGATTTCCGACAGTTCCGATTTCCGACAGTTCCGATTTCCGACACCTCTTACTGTTCCGACCAACTAATCGATATCGGGGTTTCTTCAGTATTATGGTACGAAATTCCAACCACTAAAATATTTTTTTAGTACCTTAATATTCCCTCCATCCCCCTCCTCTTCATTATCCTGCCGTTGTTTTTTAGTTGATGTATGTTCAGTACTCGATCTTGTTCTTTGCTGATCAACAGCACGTCTTGCTTCTGATTTACTCCTTTTCTTTGCCAAATCTTCTCCATTATTACGTTCCTTTTCTTTTCTAACTTTTATACGAGTTGTTGAAGGAGTTTGTGGTTGCTGTTTCTTTTCTTCCTTTTCTTTAACAATTTTAATTTCCTCCTTTTGTTGTTGTCCATTTGTTTCAGTTGCAGCTGCCGCTAGTCTTTCAGGCGTTTTTTCTGGTGTTGGTTCTCCCCTCCTTTTAGTAAATGCTTTTAATAGCATACTGCTTTCATCTTGGCGTTCTGGACAACATTCAGCAACTGCTAACATATTCTACAAAAATAAAATTAGAAAAACCCCCACAATCCACAAACTAGAGACCGGCAAAATCGCGTTTGCGGGATCCCGCGGGATAAAATTTTTTTTAAAAATCTTTGCGGGAAGGGATCCCGCGGGATAAATCCCGCAAATCAAAAAAGTGCGGGATTGCGGGAGCGGTATCCCGCAAAATCCCGCGCGAGATCCCTTCCCGCGCCGGTCTCTACCCCACAAAACAAAGTACCTTAACATAATCAATTCCATGACTACTCTTATTTTGCTGCAAAGTTCTCAACATTCTCATAACCGAATTAACAAATAGTACACCAAAAACTAGCCGCCTAAATTTCTTATTTTTCACATAGCTACGCAATTTTTCAACTGCCAAAGGTTGTTGTTCACAAGGTAATAATGCTGGACTCATTGCACGACTAGCTGCTCCAGCCAATGCTGCTCTTTCTCTGTTTTTAAGTAACCAACAATGCCTGAGACATTCGTCTGGAAGAATTCTTTTTCTGAAAAAAAAATAAAAATTTTTTTTAAATTTTTAAAATAACTCAACTCTTTTTCAACAATTAATAGACGAGAAATAAAATCTTTTGCATCATCAGATATCCCATTTTCTCTAAATTCTTCACAAAACATCCATCTTCCTTTTTCTACATTACAATAGGTATGTGCTAATGTTTCACCGAGGAACGGAGATTGACCCGAAAGGCTGAAAAAAATTAATAAAAAAAATTTTTTTTTGACAATAAATGCTCAAAATCCCGGCTCCAATAAAAGCCTATATTTAATACAAGCCCCCTCCTCCTCCCACAAGTAGGCTGATCGAAAAAAGTTAACTTCTATTACAAGTAGAGCCCGGACCGATACGATATTTTTTCGATATTTTTCGGTATTTTTCGATATATATTTTTCGATATTATCGAAAAAATATCGACCGAGGAAATTTTGTCTTTTTCGATATTTTTCGATATTCGGTATTTTTCGATATTTATCGAAAAAATACCGACCGAAAAAATTTAAAAATCGAAACAATCGACCGACCAAATTACAAAAAATCGAAAAAAATATCGAACGTCATTTTTGACAAAAATTTGAATTTTTGGCGCCAAAAAGGACAAAAATGGAAGAAATCTAGCTTCTTGGTCTTCCAAAATTCTTAAAATTTTCGCCTGCGGCGCTGAAAATGGAAGAAATCATGTAGCCTAGTCTTCCAAAATTCTCAAAATTTTCGGCCGCGGCGCAGAAAAAGGAGATTTCGGCTTATTGTTCTTTGGATAAATAATTCAAATAATTTTTGTTTATGACACTGTAAATGAAAGAATATTGCCAACTCAATTACGAGGGATTTCGATGGGTGAAAGCCATCTCGTTGGAAAAAACCACCGCAACCACCGTCACCGTGAAAACAGCCACATGACCGTAAATGTTGACCCTGATTTGTAGAATATCTCCAAATTCCAAGATATCCACTTTACCCTCTTAATCCACCAAAATCCAATGATATCCCTCCTACCCCCAACTCCACAATATCCTTCATATTCCCTCAAATCTCTCGATATGTTATACATCATAATCCTCCAATATTCCCTTAAAATCCACTCTATAAATATCTACTGATATGTATATCTACTGATATCCTCTCATATCCTCTCAATCCATCCAAATACAAATCCCCTAATATCAGTATCTCATATAATCAATCTTAATCTAAAATTTTAACATTTATTTTACCATTTAAAATTTTTTTAATTTTTTTGGAAAAATCGAAAAATATCGAGACTTTTTTTTCGATATTTTTCGGTTTCGATATTTTTCGATATTTATCGAAAAAATATCGACCGAGAAAATTTTGGTTTTTTCGATATTTTTCGATATTCGGTATTTTTCGATATTTATCGAAAAAATATCGACCGAGAAAATTTTGGTTTTTTCGATATTTTTCGATATTCGGTATTTTTCGATATTTATCGAAAAAATATCGACCGACCCCTCCGTCCGGGCTCTAATTACAAGTCCATTTTATAGAAGCCCTCTAAAATAACACAAAGAAAAAATAAAAGTCTAGGGCTCTAATTAGAGCAATAATTCTTAAAAAATAATATTGGTTAATAATTTTTAAAATTTAAAACAATTTTTATAAATAGTATAAACTCACAGTATGTAAGCAATAACGCCTAGAGACCTAAAAAATTAAAATAAACTTTATTTATTCAATAATAGGGGTTTTTTCCGGAACTTTTCCGGAAACATTTTGTAAAACATTCCGGAATATATTAGGGCTGTGCGCCATGGCTCTGGCGTGTTTTAAAAATATGAAAAAATGATGCGTCAGCGTAAATTTTTACGCACAGCCCTGATTTATATTTAAGTAAGATTGATGAACTTTAATTTTTATTTAAAAGTTAATTTTTCCCGGAAATCTATTTATAATTAAAAATAAAAGCATTACCACATGTCCGTGTGAAAATCTAGAGGCTCATATTTAATCACTTCTGGAGCGGCAAACTAAAATTAAAAAAAAAATTTTCTTAATTTATAAAAAAATTATTTGCCTCAGGAGTTCCAGCCATAAACATTAAATCTTTGCTACCATCATACCTTTAAAAATTTTTTTATTTTTAAATAAAAAATTTTTTTATTCACCATTGTGCAAGCCCAAAATCTATAAGTTTAATTTTGTTAGACGTTTGAGAGACACACATAATATTTTCTGGTTTTAAATCCAAGTGAATAATGTTTTGACTGTGAATGTAGCGAATTGCCTTTAAGTGGAAATTTTTTTTTTCAAAAAATTTTTTGAGAATTTTTTTTTCAAAATTTTTTGGAAGTTTTTTTAAAAATTTTTTGAAATTTTTTAAAAAATTTTTTTGAAATTTTTTAAAAATTTTTTGAAATTTTTTTAAAAATTTTTTGAAAATTTTTCTCGATTTTTCACCTCACAAATTTGAAACATTATTAGAGCTACAGCCATTTCCGTCAAAATATAGCTATCATCAGCTACACGGTCAAACAGTTCACCACCTTGTACAATTTCCATTATAAGAATCACATCGTTTGAATCAGTTGCGAATGCATCATATATTTGGGCTATACATTTGTGCCTCATCTAAATTAACAAAAAATAAGGGAATTTTCCCAAATATTTTTTTACTTGTGTCATTATATTGACTTCCTTCTCAACCTTCTCAAAATCGGTATCTTTTCGAATTTTGATACATTTAGCTGCCAAAGTTAGTCCTGTTGCTTTTTCAATGCATCTATAGACCTTTCCAAATTTGCCTTCACCAATCTCCTCATAGAGTGTCTGGAAAAAATAAAAAGGGATGTTTAAGAATATGCTTTAAAGCATGCGGACATATTGGGATTAATTAACCCCTAACGATTTCAGGACCTATGGACACTGGGTCTTGGAATTAAGAATAAAGTCACGAAATAAAGCCACTGGGTTTTATGCCTTAGAGCTAAACACGCAAGATGTTATTTTTCCCACATCAATCCCTATAATCCGTACTGATATGTCCGTCACCCATTAAATGATCAAACATTTCCCTTACATAATAATCCGAGAATTTCTCTCCTTTCCGAATCTTAACTCCATCTTTCAAGGGGAATGGTCTAATCCAATCTTCATCATAATGGTCTAATTCATCCACACGAATTGGTTGTGAAGTGCTAGGTTCATCGGAAGCTGCACTCAATGCCAAAGATTCTGATAACGCGCTACCATTGCGTAGAACCATAATAAATGTTCTGAAAATAAATTAAGGAGAAAAGTGATTTCTACTGTGGAAAATGCGTCCAAGTGCAAGAAAATGTGGTTTTATTAAAGTGTAAAAATCTACCATAAATGCTCTGATTAAGGCCCGGATCTATTAAAAGCCCATATATAATAAAAGCTCACCCCAGGAGGCCCATCGAAAAATAAACATCAACTCTCTAATACAAGCCCATTCTAATAAAAGCCAACTGAAAACAACCACAGTGAAAAATAGAAGCCTAAGGCTTTAATTAGAGCATTTACGGTATATTAGGTAGGTGTTTTGATTGGGTATATTTTAGAGCCCGGATGGAGGGCTCGGTCGATATTTTTTCGATAAATATCGAAAAATATATATCGAAAAATACGCAAAATATCAAAAAAATATCGTATCGAGCCGGGCTCTAGTATATTTTGAACTTTGTATTAAAATTAAAAATCCCAAAACAGTAGGGTAAAAAATTAAAGAAATGCACTAATTATTAGCCATGACATTAATCAATAATCTCGTCATTTCGTTCAATTTTTATAATAAAGCAAAAACTGAAAAAAAATTTTTTTGTTTGCCCCAAAAATCAAGGCAAAAGCTGCCGTCTTTTCTTATAAATAAACTTGTGATCGACTAGAAAATGAATGAAAAGAATAACAGAAAAAGAAAGGCTGTGCTTGTTGATTTCCTTCCCCTCACTTTCTCCCTCGTTTTTCGGATATATTAGATTTATATATTATTTTTATATATTAATCCCTTTGTTTTTTTCATTTTTAATATTAAAAAGTATAAGAAAATTGTTGAGTCGAAAAATAAATTTAGAAAATTAAAAATGTTGGAATTTTGGAAAAATATGTAAAGGAACCAAATAAATACATAAAAATATACATAAAAATGAAAATCAACTTATCATAGCATAGGTATTAGGGATTTACTGGTTTAGAAAAAAGACGGGTCGGGGTTCGGGCCAGAGTTTCAAAATTTTCTTCGGATCGGGTTGAAAAAAGTTCGGGGTTCGAATCGGAGTTTCGGATCGGGTCAGTTAGAAAGAGGGAATCGGATCAAGTTTCGGATCGGGGGTTGGAAAATTCCTCAGATCGGGGTTCGGGTAAGGCATATCCTTTAACTTGAATAATCTTACAGTTAAAAATATTATTTATGGAAGGAAAATATTTGATCATTAATAATTTCAGTTCTAGGTGTTTTTGAACAATTTTTGTCAACCTTTTGAACAACTGGACATTTATAAAAAAAATTCGATGGGACAAAAGAAAAAATTGGAAATAAAAAAATATTAGTTAAGTAAAAGCATGGAAAGCGACAGAATACTTATATAATCCATATGCTTGGAGTGTTAAGAAAAAATAATAAAGGTAAAAAAAGAGCTCTTTAAATTTTGAAAAAAAGATTTTTGGTGTTGAGGAAATGAAGGGTTAAATAGAAAATAGAAGAAAAGAGTTGGCGTGGAAGAATGGATATAGATAGAGCTAATATTTGTTTTTTTTTTGAGGTAGCTAATAAAAGAAAGTAAAAAAAAAGAAGAAAAAATATTTTGAAGAAAGAAAAGTGTTTTTCTTTGAAATGATCTATTCCCAGAGGAGAATTGATCAATCTCTGATCAGCCTCAGTCATGTCAAAAATGATAATTCAAAAAATTCACGATACTACTAAATCTAAATCCCATACTATTATTTAAATTAATTTTATACAAAAAGAAGCAAAAATTGCCAAGAAAGACCTTTGAGAATATTCAAAACCAACAGATTTATTGACTTAAAATCCCAGAGATTCAACTCAAGATTATAGGTACACTCTGTAACAAAATGATAGGACCCCCAAGTTTTTTATCGATATCCCACCAAATATTAAACGGATTTGTTTCAAATTTTGGTAGAATACAGGTAAGGATATTATGTATCAATATTGAAAAGAAAAAGTTAAAAGCAATTTTCAAAAAATTTTATGATAATAAATTTGATTTTGGAGTGTAACAAAATGATAGGACCCCTTGTATTTTCGACCTTAGGAGTGATCCTAAAAATCTACAAAAATCTCTATAAATATATCTAATGATTTCTATAGTAAATACAAAAGAAACGAAGTTCCAATATAATTCCTTCATTGAGATCTCAAAACCCGAAAATCAACGGAAATCGGGGGTAGACGTCTTTAAAAAATATTTTCGACCCTTTACATGTAGAATAGAAATTTTATTTTGGGCTTATTTGAAAGCCCTTGAAATTTGCTACAAGATAGTTTTTATATCATAATCCAGAAAAAATTCTTCTTTGAGAAATAATGAGTTTAGTTTATAAATTACATTTTTATCGCTTTTTGGGTGGCGTTTGAGTGATTTTTATGACCTGAAAGTTTATCACATTATGTCTTAAAGGTGAATTTTTTTCGCAAAATAAAAGTGATGCTATCTTGTAGCAAATTTCAAGGGCTTTCAAATAAGCCCAAAATAAAATTTCTATTCTACATGTAAAGGGTCGAAAATATTTTTTAAAGACGTCTACCCCCGATTTCCGTTGATTTTCGGGTTTTGAGATCTCAATGAAGGAATTATATTGGAACTTCGTTTCTTTTGTATTTACTATAGAAATCATTAGATATATTTATAGAGATTTTTGTAGATTTTTAGGATCACTCCTAAGGTCGAAAATACAAGGGGTCCTATCATTTTGTTACACTCCAAAATCAAATTTATTATCATAAAATTTTTTTGAAAATTGCTTTTAACTTTTTCTTTTCAATATTGATACATAATATCCTTACCTGTATTCTACCAAAATTTGAAACAAATCCGTTTAATATTTGGTGGGATATCGATAAAAAACTAGGGGGTCCTATCATTTTGTTACAGAGTGTATATATTAGCAGATTAAAGTTGTTTGTGCAAGTTAAGCTTTATTTTACTTATCCAGTCTATTAGCTCACTTATCCCTCCCTATCTTCTCTTTTAATTTTCTCTCTCAATATTAATACGTCATCTCAAAGTAAAAAGAGAAAAATAAGACGTTCCTTCAAAAACGGTTGCCACAAACTTAGAAAATGAGGTAAAAATAATTGAAAAATCTCGAGATCAAACAAAAAGAAAATATGAAAAATGATTTTTTCTCCTGAAAAAAATTCTAAGATATCAACTAGTTAGCAAGCTTGAAGATATTAAAATAGAACAAGAAAACTTTCAATTTTTGACCCTATTTTCCTTATCATTTTTAGCTTATCAAAAATAACTTTTTTTTCCTAAAAATGACTTTCTACTCCGATCAATTTTTATACAATCATTTCTTTGCAAAATGTCCTCCTCCTCCTCTTCTTCAAAATTAACTACTATAAATACTTCAAACAACGAATTTCAATCTCCTACAAATTCTTTTCGAGATAACGAGCTAAAATGGAATGGATGGGGATATATTCACTCAAACTTTGAGCTTTCGCCAGAGAATGGGCATTTTTATATGAGAAGCAAAAAGTATTTTTTGGAGAACTTGAGATACCGTAAATATTCTAATAGAAGCCCTGGGCGTTTATTCTTTAAAGGGTCTCATTGGGTGGGTTTCTAATGGTCTTAAATAAGAGATGGGCTTGCATTAGGATATTTACAATACACTAAAAACTCAAAAATCTTCTTTTAAGATATGCCGACTTGGATGGAAAACCTCTTCCCGACCTTAGGCCTTGGGTAGAGAAAAATCTTGGAATTGATGTAGGACTTAGAACGCCGAGTGTTTCTCTTCAATCACTTCAAATTCCATCTCCACTAATTTCTAACCCACAATTTTTGGAATTTCTTCGACTTGAGGATATTTATTATTCGGATGCTCCATTGACCAGACTTGCACGTTCACATGGACAAACATTGGCAGAAATAATTTCTATTAGAAAAGGAAAAATTGGACGAATTCCTGATTTGGTTATTTGGCCAAGAAATGAGAAACAAATTTTAAAAGTAAATTTTAAAGCAGAGAAATTAATGAGAAAAACATAATTACATCACAGATAATTGAAGGAGCTAAACAATTTGAAGCTTTATTAATTCCAATAGGAGGCGGAACTTGTGTTTCACAAGCATTATTATGTCCAGAAAATTCTCAAAAATTAATTTGTTCAGTAGATATGGGAATGATGTCTTCAATATTAAATTTGGACGTAAAAAATATGACAGCAACAGTACAAGCAGTAAGTGGAAAAATAAAAAGAAAATTACAAGAAAACTAGAGAATTGAATTTTTAGGGAATTCTTGGTCAGGATTTAGAGAAACAAGTAGGCGTCTAAAAATTTTTTTTAAATCCTATGAAATTTTAAAGTTAAATGATAGAGGATTTACGTGTGGACATGAGCCCGATTCACTTGAATTTAGGTCAGAATTTTGCTAAATAATTTAGAAAAATTTTTAAATTAATATTTAGTACATTGGGCGGGTGGATTTCTGTAAGTTTCGAAAAAAAATTAGAAAAAATTTTTTAAAAATACAGACTCGCGCCTCAGGAATGAAAAAGAATAAATACGGCAATATTGAAGTAATTTAAAAAGTGAAGAAAAAATCCAAAAAATAATTTTTAAAGGATTTAATACTCTCTGTGCGTATTTGCACCAGTCGCGGTATTTTACAACCCAGAAGGCTAGGACAGGTACCACGCCTATCTTCGGGGCCCGATTTGTTACAAATACTGCTTGGGTCTGAAGGACAAATGGGGGTGATAAGTGAGGCTACGATAAAAATATTTCCTATGCCAGAACAGCGCTGCTTTGGTGCTATAATATTTCCTGGTAAGTTAATTTTATAAACGAAGAATATAAGAAATGAAAAAATTTTTTTAAGATTTTGAGAGCGGTGTTAACTTTTTTAGAGCTGTTGCACTTAAAGTAACTTAACTACTTTTTCAAAAATAAAAAAAAAATATTTTCTAAAAGAGGTGGCAACCTGCCTCCCTTAGACTTGTTGACAACGCACAATTTCAAATGGGACAAGCTATGCGCGTACAGGAAGGGTATATTACTAGTGCGATATGGCAATCGTTGGCTAGAGTTTACCTAACAAGATGGAAAGGGTTTAAAGTAAGGATTTTATGAATGAAAACATCGTGAATGCACTAATATAAGTCATGCCCTATAAGGCCAGTCTAATATGATCCGAGGCAAAGATACTAAAAATAGAAGCCCATGTCTCGTATTTGAGAATTTACGGTAAATTAGAATCCCAGAACGAGGACCCCCAAAAGAATTTTATATTTAAAAATTTTTTTAATAAACCAGCCTGACCAAATGGTAGCCACAACATGCGTCTTTGAAGGCACCGCAGAAGAAGTCCAAACAGAAAAGCAGCGTATTTTCACACTCGCTACTACATTTGGAGGTATTCGAGCACCAGACGAGAATGGGCAGTTCGGGTATCGGCTAACATTTGCAATAGCATATCTTCGAGACTTGGCACTAGATCTGAATGTTATTGGTAATTTAATTAAAAATAATTTAAAATAAACCTGTTTTCAACTGCAGGGGAGTCTTTTGAAACATCCGTCCCATGGTCGAAAGTATTAAATTTGTGTAAAAATGTAAAGACGTTGCTAATACATGAAGCACGTAAAAGAGGAATTGAACAACATATTCTTGCTACTTGCAGGTAAATTTTGAAAAAAATTCTCTAAAAGCCTGAAAATTTTTTTAATAAATTTTAAAAAATTCCAAGGGTAACCCAAGTATATGATTCCGGTGTTTGCGTCTATTTTTATTACGCGTTTAATTATCGTAGAATGGATGTACTTAAAGCATTGGAGATATATGAACATATTGAGGTAATTTTCTAACAAAAATAAAAAAATATTTAAAAAAAAGTCCGCAGCCCGAGACGAAATTCTAGCTTGTGGAGGAAGCATTTCCCACCACCACGGAATTGGAAAAATTCGAAAACGTTGGGTACCTACAACTATTGGGCCTTTGGGTGTTTCATTGATGGAATCTTTGCGTTCCCAATTTGATCCAGAAAATTTATTTAATAGTGGAAATCTTATTGAAAATTCTTCCTCCTCTCAAACTCTTCAAATATTAAAAAATAAAATTGAAGAGAAGGAGAAGAGTAAATTGTGAAACCAAAAAATTGTTAACTAAAAAGTAAAAGTATTCTTTTAAAATGTGTATCGAACAAATCAGTTATAAAAATGTTTAAAAAATTAATAGTAAAATATTTATAAAATTGTAGCGAGATTTTTTTTTGAAATTCGCAAAAATTTGATTTTTGATCAGATCAATTTTTATCAGACTAGGACACGGATACTGATTTTGGTATCCGTATCCGGATATTTACGGCGGATACAGACGGATATCCGCAGGCATTTTTATAATATATGTATCCATATCCGTATCTATGTCCTAGTCTGATTTTCATGGGTATTAAAAAATACCGGGGAAAACTTTTGACTTACTCGCAACTCTTGTCTTTTATTTTGATAAATTCGGGTCTTTCAGAATTTAACCACCTGAAACCCCGGTCTGGGTCAGGTTGAAAAAATACACATAGAGGGCCTGGCAATTTGAAGATGTCCTCTAATTTTGATTCAAGATTTCATCTTTTAGGAAAAATTTGGAAATAAAACAGAAAGAAGCGACTCAAGTCAAAAGTTGTTCAAAATAAATATTAAAAATTTTAAAAAATAAATTAAATAAAAAAAAGTCCATAAGGCCGCATACTTTTGTCATCAAGTAAAAAGTTCATCAACTAAAAAGATCATTTGAAGCAATTTGATTGTAAGCTTTGATATGTGAAACGCCATTTTCATCTTTAGAAAGTCCATAAATATATTCGGGACGACAAGCCATATATAAATGTTCGACCTAAAAATTTTTTGAAATTCTTAAAAATTCAAAAAATTAAAAAAAAAGAAAACCAATCGTCGATCGTGTGTAATAACAATTAATTGAAGAGATTTTGAGTAAGCTGAAGCTGCCTGAGTACTTGTAGTAGCATTAGTACCATCCAATTGTCTTTTCACAGAACCAGAAATTGTTGATTCAGGCATTGTAATATCTTCTTCTGGTACTGCTCCAGCACCTCGTCCAGTTGGCTCTTCAAAATCAGCATCATCACTATCATAAATTCCTCGTACACCAATTGCGCTATCTGTTGGTGGTTTTTGAACTTCTATTAAATTCTTTAACATTGTCCCAATATTTTCCACCTTAATAATTTTTCAGTTCGAATTTATTGAAAAACAATTAAAAACCTTATCAGCATCTAAATTAGTTGTAGGCTCATCTACAAATTAAAATTGAAAGTTAAAAAGAAAAAATAAAATTTAAAAAAACCGAGTGCCAAAATTCTACAATTTCCAGCAAATACATCAGCCAAAGCAATTCGAATTAAAATTGAAGCCAAAACTTTTTGTCCAGCACTGCATCTATCACGCATATCAATATCAGTTTGATCAACAGTCATAACAACACTAAAAAATTTTTTTTAAAAACAAAAAATAACAAACCTATAATCATAAGACTTTTTCTTTTCAGCAGAACCAACAGTTTGTGATTTTATTTTTATTGTTTCAATATCATTCCCTTGATATACACGTGCCCAAAGTTCAGACAAAATTGAATTTATTTGTTCCATTTTGTGTTGATGAAATTCAATAATTGAATCGTCAACAGTTTTGTAATATCTATCAAGATCCTTAAAAAAAATTTTCGATTGACATAATGAAATCCTGCCATAATTAAATCCGCTCTACCAAACGCCGAATATACCAAACCCACAAAAACTGCCAAAATACCAAACCATGGAAAAGGTTGTTCAACAAAGGTAAAGGTTGCGTAAGATTGTTAACAATCAACACATTTTAGTATTGCGGCATGTCTTACAAGGAGAGTTCGCGAGGTGTCCGACCTAAAAACGGTCGAGACCGGGCTCATTCGATAGAGAATCCTTGTTAGAAAGGGCACATTCTCTATCGAATGAGCCCGGTCTCGACCGTTTTTAGGTCGGACACCTCGCGAACTCTCCTTGTTAGGGAGTTTGGTATTTCAGTTTTTGGTAGCCTCATATTATTAAAATTATATTAAAAAAACCCCCATACTTCAATAGCCTCTAAAGTAACTTGTCGTTCAACCATTTTACCAATATAAAGTTTTTTTGCATCCACATAACGAGTTTCAGATAATTGTCTCTTCAAATCTTCAATTTTCTTTCTCAATTGTAATTGTTCTCCATTCTTTTCATGAATTTTATTGTTAATCTCAACAGCACGTTGACTAAGTCTGTTCTCCTTAAAAATAGACGTTGAAAAATTATCAAAAAATTGACAAAAAAACCTTCGTTCTAGTTTCAGTTAAACTTTCAATTCCTTCCATCATTGCACTTTCTTTTGCTTCTCTTAATTCTCTTTGCAACATATCAATCTATAAAAGAGGAAAAATTTTTATCATACTAAGGCTATGAAAAACAGGCAAATCTGGTATTTTGAGTCCCTTGCATTTTCCATTCCAGCATAAACATGAAAACATAAACAAGAATGAGTAAATAAAGGCCCGAGGAAACAATATAAAAAGGGATCCAACTACCAATTTTGTTTGCTTTTCCTAGCCTCAAACATTACAAAAAAATAAATAAACCTCTTTCTGAATATCCATTCTCGATAATTGCTCTTGTAAACGTTTTAATTCATACTTTCTATTTTCAACCCCGCTTAATTGAGTTTCCAATTTACGTCGTTGTTCCAATAAACCATCAATTTCGCGCCTCTTTTCTTCCATCTAAAATTTAAATTTAAAAAATAAATATTAAGCAAGGGCTTAGCCAGGGGATTAATTTCAAGGTCCTGAGGACCCCTGACTACGCCCTTGATATTAAGAAAAAAAATACTTTTTCTCTATAATCATCTGTCGAATCAGTTGAATCACGATCTCTTTCATTCAAATTTTTCATATCATTTATTTTTGAAATTGCAAGATCAATAGAATCAACAACCATTTGAGCATCTCGTTCTTTTGTACAAATTTCTTTTAAAATTTTGGTCCTTTCCCCTTCAAGTTTTGAAATTTCTTTTTCTAAACCAGGCAAATGTTGATTTGCAGAAGCAAGCAATGATTCAACTTCTTTAAGTTGTTCTTTATTTTGATCCAACTTTTGTTTCATAGATTCAATTTGAACAACTTTTTCGCCAGCCAAAGCTTTTCTATCTTTAAATTCCATTAACTGAAAAAATATTTATTTTAGTCAGAAAAATCTCGACCTAAAAACTTTGTGAATCCCCCCTCCCCCACCACCAAGTTGTTTAAGTCCCAATTTTACTTTTATTTTTTCGTTCTTTCCCTCATTTATTTTCCTCAAATACGCGAGATTTTTTTCTTTATCTTTCTCAAAAACTAACCCAAAAACTGACCGTTATGTACATCTTAGAAAACCAGGAGATTAAAGAGGGGGGGCTATCCATAAAGTACCACACCCTATCAAGGGCGTATCCAGGGGGTCGGTTTCGGGGAGGGGGGCTCGAGCCCCCCCCAGCCCCCCTGGATACGCCCTTGCACCCTATGTATTATCAAACATATTTCTACCAGGGAAGCTATTCATAAAGTAGCCGACTTGTGTATTACAAAACATTAATTACCTGATTTGTAATTTGTACTCGCTTTTTCAAAACAGTAATATGGCTAGAGACAGTTTCCAATTTACCATTCATTCGCTCCAAAACAGCTGTTGACATTTCTCTAGCATCATCAATAGAAGTCCCAGCACCTAATTCCATCAAATCCAGTCGAAGAACATTCAAAGCACTCTGCATCTCTTGAAGATTATCCCAAATATCATCTAGCAATTTGAAATCACCAAGTGATTGTAATTGAGTCTCCCATTTGACAATTTCTTGAGAAAGTTTGACAACTCTAAAAGCAATTTTTTCAAATTTTGTTTTAAAGGCTCAAAAATTTACGCATTTGAAGCATTTTCTGCATTCTTAAATTCTCTTTCAGCGATACAAATTTGCTGAGAAAGTTTGTAAAATTCTTGTCGTTTTGACTGGCTTTCGCTTTTGTATTCAGCCAATTGAATACGCAAGTTTTCAATATTATCAGATAATTCATCTGCACGTGCAGATTCAAGTTTCTAAAATATACCAGTTAAATTTTAAATTGATGGTTTTAACAAGGAGTTGAACGACCCTGACTCTTCGAGGCCGAAAAGTTCCGGGTCGGGGTTGAAAATGTTAAGGTTGAGTCCGACAAAATCAATCTGGTATCACAATCAGACGCGGCCAGGGCACAACCCTAGTTTTTAAAACTCACAATCGATTCAGCCGCTTTCGCCATTGTAGCATCAGCCTGAGCTTTCAGTTTGTCAATAAAAGTTGGTCCTACTAAAAAATTATTTTAAATATTAAAAAAGAAAAAAAATTACATGGAATTTGGTATTTTTCAGAAAGTTGATTCAAAAAAGTCAAATATTCATCCTCACGATTTTTCATGACCTTAAATTTATAAAATTATTTTTAAATTAATAAATTAACCATTTGTTTAGAATCATATTCAATCATTCTTTCACGGAAATATTCCTCTTCTTTCTTCAAATCAGCAATTTTCTTCGCAAAAGTTGAGATATTACGAACAATACTCATTCTATTAGCTTCAGCTTCAAGTATTTCACTAGAATGGCTGAGCTAAAAAAATTTTTTTTTTAATTTTCTCTCAATTTTCAAATAAAACAAACATCATTAATAGCAATTAACAATTGTTCACGTGTTCCAGGATAATTACTTTCAGTCAGAAATTCTTCCATATAACGTTGATGTGTATTTATCTTCCCTTTAATCACTTCTAAAAATTTTTTCCTTATTAATTTTTTAAAAATAAATTAATAACCAAATTTGTGTGATGCCTCAACAGCTTTTTCCAATTTTTCTCTAGTTACAACCAATTCTGCTTCAACAACTTTCTTTTCTTCCAACAAATTGTCAATTATTACTCGATTTTGTTTTAATGTTGTACGGCTCGTGTCATAATTCATAGTTAACTTGAAAATAGAAAAAATAAATTTTTTAATCTAATTTAGCTCATACCTCAGCTCTAGAACGCAAATTACTTTCCAAATGAGGAAGTTCTTTGTCAATTAACTGAATTTGCAGGTTCTAAAAAATATTAGAAACTGAACAATATCCAAGAAAAATTCAAAAAATACCAATTCTTTAATATTCCTTTTGATTGCATCCAAAGCCTTTACATATTTTGTAACTTCGAAAATTGCATCAAAACGTTGTTTCAATTCTTTTGGTTCAGAGAGAGGCCTAAACAACAATCATCGGTAAATCTTCAGACTACGGGCCCCCTTTTCCTCCACAAGTCTCTTCCTATTAATTACAGAATGGTCAAACATTTTCCTTCATTCCGAAACAAAATTTAATTCGTTTTGATTACTTGCTGACTAAATATAAAAAGCTTTGTGAGGAAGGAAAGAATGACAATCCTGAACATTACTAGGAAAAAACTTAGGGAGGAAAAGGGGGCCCGTAAATGACAAATCCATTCGATCTCAAAAAAACCTTACCAATTCGATTCTTCTTGATGACAGAATAGAACAAATTCAAGAATAGCCTTAGGCACACCAATTAAATTGAGCATCTTAAAAATAAAAAGAATATTCTTAATTTAAAAATTAAAAACCTCTTTATTAAAATCTCCTATTTTTGAAGAAAGTGACTTTGGATTACCAAACTTATCAACAATTTTAAGGTTAAATTCATCAGATTTCGTAGTCAATTTACCCTAGAAAAATGAAAAGTCAAGGAAGATCATTTTTAAATGTTAAGCTTACTCCACGTACAACGCTCGCATTCAATCGCTTGGTTGCCGTACAAGTATTGCCTTTAATGTCCTTGAAGATAAGTTGCACCAAAGCATCAACTCTTGGCTTGTTTGCGATCTAATTAAGAGTGGAATGAATTTGAAACTTCAACCAAACCTGTTATTGTGAATAAAAGTTGGCATTTTCCCTGCTGGCAAGGCACCTGTCGTAATGTAATTTAAGGCTTCAATGACTGTCTAAACAAAAACATAGAAATTAAAATAATTTTTTAAATAAATCAAACCGTCTTTCCCGTCCCATTAGGCCCTTGAATTATAGTTAACGGAGTCAAAAAATTAATGCACTGCGGCGAATCACCAATACTTCGAATGCCTTGAATTTTAAGTCCAATAAACTTTACCATTATCTCCTCAAAGTAGAAATATTTTAATAAAAAATGTGAAAAAGTATTATTAAGCCTATCGACTTTAAAAAATAAAAAATTCAACATTTGTAATCAAAAATAATTTTATAGCAAAATGAAGAAAAAAACCAAATAAAATACAACAAGTCATGAATTTTCAAACTGGAAAAATATATTTATAAAACTTATAGTATTTTTTTATAACTTTCAATGCACACTCACATCAGACTCTGAGATCCGAAACAATTCTAAAAACATGCAAAAAAAAATATTCAAGCCTGGCAAAATTTTTGAGGAGAAAATAAAGATGGATATATAAGATGAAAAAGGGAGATAAACAAAAAAATGAAAATAAATCACAATTGGAAAGGTCAATGACACAAAAACGCAAAAGTGTAGCGAGAACCTCTCAAAATCCTCTTGCAAATCAAGTGACCTTTCCAATTAATTACAACAAGGGATATGAAGTTTTTCTTTGTAAAAATGGAAAAATATAGAATATACATTTTTATATGTTTGTTTGTTGAGTAAAGCAAAAAAAAAGAATCTCTGGATGCAATAAATGAATTTATATGATATACCTTCTTTTAGAGACACAAAAACATCTACCAATCCATATCTCTCAACCACGACTACCAACACTGTTATTGTTTAGATTGTCATGTACTCGAACAGCCTTAAAGTATTTATTGTAGCATTATAGGTAGGTATTTACACCTAAAATAGTAATACATATGTTAAAATTAAAATTCTTTTGGCTTGTCTAAATTAGAGGTTGGTAAAATCGGATTACAGGGATCCCGTAACGGAATTGAGTTCAAAAAGGTCAAAAAGAAGGGATCTTATAAAATAGTCTAGTACAACCCAGAATCCCTTTGTCGCTTAAATTCCGGGGTTCTGGTACAGAAACCCGTACAATTCAATTCGAATCCATCCCGTGCCGACCTCAAGTCTTAAGCTCTCACTCAAAAATAAGCTCCTAACTTAAATAAAAGATTTCATTTAAATTAAGAAATAAAGGACAAACCTCCGTAAATTTAAGCGGTCTAGTACTCCTTGACATTTCATTTTTAGTAAGTAAAGACGTTGTTGTTGTATTAGTATAAATTGTAGAATTTCCTTTACTACATTCAGAAATACTTGTCATTACTCCATTTGGTGATGCTTCATTTTTTCTATTAATTGATAACATTCCATGAAAAGAATTTCTTTTTGTTGGACTGCTGTTGTTCCTTCTATTGCTTCTGACATTCTTTAAATCCGCTTTGCAAAGACCTTTGATATTTCCACCGCCAAGTAATGATTGCGTAGCTGAATTTTCTGAACTTGAAAGGCGAACATGTGGAACATCCTTGTAAGCTTCATGAAGACTACGTTCATAGGCCGAGAGAGGTAACTGAAAATCAATATCAGTCAAAAGCGTTTTCAAGGTCTAAAAGCCTCAAGTTTGGCACAGATCCCACCTTATGCTAGCACCCATGAAATCTGACCCTGATCCTTGGGGGTACAACCCGATGTACCGCGAGCCCAATGTACAGCCAAGCTATAACTTTCTTCAAAATTGTCGAATCCGTGGCGCCCTGGTATTGTTCGATTCAGCTGGACGAGCCGCCTCGAAACATACTAGGGCGTCCCAGATTCGACAATTCTGAAAAGTTATAGCTCGGAGGTACATTGAACTCGCGGACAATGGCCTGCTCACATCCTTGATATATAAAACCTCAAAAATTTCAAAACTAACTTCACAATCAATATTAGCCGAATTATTGTTGACTTTCACTTCCAACTTCTTTTGATTTTCTTCTTCCTCTTCATCCGCATTGAATAAATTACATCTAGAATCGTCTTCTCTTGAGTCAGCAATCATTCTTACACGATTTAAAGAATTTGCCGATTTAAACCCAACGCCTGAGACTGCTGTACCAATCGAGACCGCGCTGTCTTCACCGACACCTCGTTTCAACTAAATAATTTTTAAAATTATTTTTCTAAAAATAAGCCAAATTTACCCTGATTTGACCATCCTTTTGATTGTCGCATTCCGGCACATACACAATAACTGCTTCTCTATGTACCCTTTGATTTTTCTTGTTAGGCCTCTCATAACTGCTAATTGAAGAAAGGACTATTTAAAAATTAAATTTAGAAAATACGTTGGAAATTGACTGGAACATAAAGAATGACACAAATTCCCACAACATCCAACAGTGAACGGATTCAGTCCAGCACGGAATTTATTCGTTACCTTAAAGGAAAACTGACTTGAAAAACAAAAAAGTAAAAAAACCTGTTCATTCGTCGTCCTCGCTCTCAAAACCAGAACAATGTGAAAACAAGTCAACCCAATAACAGGGACAGCAAGTAAAGTACAAATTGACATTAACACAATTGAGCAAAGATTTGGCCTTGTAAGAATATCCCGACGACTTAGGAGTGTGTAGCTTAATGAGAGGCTAAACACACAAATCATATGCCAGCTGAGGAAGAAGAGGAACAAGAAAAAGTTGCGATAATTTCGTCGTCCAATACAATTGTGGACCCAAGGGCAGTGGTGATCGAAGCAATCGATGCATCTAAAAATGGGAAAAATCAGTGATTTTAAGATTTGCGGACATCGCAAAGATTTGCGGAGATCTGCAAAAGATTTGCGGACAAATCTTGCGGACTTTCCCAAACTAAAAAATCATTACCTGTTACAAACTGAACAATGTGAAGAACGCGGAGGCCTGTAGAATTTACAAGTAACGCACCATTTCATTCTAACTGTTATTCCATTTATTTCAACACTTTTATAAAGAGGTGAACGGAAATCGTCCAAATTGGCTACTTCAGAAGAGGTTGCTACAAATTAAATTTTCATGGTTTAAAATTGAACGGCAATATACACTTTCATACCCTACCCTCTTTTTCTTCCTCAAAATAATAAAAATGAGTATGTAAAAAATTCAGACCTCTGACCGGGTTCGAACCCACGACCCAACACAATTCTGACCATTTTGGGTACTTTAAAAACGAAAAAAGAGGGGGTACTGAAGTGGAAGGGGTATGAACATTTTTAATCATTTTGACCATTTTAGTACTTTTGAGGAAGTAAAAAAGGAGGGGATACGAAATTGAATATCACCAATTGAACCGAGAAAAAAGTAAACGAACCGATTGGATGAGTACCTTAAAATTTAAAGTATAAAGACTAAAACTGATATAATCAAACAAACCAGGATCCATTGTCGTTGCCATAAACAAATTTGAAATACAAAAAGCAAACAGAACAAAATCTATCGCACAAAAAAGATAACCAAACGTCCCAAGCTTGATGATTAACGCCGGAACGAGAATATAGAAAAACGCCGCTGAGCAGCCAACAATTAGAGACCAAGTTAAAATGGCCGGTAAGGCGTGTGATAAACTCCTAGAAAAAGAAAATTTTTAAGTAGAATTAAAAAAAGGGACAAATACCTGCAGAAATTTTTCATTCGTAGCAATCAATAGGCTTTACTTTATTCAACAAAACACGAAGATATCAGTAGAAAATTGTTTTAAGTATAAAATTGGATTAATGTAACTAGACAAAAAATTGAAAAAATTAAGCCCCTCTAAACAGAAAAAAACCGGACCCCTTGAAAAAAAATTTTTATTCAGACAAAATCAGAAAAAAAAATTTTCTTGGTCAAATACTTTTTGTCGCCACATTGTTCATCGCCTTGGCTTTATTATCGTCCACTTTGTCGCCAACTTTTTCGTCGCCTCTTAATTATTCGCGCCCGTTTCATCGCCACAGTTTGATCGCCGCTGCCTACATTATACTAAAATACGATTTTACGTGATTTTACGTTTCTCGCTCGCATCAAAAATTTATGCAAATCTTTTTTCAGTAACTTTTCTAAAAAATGAGTAATTGCTGCATTAAAATCATTTTTTTCTTTCTATACATTTTATTGTTTTTTGTAAAATTAAACAACAATGGATTCAACTTATGCCCATTCTACCACTACGATTACTGCTACACGTTTAGGTGCCAATTTGCGAAATATGTTCATCAACGTCATCAATCATCGAGAGGTAGAGTTTAAAAGCATTATATAAGGGTTGGCACAAGTTTAGAACCGAATAGGGATCAAAAACTGTGGGGACAGCCCTGAATGCCTTTCCGAATGACCCTGAACCATTGGTCTAAAACAGGGATGAGCGGGTTACCCGAACCCCGGCTCTTTCTTTCGACCCGAAACCCGACTCGACATTTTTCTCAACCCTGAACCACAGGTTAGAAAGGAGAGTTGGGTGTATATCAACAGAGTTTGTGTTTAAATGTTGTAGGGGCATTCAGGATCAATAGGCATTGAGGGCACTCTCATGAGGATATAGGCCTTCAGGCAGGGATCGGTACTGCAATCACCTCATAGCAGTTTATTGTTAGGCGCTCTCACCTTCTAGCAGCTTATTGTTAGACGCTCTACCTACTGTGCCACTCCCTAGAAAATCAGATCTGCCATGTTTCTAAAAAAACCTTTTTAAAGACCAACTTTATAATCACTTCATTCATCATTTTTGCTGCTCTATATACTTCATTGACAGCAATATTTGAAAGATCTTTACTTCACCCTTTAACAATTACTCAACAAAAACAACAAATAGTTTACCCTCCTCAATTGTCATTAACTCCTCAAGTAAGCAACCATACTTTGGAAGAGGAAACTCATTTGGAAGACTTTCCATTTTCTTCGCCTTTTAGGCAATGTCGTCAACTTAACTCGTATTTTCTTTTTTAATTTTTTTGCTACTTTTCCGTTATACCTATGCCCACAAATTTTTTTCAGCGAGGATTCAGTTGATCGTAATTATGCCCAGAATCATCGAATCACATTAGTTTTAGTGTCGTTCGCCTCAGATCCACTAGCCCTTCCCAATGAGCTGTTATTTGTAACATAACTAATTTTTGACCCCAAAAATAGACTTGCTCCTCCCTATGGTTTTTCGACCTCTATCTCGGTCCGCAGAAATTTTCGATTATATAGTGATACCTTCCGACTTACGCAGACGAGACGAATCTGCGGGCCGAGATAGAGATACCTAAATCAAAAAACTTTGGAACCCGCCACTGGCTAAAGTACTGTCAAAGAATTAGCGGGCATATCACGGAAAAGTACCTTCCTTTGAAATTTTTCTATTTTTAAAAATTAATAATTTTTCTTCCCCTTTTTTGGAACCAAAATTTGCCTGCTTCAACATTTACAACCACTTCATATCTAATTTTATCAATATTCCTTTTATTGGCACTTTCATTGTGTATCGGCAGAATTTTAAATAAAATATGCCTCCCCTCACTTGCTGGCCCTTTAATTGTTGGGTGTTTAATTGCCAATTTTGGACAAATTAGAGAATTGTTGACTCTACCAAATTCGAATAATGGAGGGACTTTAATTGTTGAAATTGCTTTTCTTGTTGTAATTATTCGCGCAATGTTGGGAATTAATTCGTCTTCTCTTTTGCATAATTTGGTGGGTATTTTAAAAAATTTTAAATTCCTAAAGGCTCAGGCTTATTTTTTAATTTTCAAAAAATTTTTAAAAAAATTTAAAAAAATTCGAAAAAATTTTTTGAAGATTTTTCAAAAGAAAAATTCAAAAAAAATTTAAGCTGAAGAAATTTTTTTGAATTTAAAAAAAATTTTTTAAAATTTTTTCAAAAAATTATAAAAAAATTTTCAAAATTTTTTTGGATTTTTTAAAAATTTCGAGGATTAAAAAACAATTTTTTAATTTTGAAAAATTTTCAAAAATAATTTTTTTAAGAAAATTTCAAAAAATTTTTTTAGTTCAAAAAATTTTTTCCAAAAATTTTCGTAAAAAATTTTTTTAAAAAACCCCACCCTAAACTTAAAAATTTATTTTTCAGTCACTCATTTGCTTGTTAGGCATTCTCTGCCCTCTAATTGAATGTTTAATTATTTTACTGGCTGCCACACTTTTATTTAAAATTAATTTATCAATTGCTATACTTTTTGGGTTTTTTTAAATTTTAAAATAAGATTTTTTCAAGTTTTGCAATTTCTGCCTCTTCCCCTCCAGTTATTGTACCAACAATTAAACGTTTGGAAGAAAAACAATTTACGAATAATGATGATTCTGGAATCCCAACAATTATTTTATTCAGGTTTTTTTGGGCGTTTTAAAATTTTTTAACCAAAAATTTTTTTGAAATTTTTCAAAAAATTTTTTTTCGAAAATTTTTCAAAAAAATTTTTCTGAAAATTTTTTGAAATTTTTTTCTAAAAATTTTTTTGAAATTTCTAAAAAAAATTTTTTTTCGAAAATTTTTCAAAAAAATTTTTCTGAAAATTTTTTGAAATTTTTTAACCAAAAATTTTTTTGAAATTTTTCAAAAAATTTTTTTTCGAAAATTTTTCAAAAAATTTTTTTGTAGCACTATTTTGGATAATATTTTTGCGCTAGCTGGTTTTGGTATTGCTTTTGAAGCGATGACAACAAAATATGGTAAAAATTAAAAATGTTTAAAGAACAGGGGTGAAAAAATGAGGTGAAAGATAGGATGAAGTTTCGCCTTTTCTCAGGGAAGAGATTGCAAGAATTTTTTTGTAGATCATCAAAAATGATGAAAAGGGAAAGAAGAATCATCTAATTAACCTTTGGGAATGAAACAAAAAAAATGAAGGGGTGGAAAGATGGGAAAATTGTGATTGAAGCGATGATAGAAAGTAAGGGTGATCATCAATTTTTTATAATAAAGGGGATCATAAAGGGTGATAGAGTGCGAGATATTGAGGGCTAGAGAAGTCTGAGGGGTTGGAAGTAAAAAATAAAAAAGAAATTTTTGAAACACCCAATTTTAAAAAAATTTTAAATTTTTCAGAACAACTTTCCTACACTCTAAGTCGAATTCCAGGAGAGTTACTAATTGGTGCAATTATTGGAATTTCTGCCGGTTTTCTTCTTCGCTTCTTTCCTCGACCTGATGCCCATTTAGTTCATTTTACAAGAGTGCTGATTTTATTAAGTGTTGGTTCCGCCTTTCATTTTGGCGCTAGAGAGATTGGTTGTGTTATTGCTGGGCCTACTGCTGTTTTGATTATGACTTTAATTGCTGCTATAAATTGGCAGATTGATAACAGGAGAGGAGTATGGCATTTTTTCTAGAGGTTAACTTAATTTTTAATTCCCAAGACGAGGACTGAAGAAAACGGATTGAGACTTTTTTGGGAATTGGTAGCTTCTCCTCTTCTTTTTCTTCTATTTGGATCTCTTCTTGATTTTACTTCAATTGTAGGTTTGGCGTTTATGTCGTTTCCCTCCCCCAGGCAAATTTCTTTGAAACGTACCCCCCCCCCCCCCCCCCAGTAAATTACAAGGAATCCATGGAAGAAAAAAGTCTGACCATTATTTACATTTCAGAGAAATTTGCGCGGGGGAGGGAAACGACATAAGTACCTGTAAGTCCTTGGGGCGGTTTTTTATCAAAAAATTTTTTTTCTCTCTTACCCAGTTTTCCTCAACAAAACTTCTCGATGCCTTCCTATTTTTACTTCTTTCTTTGTTAGTCCGCTTAACTACAGGACTAGCCTGTACATTTTGTTGTTCAACAGGACAGAGAAGAACCCCTTCAGAACGCCTATTTATTTCATTAGCGATTTTACCTAAAGGAAGCTTACAATTAATTATTGCCCCAGCAATTGTATGTTTTCATATGAGGGAGACTGGAAGAGAAAGTGTAGAAAGTGGCGGGATTTTGCTTTCTCTAGAAACAATTTTATTGGCTCTCCTTTTTTGCTCTCCCATTGGAGAAATGTTACTTCGGTTTGTTTTTTATTTTTATTTGGGTTCAGCCCGGAAGGACAACTTCATAGAGGTCAACGTTCTAGGTGTCAAATGACCCTTGAGATCAATTCCACTGCTCGGAGTTGTCCTCCAGGATCAGTTGACCTCTAGTGGGAGACTTCTTATAAGAACATTTGACCACGGTGACCTCTAGGGAGTAAACCTCTAGGTTGTTGACCCTTTTATTTTTAGTCTTCTCGGACCTCTACTTCTCCGTCGGAGGCTAATTCCAAATGCTTGTGTTGTTCCCTTGGGTGAACCATACAAAAAAGGAGGATTGATGGTTGCACACTCAGATCCATGGGACAATCGACTGAGGGTATTTTTTGAAATTTTTGGTATTTTTTGCTAAAATATTTTTTGAAAGCTCGAACTCGGACCTATCGACCCAGCAGATCCTCAAATTCACAAACACACTGCCTATCCATTAGAAGGAACAAATAAACTTGAAAATGATTCAAAGCCTTAATTTTTGAGAATTTTAAAAAACATATTTTTAGAGAGATTTAAATAAATATGATTAAAAAGAGTTAATAAATTGGATGTTTCAATGAATTAATAAGAAAAAAAATGGCCGAGACAGGATCTTGCGAGAAAATAGACAAAGGTTGACTTGGTGGAAAATCCACTCGAGAGTCATCTACAAGATTCATTCCCTACAACAAAGACTATAGAGTGACCTCTATTCCTAGTTAATAATAGGGTTGTTCCCCGACGGGGGCCACGAGGATAAATGTTCGGATTTTCAAAAAATCTCTCAAATTCCACGACTTTCGGGAACGGGGAACAACCCTAGTTGATAATACAGGAGAGGGTGGGTGCCCTCGTAGAATTATTTTAGGGAATCGCTCCTAAGACATTTTCTCGTCTTATTGTTAGGACAGTGGACAGTTCCATCTATTTTTAAGCAAAAAAGTTTATTAAAATTTTTATTCTTTATTTATATATATTAGAAAAACCCGCAAGAAAATATTTAAAAAAATTTGTATACCTACTCTCCTTTATCCTTAAATTCTTCCAAATTAATTATACAATTATTCTCATTTTCTGGTTCAACTACCAACAACAATTCATTTCCAGCTTCCAACAATTTATCAATAAAAGCGTTAAAATTGCCATTTATTTTTGTTGGAGCATCAAGTTTTGAGTCTAAATTGTAGTAAATGTTGTTTATTGACAAAACGGCAAACTAGGGAAGAGGAAAAAATTTTTTGTAAAAAATTAAAAAAATACCCAATGTCTGCCTTTAAAAAATGGCAAGAGAGTAAACGGCGGCGAAGGTATATTGAAAATATAGGCATAAATTAATTCGTGTTTAATGCGAGAAGCTGGTCTTAAATTAAAAAAATTATTAAACGGAAAAATTTTGGTATACGAAACATAACCAAACTGGTCAAATTACATATCATTCAAAGAGTTCGCCGAGCTGATTGTGAGTCGATGGTACCAAAATTAGGCTATGGACTTAAATAAGGATTCGAGAACCACTGAAAACTGAAGAACTATTTGTGGGACCAAGCTGAATTTTGGGTTCGATAATTTTGTTAAGGAACGTTGAATCAGGCTGATTTTGGTGTCACAGCTCGACGTTCTCTTTCGAAATACTTGTAATTTTGCCTGATTGGCGTCTGTTTTAAATACCGAGATTATACCAAAAAACTTTAAAAAATTTACAATCTTTTGTCAAAATATCGTCCTGTAAAATCTCTAGATTGTAAGGCAATTAATAAAATATTTGCATCATAATTCCCCAAACCAATCCATGAACGGTGTGGGTTAAAACATCTGCGGTCGTCAAGTCTAAAAATTTTTTTAAATTAACTTAAATGTCAAAAAAACCTTTCACAAATCTCGTCAAGCTCTTGTTGACTAAATTCTCTTCGTTGAAATAAATTATTCAAGGTGTGAAGCAGGCAAAGTTGCTTTCTTTGTTTTTCGTGATAAATTTGTTGTTTTTCTGAAGATGAACAAGAAGGGTTGTGTCGTTTCATTTGTGCTAACTAGGCTAATCCACAAGAAAAACAGCTTTTAAAAAAATTTGGGGAAATTTTAGAGGGTTAAAATTGCGAAATTTTTGATAAGAAAGTATTGCAGTGGGACTCTACTAACAATTTTGGTATTTACTATTAGTTGATATTTTGAAATATTTTGCCCTAGTTACCACTTTTCAAAATTGTTACAATTTCTCTTTTTCTCTAGATTCTCTCTTTTTTCTATTATCTTTTTTAGTCAAATTTATGAAACTCGAGTCTAGCAATTTGTTTTATCCAAAATTTTTTTGGGCATTTTTCTTGGGTTTTGTTTGGGGTTTTCTTTGTTTTTCTTGTTTTATCTTTCATGTTTTTTTAATTTCAACTCTTTTTTAAGCTTAAAAAGTAAAACAAAGATGCCTCGTATAAAGCATGTATTTTCTAAAGTTTATGATGTGCCTCGACGTCCATTCGAGAAGGAGCGTTTAGATCAGGTTTTTAATTACTTTTTCCCACCTCTAACTCATCTATTTAGGAATTAAAATTAATTGGCGAATTCGGTTTACGAAATAAACGTGAAGTTTGGCGTGTCAAATTAACTTTGGCAAAGATTCGTAAAGCTGCTCGTGAACTTTTAACATTGGAAGACAAGGATCCTCGACGTTTATTCGAAGGAAATGCTCTTCTTCGTCGTTTGGTTCGTATTGGAGTTCTTTTGGAAGATAAGATGAAATTGGATTACGTTCTTGGTTTGCGTGTTGAAGACTTTTTGGAGCGTCGTTTGCAGACACAAGTTTTCAAATTGGGATTGGCTAAATCAATCCACCATGCTCGTGTTCTTATTCGTCAAAAGCATATTCGGTTTATTTTTATTTTAAAGCAAGTTTGGGTTTCCTTTTTGACTTATAGTTAAGGTTAAGATGACCGGGGTGTAATAAGCAAAATGGATGCTTAACTGCCGATCCCTTCTTGTTTTCAATTGTCTGTTAACTGACCATTTTCATTCATCTTTCTTACTTGAGCCACCTCATTAGAGCCATTACTTCGAGGCGGTCCTGGCGCCATTTCAGGACAAAGGGATTTTCAATAGACATTGTCTTTAGCTTCTAGAATAGTAACCATAATTCCCAATGTAACAATGCGTTCCTTTTTACATTTCCCCTGTCTAATTTAGAATTCGTCGACAAGTAGTCAATATTCCATCATTTATTGTTCGTCTCGACTCTCAAAAGCATATTGACTTCTCTACAAAGTCTTATCTTGCTGGTGGACCTCCTGGACGTGTCAAGAGAAAGAATTTGAAGAAGGCTGCTTCGGGAGGTGGAGGAGGAGGCGGTGACGATGAAGAGGATTGAATAATATCTAAAGGTTTATAAAACGTTGAAAGTTAATTCTGTTAAGTTGTTAAAAGATTTTGGATTTGAAAAAATGTTTTTGTTGACTTTTAATGATTTTATGCTTGAAAAGTAAGGACTTGAGACTTTAAGACACCTACTTTTGAGATTTGGGTAATCCTTTACTAGGGAAGGTTGCGAGGTGTCCGAGCTAAAAACGGTAAAGACGGGCTCATTCGATAGAGAATGTACCCTTTCTAGCAAGGAATTTGAGCCGTTTTTGCCCGTTTTTGATCTGGCCAAGATACGGCTGATCCCTGGGAAAAAATTTTGATCCTGAATTTGACTGTCAATTCGTGTTCGGAGTTCGAGCTTAATGAATTCTAAGCTCATATTCGGTCTCCAAATACATAATTACTTTCTGGCAACCTTAAGGTTGGAGGCCAGTAAAATGCAGATTATCGAGACTTGTAACCTTTAGATTGTGAATTTTCTTCCTAATCTTTGACTTTATGCTCATGTCTTTTGAATTCCCTATTTAATACTTAAAAGGTCTGAAAGCTTTTTAAGTATATTTAATTCTCGACCCCATGTCTAGCTGACAGGTTTCTTTAATTTGTTAGGAATTCTTTTGCAATTTTATGAGGGAGAATTTTATTTCACCATTTCACCATTCCTCCTTTAATTTATTGTTCAATATTTGATATTTTCGATCTTTTGGGATGAACCCAATAATTTTATTTATGTGTTTTTGCAGCTGCTTCAAAAAAGCTTTGAATTCCTTTTAAGTACTTGAGCCAATAACCGGCTTTTATCTTTTCAATTTTTCAAAAATAAAATTGAAAAGCTTGGGAGAAGCGTATTATTTTTTTATAAAATAATAATTCACATGAGGGGAAGGGGGGAAGAGGGGAGGGTAAGGGGGAGAGGATATTTGGGGAAGGGGGAGGGGAAAGGCAGGGGGGGGGGATATTTTTTCAACAAAATTTATTTTTTAATTTATTTTTTTTTTCAATTTTTCTTATCCAAAAAATATTTTTTTTCCTTCTCTCTAGCTAGTAAAATATACTGGAATTTTTTTTATAAAGTTTGATTAGCCTCGTTAGCTAAGGCATTCTTTCTCTTTAAAAAGAAATAAGTTATAAACAAATGCTTAAAGGGGAATACAAAATAAATAAGTAAATTTTTTTTATTCTCACGAATCTCACAAAAAATTTTTTTTAAATTAAGGGGCTATATTTTACGTTGTTATGGTTATTCTAGAATTTTTTTTTTGGAATTTTTTTGGATTTTTTTTTCAATTTTTTGGGATATTTGGGATTTTTTAGGTAATTAATAGGCGTGGAATAATTTTTAAAAACAAATGGGTATTTTGAAATTTTCTTGTTTTCTTCTTTTTTAAAAGAGTAGCTATTTTTATGTTGTCATGAAAAGTTCTTAGAAATTTTTAGTATTTTTTTCAAATTATTTATTTTTATTTTTGGGAGTTTTAGGCAGTTAGTAGGCGTGAAGTTATGGTTATCCTTAGACGTTTTAGGATTTTTTTCTAAATTTTTTTTTCAATTTTTGGGGGTTTTTGAGTAACTAAGTAGGCGTGGAATAATTTTTAAAAACTATGAAAATTTTAGTACAATTTTTGAAATTTTTTTTCCTTTCTTCAAAAAAGTAGCTAATTTTTCTCTTGAGAAGTCTCTCTAAACAAGCCCTCACTTAAGGCAATATTTATAAAATATGTAAAATCGACTGGCAATTAGCGCTATATTTGTGTGCGCTTTCAAAATTGTTTTTTGATGGCTAATTATTAGAGAAAGAAAAAATTTTTGGCGCACTCCCGAGTTTTTTTAAAGGGGGAATAATCTATCAATGCTTTTTTACTAATGTAAAGCAAATAAATATAATGGCTTAACTAAAGTAGAAGCTTTTTTCTATAAATATCCCCTCATTATTTTAAAGGCTATAATTTTAAAATTAATTAAAAAATACAATTTTTAAGATAAAAAAATTTCAAGAAAAAATTTTTGAAATTTTTCTGAAGAAAATTTTTTCGAAAAAAATTTTTTGAAGAAATTTTTGAAATTTTTTTTGAAAATTTTTGCGAAAAAATTTTCAAAAAAATTTTTTTGAAATTTTTTAAGAATTTTTCTGAAGAAAATTTTTCGAAAAAATTTTTTGAAAATTTTTGAAATTTTTCTGAAGAAAATTTTCACCGAAAAAAAATTTTTTTTGAAATTTTAACACCAGAAACTGAATTAAAAAATATTAATGCGTTTGCCTGTAACGCCGCGTGAAAGAAAAAATTCTTTGTTTTGTGACGTCGACTGTGGCTTCACTGTAATTTTATTTTTAAATTTTTTAAATTTAAAACATTTTTAAGGTAATGTTACTTGGAGATAGTTGTACGGGCAAAACTTGTATTTTAATTCGTTTCAAGGACAACACTTTTATGAACAAGTTTGTTTTAAAAATTTTTTTTCTAATTTTATTTTTAAAGTAATTTTATCTCGACTGTGGGCATTGATTATAGAGTAGGTTTATTTTTTAATAATATACTTTAAGGCTAATATAAGGCCGGCTCTATTAGAAGCCCATATTTAATAAAAGCTTACACAAGGGGACCCATTGAAAATCACAATCTTACTTTCTAGTAGAAGATCACTCTCTAATGGGGGTCTTCTTCAGTCGTCAAAGAGACATTAAAAACACTAATATGTAGAAGCCCACTCTCTAATAAAGGCCTAGTCCACTCAAAGTAGCCTGTTTAAAAATCGCTCTCTAATAGAAGCCCAGTCAAAGTGACCAATCGAGAAATAGAAGCCCAGGGCTTGTATTAGTGCATTTACTTTAATTTTATTTTTTTAAATTTTATAGAACAAGGTGCTTGAATTGGGCAGGAGACGAGTTAAATTACAGGTAAACCCATTGAAAAATAAAATTCATATTTTTACAGGTTTGGGACACTGCAGGTCAAGAACGTTTCCGCAGCCTAACAGCTTCTTACTACAGAGATGCCGATGCCCTTTTGCTTATTTATGATGTAACAAATCGTGCAAGCTTTGAACATATAAGGGATTGGCTTGCCCAAGTTAAGGAATATGCAAAGGATGAAGTTGCTTTAACTCTGGTTGGGAATAAAGTGGATTTGGGACATCAAAGGAAAGTTAGGGCAGATGAAGGACGACAACTTGCAAAGGTTATTGAGAGGTTTTTTTGGGGGGTGGGGAGAGGAGGGATTTTTGGAAGGGACTTTTAAAGGGTATGTGGAGTTTTTCGGGGATATGGGGATTTTTGAGAGGGACTTGCAAAGGTTATTGGGACGGTTTTTGTGGGGAAGAGGGGAGGAAGGATTTTTGGGAAGGGCTTGTATTTTGGGGGATTTTTGAGAGGGACTTGCAATGGTTGTTGGGAGGTTTTTGGGAGAGGGATTTTTATGAGGGATTTGAAAAGGTCATTAGGGAGGTTTTTCTGGAGGATAGGTGGATTTTTGGGAGGGACTTGCAAGGGTTGTTGGGAGGTTATTGGGGAGTTCTTTTGGGATAGGGTGATTTTTGGGAGGGATTATGATTCTTAATAACCATTTTTCCCGATTAAAAATGTTTATCCTCTCTATACATAAATAGAATAATTTTTAAAAATTTTCCCCTCAATTAGGATTATGACATTCCTTTCATCGAGACAAGTGCAAAATCTGGCCAAAATGTGAGCGAAATGTTTTTTGACCTTACAACAAGGCTTTTAAACGCTGTTGAGGCAAATAAAGAAGGAGAAAATGATGAAAAAGAAAGAAAGGCATCTGTTTTGGAATTGAGTGCAGAAATTAATGGAAGGCATGGAGACGGTAATTATTGGCGGTTTACGAGTTGTTGTGGAGGGGGAAAGGCTTAAAAAGTGTTTTTTTAAATTTTTTTGAATTTAAAATTGATTAATAAATTTGGGATGTGATCAATTTAAAAAATTTTTGAAGGTCAAATTTTGGGTACACCCCAAGGCACTGCAAGCCCTCGGTACCGCAGAGAGAGAAAGAGAGTTGGACCCTGCTCGTCGAGCCGCAGCGGACCATACCAGGGCGTCCCGGATTCGACCAATTTGAACGAAGTTATAGCTCTGCGGTACCTTGGCTTGCCCCCTCAAATTTTGATTAAAAAAATGACTTAAAAATTGACCCATCCACTGTATATATTTAAATTTTATTTTTTTTACCCAATAAAATATTTTGATTTAATTTTTTTAAATAAATTGATAAATTTATTTATGTCGATTTTTTATATAAATTTATAAATTTTTATATTCAATATCTTTTTTTTTGTTCATCTTTATTTAATTTTCAGGCAAAATTCCATTAAAATCCCCCCAAAGTGTAGTTTTTGTTTGAGTCGGACTCTTTAGTGTAGTTGGAAAATTTTACTTTCCTATGATAAGTGGTTGTGGGTTCGAACCCTTTTAGTGAAAATTTTTTTTATTTTTTGCAAAAACGCCTTTCTATTACTAAAATTGATTTTTAGACTAAAGAATAGTGTCACATGAAAATTTTACTTTTCAGCAAAAATTTCCTTTCATCTTGCATTTACTAAAAAAAAAGTTTTGAAATCGTTTTTGTTTGTGTGTTCAGCCGAATGGAACATGAAAAAAACTAACTACTCTACACATTTAAAGGTTTGTTTCTTTTCTTATCTTTTTTTATTAATATTTTCTATCACTTATGGCCAGGCAATCCTGTTTTGGTTCGCAAAACACGTAAAAGAGAAGGGGAGAGGATGGGACGGCCGCCTTTGCTTACAGCGCAAATTGGGCTCATTCATTTCACCATACCTTCACTTATTTGAATTTGTGTTTTTTCTTGTTTTGCCTACGTTCGAATATTATTGCTTGACAGCTTATTTGTCATCTTTTCTGTGCGCCAAAAGCTTTGGTTAGTTCAGGTTTTTATTTTTTAAATTTTCTGTTTAGTGTTGTTTCCCTCCCCTATCCCTCCCTCCACCCAATTTTTTCCTTGATGTACAAACTGGTCTGACACTGCTTCATTGGATGATCTGTGGCATCATTATGTGAGGCATTATCACCTGTGAGCATGTTGTACATCCAGGAAAAAATCGGGCATGGGAGGGAAACTACATAAGTACGTTTAGGTTTGCCGCTTAACTCGGTTGTGTCGTTTCCCTCCCCTCATTTATCCAAGGCTTTTAGGTCCTGTTTTTTCTTGTTTTGCCTACGTTCCCTTGTTTTGCTAAACTTTTTCCTTCCAATTCTTCTCTGTTTATTAAAAATGGAGACAACGCAAACTCCCTTTTGCGCACTCCCTTCCTCCCCAATGCCGTCTTTTTATTTTTTAGGTGGCATGCATTTTATATAGCTACGTGTAAGTCTCACCCATTTATTTTTCTTTCCACTTACCACCAATAAGGACATGCCTAGTAAGAAAAAAAATTTTTTCCCTCATCTATCCAAGGGCACTCGTTTCATTTTACTCTTTTTTTGTCACCCACAAATATTTCCCGCAATAAATCCCTAAAGAGGAAAAAATGAAACGGAAATGAAAGAGGACATTTGACACAAACAATAACAGAATAGTAGGAAAAAATATTTTTGGAATTTTTTAGATTTTTTAGATTTTTGAATAAGTTTAGCAAAACAAGGGTAAAATTGTCGTTTATGGGCCCCTTTTTCTTCCCATTGTTTTTTCCTTTAAGTTTTCTTCCTGTGAAGAATCTGACTTATTTTTTTCTTCCCATCCCCCTTTTTTTTTGTATTTTACAAAATCAAAAGGAATTAATTAATTTTTGACACGTAGAAGTTAAGGAGAAACACTTTTCTTTCCTTTTTTCTTCAAGTTATCATAGTTCTCTGTATATTCCAGGGATCTAGCCGACTCGATTCCCGAAAATTGGGAATCTGGGATTTATAAAATAGATCAATTCTTTCTCCCCCATATCCCCGAAATAGGGAATTTAATTTTTATGTCGGCTAGATCCCTGGTACATTCTGAGGAAAATTATTTTGAGGAGGAAAAATTTGGGGAGGAAAAAAGGGGGGCCCCTCAACGACAATTTTCCCAAACAAGTGTTTTATATAAAAAAAATTTCTAAAAATTTCTCTTCCCTTACACCCATAATTTACTTTATTCTTCTCAATTTTCTTGACATGAGTCAATTCTTTCTTCAAGTACCCTCCCTTCTTTTCTCTTTTGGAAAATGTCCAAATTTAATTTTCAATTTATTCTTTGCACTTTTCTTTCCTTTTTCCTTCAAATAATTCAATCTCGAGATAAAAACTAAAAATTAGAGTTAAATAAAAGAGAAGCCAAATAAGTAAAAATAAATACATTTTTAAGCATTTTTCATTGCTATCTTAAGAAAGTGCATGTTTTTAACTTTACTTTTTTTGTGTTTTTTAAACTTGCTATTAAAAATGCAGTAAATCTTCTTTGTGTATTTACGTTTGGTTCTAAAACAAAAATTTTTTTCTTCAATAGAAAATTGTACTATTCAAAAACCCAATGGCCGTAGGTCCTGAAACCTTTAGATTAGCTGTTCGTACATTGGAAATATCCCCAATATTTTTTTCCCTTACAAGGGAACATCGGAACTGTCTACAACAACTAGCGGTCTAACTTTGAACGGCCATAACTCGCCCCAAAGTGATTTTGCAGGAAAACCCGCATCACTTCGCAATAGGAAGTCGATTGTCCTCTATCGACTGGTACCAAAAAAATTTTCAAATTTTTGTATAGAGTATCCGATGTTCCCTTGTTAGTAAAATTTCTTTTTAAATAATTTTAAATTTATTTTTTTTTCAGATTAATCCACTCAAACTCCATTTTTTCTTAATATTCCAACCCTTTATTAATTCACTAAAAAATGGTAACAACTCAACACGGCCCTCAATGTATTTGTGAAATTTGTACTTGCGGGTTTCTTTTCTTTAATTTTAAAATTAAAAAAAAATTAAATTTAAAGACGGCATCAATGCCCATTAAATCGTTCATCTGCCACTGGTTTTTCCCCTTTTGGTGAAAAGAGCAGCAATAATGGGAATGGAAACAGCAGCCATTTTTACCGAAAAGAATTTGCTACAACTGCCAATGTTAGTGAAAGGGCAAAGCCGGCACGTCCTAATCCGGAGCTGACACTTGACAGGACAATTGTGAGTAAATTTTAAAAATAATTTTAAGAAATATTTTTGGCATTTTTGGGAAATTCCATATTTACTCAAATATTACCCCTCTCTATTAATTGCCCCCCCCCCATCTAGCCAGAGGTTGAAAAATTGCCCTCTTAAATTGCCCCTTGATTAGGATTTTCTAAAATAACCTCAATTATCTCGCCTCTATTAATTTTTAATTCCTCCCGCTAGAAATTAAAACTCTTACTCCCCCGGGTAATTATTTGAGTAAATAATACGATAACTAATGAAATTTTTGAGTCAATTTTTAATTTATTTTTTAATTTTCTTTTGTTTGCACACCTTTTTTCTAAAAAATTTCTAATTTTTCATATTGATTTTTGTTAATTCTATTCCTTTTTAAATTTATTTTTTTTGAAATTTTGAGTTTTAGGGGAAAATACCAGTCAATTTTAGTTAAGCACAAGATTTTTAGCTTTTCGCACATCCTTTTTTGTTATTTTTTATTTTATTGGATAAGTAAGGAAATTTTTTTGTCTCTTTCTGTTGCTAAGTGAGTGAGAAAATGAATTTACCCATAATCTTTTTATTATAAAAGAATTTTTTTCCTTTGGCACTTGTTGGCACAGAAAATATTATTTTCATTGCGCACAAAAATTTTGGGCTCTTATCCAGATTACGCGTCCAATCAACCTTTATGCGGCTAATCAACCTTTATGCGTCCGTCCAATGAGTGGATATGTACCCGCTTCTGCGTGTTAGAACCCTATGTCTGGTTGGGGGGGAAGACTTTCAAATCCCATAGATTTTATGGTACTAAAATACAGAACCGGGGGGGGGGGGGTCATTGGACGCATAAAAATGCGATTTGACGCGTAATCTGGACAAAAGCCAAAATATTTTCCCTTGCTTAAATTCTAATTTTTTCCACAAAAATTTTCATTTTCCCCTTCCTCTAGCCATTTCACTCAAACGAAAAATCAGTAGATTTTTCTGAACAGCAAAAAGCACTAACAGAAGCACGTAATCAACGTTTTGTTACTTCTGCCGCATTTAGAAAACGTGGACAAAATTCTCAAATTCAGTTAACTGACGGACAAAATAATCAACAACAACAAATGCTTCGAAGTACTTACAGAGAAGAAAGTGAACGTGCTTTGCAAAATGGAGGTTTGAAATTTTTTTAGTTCTAAGAAGGGACCATGTCACTGACATGAGTACAAAGATTTCGTATTTGTTGGTACCATTCGATAGAGGACTCCCGACCCTATTGCCAACTTTGACTGGCCATAATTCGGTCCAAGGTCATTCTGCTAGAAAACGGATATCACTTCACAATAGGAAGTCGGGGTTGCTCTATCGATTGGTACTAGAAAAATAACAAATTTTTGTACACAGTAAATGATGGGCCCTTGAAAAAAATTTTTCCAGTTCAACAACGTGTACGTCCAACTCGCCCAACCGCAACAACACGCATCTTTGGTGGTTCTGACTCTAATAATATTCACCAAACAGTGAATCAAAGCGAATATGCTCCAAAACGTTCAGAAAGAGCTGAAGCTGTTAGACCAAAAACTTCTGACCTTTGGAAGAATGCAAACGGTACATCGCTTGAAAAAAGTGGAGTTAATGCAGAATATGGAAAAGGAGGAGGGAGAGGTGAAAGGCCAGTAGCTGCACGCCCTCGGGAATCAAACATCCTTCGTGGTGAAGGTCCATTTCATGTGGAAACGAATCAGCGTTCAGAATATGGACCTAAACGAGGAGAAAGATTTGAGGCTAAACGACCAGTTGAAAATGAGATTTGGAAGGTTTGTTTGGATTTAAAAATATTTTTGTGGGTAGGGGGCAGGCTTGAACCTACAAAAAATTTTCGTTTTTTAGAATGAAGGCCCAAATGTACATACAACAGTAAATCGAAGCGAATATAAAGGAGGCCGTGGTGATCGCTTTGAGGCTAAACGGCCTGTTGAAAATGAGATTTGGAAGGTTTGTGAGTTTAAGAATATTTTTTGGAGGAAAGGGAAGGAGAAGCTTTAACTTGGAATTTTTTCCTTTTTTAAGAATGAAGGCCCAAATGAGCACACAACTGTAAATCGAAGTGAATATAAGGGAGGTCGTGGAGATCGCTTTGAAATGCGAAAACCTCCAGATTCTGATATTCTACGAGTTCAAGGGCCCTTCGAGTCCCTAAGTGTTGCACATAGTGAATATGCTCAAAGAGGTCCAGGAGAACGCTTTGAAAGCCGTAAACAAGGAGAAAATGAAGAAATTTGGCGTAATGAAGGAAGAATGGCTGCTGAAGGTTCTGTCAGCAAAAATGATTATCAACATGAAGAAGGAAAAAGGGGTGATAGACATCCAATGCATCGTCCAAAGGATACGGAACTTTTTGATGTAGTATTTTTTTGAATTTTATTTTTGCTTATAAAATAAAAACTTTTCTAGCGTAGCGGCAAAATTGGAGAAGAAAGAACAGTCAATGCTACCGAATATTCGCATACCCGTGGAGAGCGCGCTGAACGAAAAGTGCCACAGCCTTCTGGAATATTTTTGCCTCCTCCAGGATCAGAATTTGCTCCAGAAAGTACTGTCACTCGAGAGCATTATGGTCACAAAGAATTGGTGGAGAGAGCCCACCCAGTGCCCCGACGGTCAGAGTTTGTGTTGGCAGGGCCGGAAGGTATATTGGGGATTTAAGGGGGAATTTGAGGGTTTTTTGCTTAATCTTTCCTCTTTCCCTAACAGAATCCTTCAATAAATCCACCAATTACAACGACAATTACCAACAAATTCCTTCGGTTACTTATGCTTCCCGCCCTGCAGCAGTACGCCCATCTACGGCATTAAAATTACAGGGTGATAGAGAATTTAAGAGTGGATATGGATCAGAATTTACAAATAAATTAGCTGGGCCTTGTCCAGCTGGGGAATTGGTGGAAACTTTGAAAGGCCATGCATGTAAATCTGAGGACAAAAATGGGAGTCATACAGACACAAACAACTTCCACTTTCATTCAGTAAATAAAGGCCATCATATGTATAGATCAAAGGAAAATTTGGCTGAGTCTTGAGAATAAAAATGTTAGAGAAGAGATAAAAACTAGAGAAAAGAAACAGAGAAAACGAGACATTATATATGCATTTTGTTATTTTATTTAAATTTTCTTTCAAAACACCAAAAATGGGGAAAGTTTACTAGAAACGACAAAATGGTTTCGGACATTTCGTCACACTATTTTTACGCATTTTACCTTAGGGTTTTGCAGTTTTTTGATTTTTTTATTTTTTATTTCAAATTTCTTAAATTTTACGTAATTTTCTAGTCTTTTTTATACCTAGTCATTTTTTAATAAATAAAATTTTCTACTTTTGTGGATTTTAACTTTTGATTTAAGGGTTATTTTTTAAATACTTTTTTTCAATATTTTTATTTGAAGCTTTTATTTTTGTTTTTAACTATTTTTAGAAAATGCATAATTATTTCCGCAACTTACTTCAAAATCGTGTATTTTCTGTGGCACTTGGATCAGTTCGGAATAAATATAGTTTGTTTTTTTTTTACTTTTTTAATATTTCTTAATAGACGTAGGCCTGGATGCGTGGCCGGTCCTTGACTTTTCCTTGCATGTCCCTTGGTTCTATCCGGTCTTTGATTTTTTGTCCTCGATTTTTTCCGGTCTTGATTTTTTTGATTTTATTTGGTCCTTGTTTCCTTGATTGTATTCGGTCCTTGATTTTTCCTTACACGTTCCTTGATGTTATCTTGACTTTGATTTTTTGGCCTTGATTATTGACTCATCAAGAATTGGTCAAGATCCCCAACCAAATCAAGGTCAACGTTTTATAATTTTCAATCTCTAATTTTTAATATTTGTAGAATATGTTGGGATGATTGAAGAATCCGATGGAACGCTTAAAGGTGACATTAAAGCAGGGATGGAGCGAGTTATGCTTAAAGAATTGATTCATGGTTTATAATTAGCTTTTATCAGTTTTTACTTTTAAATATTTTTTGAAGGTTTTGCCCACGTTTTTGGACACATGTTTATGGAACCGGCTACAATTAATTACCCTTTTGAGAAGGGCCCGCTCAGCACCCGTTTCCGAGGAGAACATGCACTTCGTCGCTATCCTTCAGGCGAAGAGCGTTGTATTGCTTGTAAATTGTGTGAGGCTATATGTCCTGCCCAGGTTTTTTTTTGAGAATTTAATTTTTTTAGATGTGATTTTAGGCAATAACAATCGAGACTGAAACACGTCCAGACGGTAGTCGACGTACAACGCGTTATGACATTGATATGACAAAATGTATTTATTGTGGATTGTGTCAAGAAGCTTGCCCTGTTGATGCTATTGTTGAGGTATAAATTTTTTGAATTTTTTTATTTTTTGTAAATTTTTAATTAGAGTGCCTCGATACCATCTATTCCCGACCCAGAAACTACCTTTTTGATTAAAACCCTCGACCTTGAAAGCCTCAATGCTGAAAACCGACCCCGAAATCTTCAACCCCGAAGTTTTCGTCATCCGCAACCTTGACCTTTTCCTACCCCTCACCTTTTTACACTGGCAGGCCTGAGGGGCTCAAATCTAATTTTAAACCAATAGATCGTTTAAGCTTTTAATTAAAATATTTTTAATATTACAAAAGGTTTTTCTCTTTTATTAGGGTCCAAACTTTGAATATTCAACAGAAACACACGAAGAATTACTTTATAATAAAGAAAAGCTTTTATCAAATGGTGATCGTTGGGAGCCAGAATTGGCAGCAAATTTGCAAGCAGAATTTTTGTATAGATAAATTTGGGATGAAAATAATATTTCGAAAATTAGAAAAATTTTATTTGTTTGTTTGAAAAATATTTTAGGGTTTTTTTTTTTGATAAAATTTTGTTTCTGCTTTAATTTTTTATTTTTATTTTACATTTAGTTGGTATTTAAATCCAGAATTTTATTTGACATTTTGAGTTTTTTAAAATTTTTAAACTTTTATTTTTTCTTTTTAGTTCTCTTTCACATGCTTTCTTTTTCTATTTTTGGAAAGGCCTATTTTGACGCTCGCAATTTTTAAAGTGTTTTTAATGGCTATTAATTTGTTGATGCCTAGATTTTGGTTTAACTATGTTCAGGTTCTAATCTGTCAGCGGTTGTTTTTTTTTTTGATTTTTTTTTGATTTTTGAAAAATTTTTGGAGAATTTTTAGAGAATTTTAATTTTTTGGAGAAAATTTTTGGTTAATTTTTTGAAAATTTTTAAAATCTTGTTCTGGGTTCGAATCCAGCATCGATTGTTTTTTTAATTCTTGTGGATTTACGAATTTTTTTTAAAATTTTTAGAAAGATTTATTTTTTGGAGAAAATTTGAAATTATTTTTTGGGAATTTTTTTTAATTTAAAAATTTTTTGAGGATTTCTAAAATTAAAGAAATTTAAATTCGTTTTTGAAAAGAAAAACAAATTCTAAAAATATATTCTATTTATTTTTATAAGTGGGTGTTAAAAAAGGGGGTTAGTGCAGCTGCATTCCTTTCGCGTAACATTTTTTTATCGTCCAAAAAAATCTATCGATATATTCTATTACTCTTTTCTGCTTATTTATTAAATTACACTTTTCCGGAATTTTTTTTCTAAAAGTAAATTTTTAATTTTTATTTAGAAGATATTTAGATTTTATTTTTTCTAGCACTAAAAAAATTTTTTTGAAATTTTTTCTAAGAATATGTGGGATTTTTTTGAATAGATTTTTCGGTGGGGCTGCGGGATGTGAACTAGGTGCCGATTTTCTGAATTAAATTTTTTAAGAAATTTATTTAAGCAATTTAGAGTCCAAAAATTAATTTTTAATAATTTTAAAAATAACAAGAAATTTTAGTCTCCCCTAATTTTTAATTAAATTTTTTATTTTCTAAAATCGATAAAGAAATAAATTAAGTGGGACAATAGTTTTAAGTAAAAATTGACATTGTTAAATGGAATTATTTTTAGAAAATTTTCCAATTTGTTTCCTTAAATTTTCCAAATTTCGGATATTTTTTGGAATGTGAATTTTGAAAAAAAATTTTTCTTTTACTTTAGGCCCTTCATAAAATTTCAATTTTTTTCTTCCTTTATTTTTATGCCTAAAATTTTTTCCAAATTTTTTTTATTTTTTTTAACCTCCTAAGAAAATTTTTTAAAATTTTTCTAGGTATTTCTCTCCCTCCCATGTTTTTCTTAATCTTTTTCCTTCCAACCCACCCTCTCCCTTCAACTTTAAAATTTTTCGACTTTGTTTTTTTTAATTTTTTCTTTAGTTATTTTATTTTTAGGAACCAAATTTTTTATTTTACTTTTAAAAAATAATTTTCATATTTTTAATTTATTTATTTGTTCAATGTTCTTTTATATTTTTAATTTTATTTTTTTTTGCTTTTTCCCTAGTAAGATAAAATACAACAAACATTTTTCTATTTTATTAGACAAGAGAATTGGAGGGGGGAGGGTGGTGATGAGCGGGAAAGCGACGAATTGTTTTACTCCTGTAGATCAACAATTCTTTTTATTTTTTTTTGAATATTAAAACAGGTTTTTTAAAAAATTTTTAAAAATTAGGAAATTTTTTTTTGGAATTTTTCGGAAGATTTTTCAATTTTTAATTTTTTATTTGATTTTTTAAATTTGAAATTTTGATTGAAATTTTAAAAAAAAATTGGGAATTTTTTTCGAATTTTTCGGAAGCTTTTTTGGATTTATAAAATATTTCTTGAGAATAATTAAAACATGTTTAAGTGCTAATTTATTATCTTAAAATTCTGACCATTTTGAGCCTCTGTTTCTTGTTATTTTTGATTTTTGGACCCTTTTAACTTGGCGCAAAGCTTTCGCTCGGACTGATTCTTGGTCCCAATTTTTGTACACAAAATAGACCAAGTTATTAGACAAGAGAATTGGAGGGTGGTCCTTTTTTTGAGGTCTTTTTTCTATTTTTCTTTTTTTCCAAAAAATTTTTTTGAACATTTTTCTGAAACAATTTTTTCAACAAAAAAATCCGTGTGAATATTTTCTTAAAAATTTTTTTTTATTTTCAATAAATTGTTGATCTTTAGGGTATTTTTCTGAAAAGATATCTTTCTATTTTTCTTTTTTTTTGAGGGTCTATGGTAGAGAAGAAATGTTTATAGAGTTGTGCTTGGTAGTACATTTTTAATAGAGTAAAAAAAAAATTTTTTTTATTTGGAAGGGAAGGGAGGAAAAAAATAAAATAAAAATTCTTTTTTTTTCTTCTTTTGCTCTATTGACATTTTTTCGCATTTTTCTCAACAAAATTTTTTTCCTTCTTTCATTTATTTTTAGTTTATTTTATTAAATAGCTACATCAATAAAATTAAATGAAAATTAAGAATTTTTATTTTCTGAGATTTTTTTTGAATTTTTTGAAAAATTTTTCGAAAAAATTTTCCCCGTATTTTTAAAATTTTTACAAGGAGAAAATTTTTTTAAAATTTTTCGATCTTCTAAGATTTTCCCTTTTGCTATTTCTGTTCTGTCTCCAAACAGACTCAACGCGTTCCCCTAGGAAGTGATGCCTCGATAGCTGTTCAGTCACCTACCTCAGACCCTCCAGAAATAATTTTTTCCCTAATTTTTTTCCTAATTTTTAGAATATTTTTAAGAATTATTTTTAGGGGAATTTTTCAATTTATTTAGGGAAGCCTTTAATAACCTTGAATTTTTTTTTCTCGCTTTTTTTTAAATTTAATAATTCATCAAAATTCGCGTTCCTTTTTTTCCAAATTTTTTATTTTATTAATCATTCGTGTTTTACTCTGAAAAATTTTTTTTCAATATTTTTAATATTTTGGATAATTTGTCTTTTTCCATCACATATTGATTTTTAAGAAATACTTAATTTTAGACAATCAATATTATTTTATTTGTCTTTACCTTAAATGTTCTAATATAAGCCCTAGGCTTCTATTTTTCAACGTATCTTTGTCTGGGATGGCTTCTATTAGAGATGGGCGTATATTAGAGAGGGAGGGCTTCTATTGGAGATGGGCTTATATTAGAGATGGGCTTGTATTGGAGATGGGCTTCTATTAGAGATAGGCTATATTAGAGATGGGCTTTTATTAGAGGGGGTGGGCTTTTATTAGAGATGGGCTTCTATTAGAGTCAGACATATATCTTTCGATAGGTCGATTCGGGTGGGTTCTATTAGAGAGGGATGGGCTTCTATTTCTTGATGGTCGCCGGATGGGCTTCAAATAGAGAGTGGGCTTATATTAGTGCATTTCTGGTAGCATTTTTAATCTTTAATTTTAATTCTTCTAATTTTTTAAAAATAATTTTTAGATAAAAATTTACAACTAGCGATGGGTTTGGCCACTGATGGCTGCGGATAGCTGGGTGCCTATTAGGATACTCTGGCGGTTTATTTTGTTTTGCCCGTTGGAAAGCCTATCGGCTTTGGGGCGCGCTTCGCGCGCTGCTAGAAAGTTTGGATGGCCAACTCGGGCCTTTTCAGCCAACTCGGGCCTTCGGCCCTCGCCTTCGTCTTCCCCTCGTTGGGACTTAACATTCCACTTAGAGACACTTCGATCATTTGGCCCTCGTCTTCCCCACGTTAGGGAAGACGATGGGTGTCAATTTTAGACGGGTGTCATCTCGGATTCCCTTTAAGTTGGTTGTTACTTCGGGCCTTCGGTCCTCGTCTTTCCCCCAATGGGACTCGTCCTTCAACTTTTGTCAGCTAAAAAGCAAAACTTTGAAAAGTTGAAGCAAATTGCTTCAAGTTTAGAAAATTTCCATAGTTGAAGCAAATTTGCTTCGTAAACCAAAATTTCAAAAGTTCACCAATTTCTGCCACCAATTTCACCTGTCAATCTTTTTTCCCTCTCCCTACCATAATTTTCCGGATACGGTACTCCACCCCACAAATTTTGGAACCTCTGTATTCTCCTTTTTAGATGGGTGTTCAGCTCGGGCCTTTGGCTCCTCGCCCTCCCTTTTAGATGAGTGTCAGCTTGGGCCTTCGGCCCTCGCCCTTTATCTTAGATGGGTGTTCAGCTCGGGCCTTCAGCTCCTCGCCCTCCCTTTTAGCTGGGAGGGCTCGCCCTCCCTTTTAGCTGGGAGGGCGAGGGAGGCCCTCCCTTTTAGATGAGTGTCAGCTTGGGCCTTCGGCCCTCGCCCTTTATCTTAGATGGGTGTTCAGCTCGGGCCTTCGGCCCCTCGCCCTCCCTTTTAGCTGGGAGGGCGAGGGGGCCCTCCCTTTTAGATGAGTGTCAGCTTGGGCCTTCGGCCCTCGCCACTTTTCTTAGATGGGTGTTCAGCTCGGCCTTCGGCCCCTCGCCCTCCCTTTTAGATGGGAGAGCAAGGGCCTGAGCCAGGTTAAACAGGATAAAACTGGTCAACGTAAACCTATGGAGCGTAGGCGAGGCGCTTGTGCAAAACCCCGCGCTTCGCGCGGGGTTTTGCGGCACGCGCCTCGCGCGGAGTCAACGGTCGCTGGGTTCTTGGCTAGTAACATTATCCTATTCCTATAACGATGAGAAGTGCATGCCTGGCTTCCTCCTCAGCAGCTAAAACTCCACGGATGGCATGGGTAAGGAGCTAAAACAATTCAATCTTCGAGCCCTCGGCCCTCCTCTTTCCCAATTTGGGACTCATCCTTCCACTTTCAGTCATCCTTCCACTTAGAGGCACTTCGGGCCTTCGGCCCTCGTCTTTCCCAATTTTGGACTCATCCTTCCACGTACCCACTTAAGACTCATACTTTCACTTTTTCAAATGAAAAGCAAAATTTTGAAAAGTTGAAGCAAAA